GAAGGCAACGATTTACACAGTTCCGTCGAAAGATACTACATTTTCATTATCTATAATTGAAGCTGAAGACTCATGTGGTCTCAAATTATTAAAGACTGAGCATCCAAAACTTTTCATAGTTATTGGAACCTCACTCGGTCAAGTGAAAGCAACTAAAGCAGTCAAGACGACAACCGATAACATGGACATTTTTCTTTATATTAATACTAAATTTATTTATGTTGAAAGACACATTAGACGTCAGCTCCAAACATTATATCATGATGTAATGATGCATAGGTGTGAGCTAGAGAAGGAGATTCTACAGAGCAGCCTAGCTATTGCTTCAACCCAGCCCGATGAATTCGCCTATAGATTCATGAAAGGACCTGGATTCATGGCAATTTTGGCTGGAGAAGTTATTCATATTGTACAATGTATTCCAGTTGAAGTGAAGATTCAGCATACAGAAACTTGTTAAAACAGAATACCAATATTAAGAAACAATCAAAGTTTTTTCTTATCACCAAAAACTCATCTAATCACAAATCATGCTGCACAAATTCCATGTAATTCGCCACTATTACAATTTTATAGAATTGGACAGACATGGTATAAGTTCATGTCGAAACAGCACCACCGATGAGTCTAAAACCAGCCTCGAAAATTACTTGGGAATACAAAAATCCTGTTCATTTGGCGAGTAGCAGAATTTACACGTCCGAAGATTTAGAAACTATGAGGAATCGAATAATGTTCACCATGGAACAGGCAGCAGTATTAGAGACAGTTGCGGGAAAGGCAACCAGAGGATCAATATCAAATAAGCCATTAATTTATAATATGCTGGATAAAGAATCGTTGGAAAAATTAGCCAAGAATGCCTGGGAGAAGACCTGAGGAAGATTTGTCAAATTTGGGACTGTCAGTGCAAGGTTGATTGGCGTGTTTATGGTCCTGAAAATATGTAAACTGATAATAGATACCATTGTACATGGTTACACACTTCATACCGTGTACGGATGGTCATTGAAATTAATAGGAGCCCTCTGGGACTCAATAACATACTTATTGGTTCATTTGGCAAAAGATAATTCAAATAAATATTCTTCGCCAAATGTAAAGATATCGGATATAAACGTTGAACGTGGAGAAGATGTTACAGCAGCTGAAGCTAGTTCTCCATTATATCCAGATATAGATAATCAAAGAACAGAGATGACAACTCGAGTATTTGTCAAGTGAATAACTTTCCGCAAAATTAGCCTACTCAACTTCAACTAATTTGCAGAAGGATGACAAAGGAGCCATCAGTGAGCTGCCAAAAGGTCTTCGGAAGGGTTATAAAATAGTTTATCATTGTCAACCAGCGGATAGAAAGTAATTTCAAATAACTAACCATGTATGAATTGAGTGTTACTAATCTCATTGTAAATGTTTGATTTTGAAAAGAAAAACGTCGTACTCGATCAAATTTTGTCACTCGCACTTCCGTCTAACACGGAGGGTGTAATGTCTAAATGTATTTTTATTATTTCATATAATTATTCAAAATATATTTTAAGAGAAACTAAAAGTGAATAGCAATAGAACTTAAGGATTGAGGTTAACTAATATTACTCAAGTTATTTTTTTTGAGTTTTCCTAAAATTTCGTTAAAATAAGAAAGGTTTCGAAGAATAGTTGAGGAAATCATCTTTTAGATATTTTATTGCTTTTGGAAAACCCACGTGGCGAAAAGCAATAAAATTTTAAAAAAGAGTACGTGGGGTAAGAGGAACGTTTGCTTTCCAAGAAGGGAAAGACCATGCGAAGGGACTTGTGCGCGCCTGAAGCAAGGGACTTCTAATTATGTCACATTCGACTAAATAAGTACGTAAGGTTTGATGCATCAGTCAGTTGTCGAGAAAGTAAGATCGAGATCAGATCGTTGTGGAACATCTCTTGAAATCGTAAGTCTTGTGATGTCTCAAACATTGTAATGATAATATTTCAAAGTTTGTAAATTTTTGTATGAAGTTTATTTGATCCTCAAATTATTCTTAAATTGATATTCAAATTAATTCGCGAGTAAAAGTGAATAATTGCGCTGACTGGAGCATGGACTAAGGACCAATTAATTGTAATTCATCTCGACCAGAGTAAAAGAAATCATCTGCTGGTAACGTTTAAATTATTGTTATAATTTTTTCATAATTTTCATTCAATAAATTTTGTTATTGTTTTCATATAAATCACACATTTTCACTTTCTCTATCGAAGATCCCCTCATCCCTGTCTATTGGTCGAAAGGTTAGGACTAAAGAAAGGAACTTAAAGTCTCTCAGGTTAAGCATATGGTTTACATATTGACACCTTTAGAGAACAAAAATACATAACTACCGATTATTTGATCTATAGTATCCTCCTCAAAAAGATGAAAAACATCCATTCTAATTATATTTAATTATCTACCATGACAAGTTGTCTTAGTTTTTTTTTCTTTTTTCCAATTTTAGAAAAATGATTAAGTCGATGGTTGTATCGTAAACTTTCTGCTTATCAATTATCTTACATCTGAGTTTTATTCTATAGGAAGTATTATTTTGTATAAAAAGGAAAAAACGTAAAAATATGGAAGTTTACAACTTTAAAAAAGCTTCAATTTAATCAATAGCTATTATCAAGTGAACAAAGTAGCAGCCATATCATCCTTAGTATATATTACCTGATCAATAAACGTATATTATCCTATTATCTGTAATCAAGGTAAGACAAGGAGGTGGAGTTTATTTCAATCATTGTTCATTATCTGTTATTTCCAACTTATAAACAGAGTTGCTTCTGTTTAAAACTTCAAAAAAACATTGCTTAGGCAGACAGAAAAAAAAACTGAATCAATTATCTTACTGCATTTTCAATCGGCTGTTCTTAGCCTGTAAATAATAGTTTTTCTGGTATAGCATAAAACATCATAAAATAATGTAAGGAAAAAATGTATATTTCTAAAGTTTACAAGTACTTAAGCAATCAATAGCTATTATAAAAAGAGCAAGAGAGCAACTATGTGTGCTTCAATATAAATTATCTGATCAATGATCATGTATTATCCTATTACCCATAATTTCAAGTTGGAAACTTTGTGAAAGCTCTTACAGAGCAGCCGCAAAAAAAAAGTGGGGGTCGGCGATCTGAGTGAGTTTTCACTCGAATTAATTCATTTTCAGCTATCAGAGAGAGTAGTTCAAACATTACCAATGGTTTTGGTTGTCTATGATCTATTGTGGATACTTGAAATGTTGATGTTCATCAGTACTATTACTCTTGTGAGATATCAATATCATATTACAATTCTTTTCAATGGAATAATATATAGAATATATTCAAACAATTTTGGAGACTGGATTTGACATCATGCAGCCATATTTTGAGATATTTTTTGTTAGTGATATTGGTAAAGTCTGATATAAATAAATAGAAGAGTTTGGTTGCTTAATGATAACTTTAATCAGATATAAAAATGGTAATTATTAAAATAAACTGTGTTATTAGACAAAAAGAAGTTGGAATAATTTTTAAATGTTATCTGATTATCAAGTGGTTTGGTATTTATTGTTATCAGTGAGTGTTCATTTTATATGGTTGTGTTTCTAAATTTGGACAAAAAACCTGTTTATCTCTAATTAAAAATTTATTTATAAAGATAAATGTCAGTAAATCTATTCACCTTTGAGTAATCTTTTATTGATAGATTAAAAAAAAATGAAATATTTATTTAATTTAACTAAATTTTTTTGTTTAAAAAATTAAAAAATAATAGATCATTTAATGAATGATTCGTTATAAAGAAAATTCTTAACTGGTGCCACTTGTTGCTTCTCCTTTAATACTATAATAGAGTAAAATAATGGATGTAACTGTTAATAATGAGTAAGTTTACTATCATAGAGTAATTGTATTTATAGTTATTAATTTATAATTATGATCTATACTTTCTAATGGTTTGTTTAATTCAATATTTCATTTGACATAAAAATACTGATTTAGTGAAATTCCCTTTTTTTTAACTTGTACATTCATGATAATTTGAAGCAAATAATAATAAATTTATTTACTGTGTGTATTACGGTACATGATTGTTGGAGTTATTATTCAATAACTTTATTTAGCACAATTTAAAGAAACTGATACTCTAGGTAAAAGAATATTTCAACATATTTATTTCTCAATCTCATAACCGGCATAATCATCTCACAATTGATTTTAATGAAGGATTACTTTAATAAATGATTTCCATAAAAAACATGTAAATAATCTATAAAATTACTTATAGGGTAATTTCATTAATATTTAATTAATTATGTTCACTGATTAATTATTTTTTTGTTAAGTATAAAAGATATATGTTTTTTTTATAACGCTTGAAAACTTAAGCTTCTAGATCAGCAGATGATTTCTACGTCAAGCTTGAACTACAACTAACCACTTTTTTCCATCATCTCCCCTTAAAGAACTATAGATGATTGCAAAAGCAGAATAACGTAACCCTGTTGTCTCCAAGTTCTGCTAATTATTGTATAAATAAACTATTATCTACATAGGTCATATGTTGACAATTAATAGTTGCAATTGTCTCAAGAATAATTATCTTCAAGATATTGATTAAATGATGACAGTAATTTTCTTACAGACGTTAATGACTACAACATACATACAAAAAGTATTTCAGAAAATAGTTTCTCGTTATCAAAGGGTTTATTTTAATCAATATACGCATGTCTGTTTTGCCTTATAATTTTCTTGCACTCACCTGTGTAGGGCTTTGGAAACCAGAAGGATGGAGAGGTTTAAAAGCTCTTCTTTATCATTTGTATACATTTATAGTAATACTATCAGTATATTCATTTGTATTATTCGGTCTTATGGACATCGACGTATTGAATATCAATATCAATGCATCGATTGATCATATTTCTTTGATCCTGAGCTTGATTGCAATAAGCCAGAAAACTATCAGTGTCATTGCTAATCGTTCAAAAATAATGGAAATGGTATATCGTCTTGAAAAGGATATATTTCAACCTCAGGATCATAAAGAAAAAATTATTCAACAATATTATGATCGTATTTGTAGGTAAGTTTATTTCTAACTTTTTTTCGTTTTACGTCATTTTCTTATTAATGAGCAAATGGTTGAATAATTTAAATATTTATATGGAACAGCTGAAGTGACTAATTCTCAAAAAAAAATTTAAGAAATAACACAAAACCATGATAAATTTATCTATTGTGTGCTTACTAGATTTAAAATAATAATAAAATCAATCAAAAGTCAATCAATAAGTATAATAATTTTAAATATTCAATGCTTAATTCCATTTTTCAGAGATTCAATTTTATTCTTCATTGTCTTGGGAAGTATAACAATCTTTTTATATACAATTAGCCATATATTACTAATGAAACCACCGGAAGTATTACCATATAGAGGTGCAATACCATTTGATTATTCAATATCATATATTTATTGGATTGTAGCAATTGAACAGATTTATGCTGTTATTGGAGCTGCTTCTGTAAATGCTGCTTTTGGAGCTTTTTTTCCTAGTATTATGATTCAAATTTGCGCCAAAATAAAAATCCTTGTTCATCGCTTTCAAATAACTCTAAGCACATTAGAACATATTTCAAGTCAGAAGAATTTAAGTCCTTATGAAGTTAGTATGATTGAACAAAAGCTAATCTCAAAATGGTTAAAGAACCATCTAGAAATTCTAAGGTAACAGTATAAGAAATTGATCTTCTGAGAAAAATATTCCTTAATGACATTTATATTATTAAAAATGTACCATGTAGATTATTCGAATACGCTAAATCTTTATTCTCAACAGTAGTTTTTATACATTATGTGATTACTGCATTTGCATTATGTACAATTGCATATGTTTTATCAAACACTGATTTTCATAGTGTTAATTTTATTGGGAATTTTTTATTTTTTATTGCTATGATGTCGTTGCAATTTTTGCAATGTATTTCAGCGAATCAAGTAACTGAAGAGGTAAATACATATATTAGCAATAAGAAAATAATTAATTTTATTATAAATGATTATTATTACATAGTTTGCTAGTCTTCATAACATAATATATGATACCAATTGGTATGCTGTAAGTAATAACGTGCGGAGGTCCATGGTGATAATAATGACCCAAACACTGCAACCAATTATATTTTCTAGTGGGCATTTTGTTACTTTATCTATAGAATCATTCAAACATGTAAATAAATTTATTCAGTTTTTACAAAATATCTAATCTTTTGAATCATTATGATTTTTTTATGTACAGGTTCTAAAAGCTTCATACACAATTTACAATGTTTTAGCATAGTTATCAATAGACTACGCAAAAAAAAAAAATAAAAGGGTATTGTAAAAAGAATGAAATAGATTGGTAACAATATTATTTTTGTGGCAAATATGATAATAATTTTCTAATAAATATTTTTTCACATGCTGTGTTACGTCACTACTTTAAAAAGAAAGTTAATAAAAAAAAGTTTTTGAAATTGCGAGTTATTTTATTCTATATTTGCCAAGTCTGCTTTAAGCTAGATAAAAAAATTATTTACACTCTTATCTACAAATATTCACATCTGTTCTATTGGATCCAATAATGAACTAATTGAACGATATTACAGATGTTATTTTACTATAAAAAGTACCTAAGAATGATAACGAACTACATAAAATCGAAAATGTACCCGTTTGATGTCACAATATCTTTAAAAACGTTTCTTTACCTGTATGTTAATATATATACCACTGGAGATACTTCCTCGACTAAAGTAGCCCCATGGATGGCAACTATTTCTACATCTCATCCACCATTCTCTGAAGAGTTTATGGATGATAATTTAACTTACATTTTTGGATGCCCAAGTATTATAATTGATCGACAAGCAGCACTAACATCTTTCGAGTGTTACAACAGGTATGGTCATTTTTAAACTAACAAATTTCTAACAGATGAGGTTATTAATAAAAATCATTTTTTCAGTCATTTTGATAATTTACCTACATATATCAACTTTCACCAATCCAAATATAGTGTTACTGAAGTGCAAGTCAATAACATTCCATTAAGTAAAATTATTAACGATAATTTGGTACTTCTTATTTCCTCTGATGAAATATTTAGTTTCGGAGTTTCCGATATCATATCCTTCCCAATGAACAAAGATGAAATAAATTGGAATAGTTGCAAATTGATTCAGTATCCTCAGGATTTACGTAAACAAATGATTTATTTTTTACTTAAAAATAATATAGAAATATGAAATTTAAATTTAAATTAAATTATAATTAACTTATAGGAAATTCAATATTCAATTTTTTTAATATTGATTTCGTTCAATCTAATAAATGTAAACAATACATCAGTAAAGCAAATCAATATGCCGTAAATCAGAATATATCTTGGAGCTCTAATTTGTTGTGTAGTACTTTAATCAGTAAAGATAAATGTCTCAAAGTAAGTAATTTTAAAATTTCACTGATCGTCAAAATGATTATTTCTTAAATTGATTTAATAAATTATAAAAATTAATTATAATGAATATTTAATTAATAATATATTTATAAAATTTTTTACAGATGAGACGATATTCACCAGTTGTTTGTCAAGTCAACAATAATACCACAACAAAACATGAGATCTTAGCATTCTCATCCAGAAGAATGTTGATCACAGATACGCAATGTTTTGTGTTATTCTTAAGTGTTCTTTCTGAGTCTGATTGGTTACATCGTGAAATAGCAAAACTAACATGGGAAAGATTTTCAAGATACATATCTCAAGAAAAAGAATCACCCAATCCCAAAATCTTGAGAACAGAATGTAACTGTTAGTTGATGATGAACTTTGACTCTAGATACAGCCTTAGGTATAAGGCTGAATAATTGACGTATTTCTTGCCCATCTTACAATTTACCCTATCTACGGAGCTTATTGAAAATAATTATCGCAATTATAAATTTAATCAATACTAATTATTTATTACATTCAAGTATTTTGTAATAATAATTGAACACTTTCATAGAGTGTCACGTAAATGATAACTTATTTATTGTTAACATCAAATGCAATTGTTTATATATTTATATACGTATATTTAACATAGAATAAATAATTGTAACAATGTATAAAAAAATCTCATATTTAACACAATCATTTATAAATGTATACAATCAACTAATACTACAAGCTATTTACATGTTTAATACTGATCGGTGGGTTCGTTACAACTTCTGACAGTACTAAAATACAAAATGTACAATTGAAAATATCTTATAACTAAATAATATCAAGTCCTTTATTAAAGTCTACCATGTTCCAAAGATGAAAGTTTTAATATACATGAATCACTTGTGAACACTTGACTATTTAGTGATTTACTTGGTTGTTCATCTCGTAAATCAATTCCCAAATTTTCATACGCACCAGATAATACAATAATACGGGGATACGTATATTTATCTTCTGGTAAAACTGAAAATCTTTCATTTGGTAAATTACTGACAGTATGTTCCTGAACTGAAGTAAAATCTTTTCCTATCTCATCGAGACTTTTTCCCTTAGTCTCCGGTAGGATTGTTCCAGCAAATAAAGCTCCAACAATTGCCGAAACGGTGAATATATACATAGTTCCTTCAAGTCCAATAATATTGTTGATATGAGGATAAGATTTTATAGTTGCAAAGGCCATTATCTGAGCAATAGCGGTGGTAATTCCACTCATAGTTCCTCGATATTTCAAGGAATATAATTCTGAAGTCATAACCCAGGGAAGAGTTAAGAAACCAATCATGGAAAAAGCTACGTGAAAAGCAACACAAATTAATGGGATGCATGAAGGTATTCCAGGATATTTTAATGCAATAGCAACACCACCTGCAGAAAATGTCATACCAATAGCACTGGAACAAGCAAGAGCTTTTCTACCAAAATGATTTGCTACTGCTGTTCCTAAAATAGCTGCAGATAAGCGAATTACACCGATTCCAACGCTTGCTGCATACTCATTAATGTCTGTACCGACTTCCTTTAAAAAGGTTACTGCATAAAAGAGTATGATGTAAATTCCACTCATTTGTTGGAGTGCAAAAAATATGAGAAGAATTATAAATGGTCTCCATATGACTGAGACTGTTTGAGAAAAGCTAACAGATTTTTCTGATGTATTTTGAGGACTAGAGCTGCATAGCTGCTGGAATTCTTTCTCAGAAGCTAAGCCAGGGCCTCGGAGCCACGTTAGTGCTTCTTGGGCTTCTTTTAGACGATTCTTCCGTATCAACCAAGCAGGTGATTCTGGCATTATTCGTGTTAAAGCTAGAGATAATATAGCTGGACCAATACTTATAGCTGCACTACTTTGCCATGATGTGATAGCTCCTAATGCATAGATAGCAAGAACTCCTAGAGATACTAGAACTGGTCCGGATGATGCTAACCATGCCCTTTGATGAGGTGCAGCTACCTGCAACACAAATTATGTAGAAATTCGTTCCAAAAATTTAATTGAAAAAAAAAAAATGTTTAGTTATTCCAAAGAAAGAGTCACTTACTTCAGTCACATATAAGTAAAGAGCGTTTGCCATTCCAGTTCCAATCCCACTGATTAATCTTCCAGCATATAAAACTGGAACATTTTGTGCAAGGGCTATTAAAAGCCATCCCATAGCATGCGGAAGTGTTGCTAATGCTATAGCTGCTCGTCTTCCATAACACTCTGCCGTAGTGCCTGCAATAAATGCACCCAAAGGGTTTGATATCACTCCTAAGGATGCTATCCATGAAGCTTCATTGATGCTTGCAAATTTAGATTCTAGCAATTTGGGTAATAAAATTGCACTGAATCCTTGAGATAATCCGACAGAAATTTGTCCTGAATGTGCTGCTAATCCTGCAAGTACCTAAAAATACCAAAGAATAATTCACTTTTTAGTAACACATAGTATTGAACTAGAACTTGTATGCTGAAAAGCTGCAGAAAGCTTGGAAAATGATATTAAAAAAAATAATGAAAGGAAAATAAAAGAAAAGAGTAATAACTTTTAATAAAATTAGTACTTACACCTTTAAAATTGGTCGTATGTAATAATTTCCACCAATATCCACCTTGTTGCATTTTCTTTCAAACTGTTGGTAAAAAAAGAAACAGGTAAATTATTCTCCTATTAGATAATTCTATGATTATTTTATGCTGATACAATTATAATAATGATTGTTGTTATTATTATGATTATGATGGTTATCAAACTTTTAAAGATACTACATCACGTGTTGGAAGTCACGAGAAGTCTTTTGGAAGATGAACGAAATGAAAGAAGAAGAAGATAATTGAACATAAGATGAGTAATGCATCAAATTGAATGATAACTCTTATTATCAATGACTCAAAATGCTTAAGTCAGAATTTAAATTTTTGATTTATGCTTGTATCTATTTCCTTTATTATATTTTTGTCTTCGTAATTAAAAATATAAAAACTCTCATTTGTCTTAATATGGCTAAAAATCTATTTGATATTGAGGTTGAATAATAATGAATGCCGTCATAAATTAATATCGATTTCAAAACTTTATTTCTATGTACTTCTTACATTCGAGAGTTCAAATTACTCCAGAGGATAAAAAAGTAGGATCAATTTTATATGGATCACATGTCTAGAATTTCCAATCACACATAATGTCCTTTTAATTGGCATTTTTATATGCTTTTTTAGTAATTGTTATGTCTATTCAACAAGGTTTAAAGAAATTATTAGTATCAGTTTTTTCAAAATAGATATATTCAATTCTTAAAAAATCACAAAAATTCAGGAAAAGCAAAAAATAAAATTTGAATGTTGAATTATTTTTTTAATTTATTTGACAACTTACCTGATAGTTAAAAGTCGTAAAAAAAAAACAATTTTAATAGTTGTTTTTATTATTGATTTTTTTCACTGTATCGGTGTACATATATTGTCATTAAAGAAATTTAAGAATACTTTTGAATAATAAAATAAGATATTGAAAATAATATTGATTATGAACTGTTAAATCACATAGTGATCATGTACCTTAAAGAATAATTAATAACACATAATTAACACCTCAATAATAATTAAAAATCACAAATTGAAATATTTGCAATTTAGCATAATTTATGATTATGATTTCTTTTATCACGTAATTATCCTGGAGATTTATGAATCTTTAAGAGTTATTATTATAATTTAATAACTGTTATTATTTTATTTTTTGCGTTTTTTGTTATTCAACTGATCATCGACGATTTTTCAAGTCTCACTGAGAGCAATCGTCGTGCAACACCGGCATTTATACTTTTATTCTTAAAGTAGTAGTATATATACATATATATCGTCGCGTATTATACTAATCGTTAAAAATGCCAATGTTTAGTTTATAAAACTTTTATTATTATCCTCTCACGTTTCTTTTAACCAACCGTTTTCTTTTGTTGTTATTTATTTTATATTTTTTACCTCATATATTAAAAGGAAATTGTATGACGTTTTATTTTTGTTACTGTTTATTGTCATTACTACTTGATGAATATTGTTATTTAGATATTTCAGGATATGATTATAAAAAAGGCATTCCCAGAATAAATTGTGGATAATTGATGATTAATTTTGATTAAGAGAGGAGTATATTGATTTTGTGAAAATGATTATGCCGTTAATACTGTCATTTTCCTGAAATAATGTGTCTTACTATTATTTTTTTATCGATAATTAATTAAAAAATATTTTTATGCATCAAAAGAATTTCAACTTAAGTAATATTTTCAACAAAAAAGTGTGAGTTTTTGTTGAATTATCTGCATAAGTTAGTGATATATAAACAATACTAGTCATAAATGAATTTATTTATTATTTATTGTATAATAATAAGTGAATAAAACATAAAATATTATAAAATAGAAATTAAAAAAGACTGTGAAGATTGTGGACTATTTTTTAATTGTAATAGAAGAGTAAAAATATTTATAGTGATCAATAAAAAAGACATTTCTAGACTAAAGAAACTCCAGGATCTTTAGAGAAAATTCTTGTTTACTTGTTAGCATTATAAAAATATAAAAATAGATATAAAAAAAATAATTGATCTGATGAAGGCGGAACAATTCAAGGAACATTTTCTGTCGCCTCAGGATACATCACCCACTTCTAAACAAGATCAACTGCCCCTTTTTAGTTATTACTAACTAATAAGAAAACCGTATCAAGGACTTCAATCTCCGGAAGTTCAATGTCTTAACAGTCTTTCAGACTTCTAAATCTATTGAGTCATCAAATATAATTTATCCTTCAAGATGGATTTACATTCATATGTTATCAAGTCCTTGTACTTCCTTCTAAGGATTTATCATCGGAAATAAGCTTGTTTTTGAGCAGATATCATTAATTATTGAATGTTTAGCAGAAATCATGATTATAAACTTCAAAGAAATCTCTTGTATTTGTTTGTTTTTAATTATATTTCATGATAAATAAACTATTTATTTATCTGTGATTATTAACAATTATAATCTTTTACAATTTTATTCATTAAAATTGTGCATATAAAATATTTTTTTGATTGAATAGAGCAATAATCTAGTTAGAAATTCAATGTACATAAAAATTGTTAGGATTATTTCTTAATACAAATATTTGAAATTATTATTATTCTTGGGTAAACATCATAAATTTTTTTTTAAAACAAAATTACTAATAAAATTGAAATTATCAATGAAAATCTTAGTTCACACTTTGTGCAATAACAATTTTTTTATTGCAAAAAATGATGAAATATTCATTAAATTTAAATGTTGAAATTCGATACAAACTATTCTCTTAGAACGCATTTTATTACTTTAGACGTATTTAAAAAAAAATATATGCACATCTAATGTTTTGATCATTATCAATTATTACCAACACATTTTTACTACGTCACTGTATGTTCTTGTTTAATCACCTTATTTTTATAATTCTATGTTTCATCCAAGTTAAATCCAAGATGTCATCTTTTAAAAATCTCTGTTACAGATTTTGATCACGATATCAAATGTTGAAGATTCAGGAAAGATAAGTTGAAAAAAGAGTCAGATCAAATTTTCTATTCCTCTAATGGCATTAAAAGATGCTGATTATGTCAAGAATCACAATAATGCCAATTGGTGTTGCTGATAAGATTTGTAGACTCGAGTTGCATCATAATTGCAGTGCTGTAAGTATGTATTAAGGAAGTATTAGTTGATTCATTATAGAAGATTATGAAAAGAGAGAGCTACAAATAATAAAAAAAAATAGTATTAAATCGTTCACACTTCTCTTCATAGTCTACTACTTTTTATTCATTTAATTTATTTATTGATTATTGTCTTCTTTACTGCAAAATATAAAAGTTATTGCTTTTTTTGTAACTTTAAAGCCACACTAATCGCTCACTAAATGATTTATTTTACGATAAAAAATAAAGTTTATTATTTTTTTTTTTTAATTTACGTTGGAAAAAATACAATTTTTCTAAACGAAATTTATACATTGAGGTACAATTGAATAGAGAGTTTCTAATCTCTAGAAAAATTAGATTCAAAAAGTGTTTTGTTTTTCAGCACTGTGTCTTACTATTGCATGATTTCCTGAATATATTTGAAAACATTTTGTTTATCGTGACGAAGCTCTTTTTATCTTAAAATCTCCATTTTTTTGCATAGGATAAAAGTCAAAAATAAAATGAAAAAATTTAATTTTACCTCAAAATTTATTCAATTGTTTAATTATAAAATATTTTATATATCCTAGTAATCTTAATATTCGTTTTAAATAAATAAATTATCATAAAATTTATAACAAAATAAAGCTGCATGATTTCCTTTATTTGAAAAATATTTGACTTCTAATATATTTGAAAAGTCACTATGAGTCTTAATAAGATAATCAATAGAATTATTATTACATAAGAAAATTTCAAGATTTTATTTAAAAAATCCAGTGATTTTCCTTTCTTTACATAATTTTTATAAAGATTTTAATTGGAAAAATATGTAGTTAATTTTTTAGATTTCAAATCTGAATCAAATCAAAAAAATAAGTAACAACTCAATCAATTCATGTACTCATGTGAAACGTTAATAAGTTACAAGTTTATCGTACAAAAAGATGCCTCTTTGTGATTTACAAAACAGTCATAAACCTTTCAAATATTTTTTTTATACATATATGTTTTTTTTTGACGTAATCATAATCTTTCCATCTATTGTGAATCAGAGTATTCTGGAAGATGGTAATATCCAATTTATGAGATGGAAAAAACCTACTAAAGACTCGCATAATATCTGTGAGAGTGATAATTATTTTTTTTCCCATGATTTATCGATAACATTATGAAGGAATAATTTATATATTATAAAAAGCTTTTTAATAAACTACAAAATTTTTATTCTTTTATATCCACTAACCAGTTAAATAATATATCATTATAAAAAGAACAGCATTTACTTTAACTAACAATTAAAAAAATTTATTTTAAGAAAAATAAAAATAATTTTTTCAGATTAATATCTAATAATTAATACTTATAAATAACTCTTTCACGATGATTAAGATAATTGATTAAATTTTCGATTTATAATAACAATAGGTAATTGAATGACAATTAATACTATAATAAGATTGAATAAATTTTATAATTTTTTTCCAATTATTCAAGACTCTTCATTAATAAATATCTTCTGAGAATCATTTGTTGAAAATTTAATTTCAATCTTTTATTATCTTGGCTCAGACGTCAGTTGACAAATTGCGGACAATTTGGAAAACAATGCAGTAACATCACTCACGCGATATCATGTAATATAAATTTAACAATAATTTTTTGCTTGCATTGCTAACATATTGATAAAATGCATAAAAGTATTTAATTCTATTTGATACTTGTGCAATAACAAGTTTAAGAATGATAAAAATGTATATAAACATGTATGTGTATAGATCTTGGGTAATTGTCCTTTAATCACTGTGCAAGATAATTGTATTCATTTCAAAGTCAGTCAATTATGTAATGATTAAATAACGAGTCTGAGTGTAACCTTGGCAATGACCACAGCGGAACAAAACCAATATACGTTTTTCTTCATTAAGTATAAGATTCAATTCAAATTTCTGTATCATCATCAGTATCTGACGTCATACTAAGATGCTATTACGATTAAGCAAAAAATAACTTAGTAAACAAAAATAATTATCAGTGTGAAATGTGTTTTATATTTATTGAAAGTAAAAAAAGTGCTAGGAATTTTTTAAATTATTCTTACTAATTCATTTTAAATACTAAACTTATTCATATTATTACCAAGTGCATAAAATAGTTCTTTAGGTTTTTATTGCAGACTATTGAATCTTTCTAATTACTGCCGTTAATAAGAAAATAAAAAGAAAAATCATGAATAGTAATTATCGATAGAAAGGAATATTTTTTTTTTACATAATCTTCTAATTTTTACGCTTGAAAAATTATATTTCTCGAGGAAATTCATTCAATGCTGAGTGAGTTTGAATGTTGCAAAATTGATTGCAAGAAGTTGATTAGCAAAACGATTGATAAAACCAATTTATGTAAATTATGGTCATTTTGTTTTATCATTATAAAAAATTCAAAAGAAAGCCTATTCTACTATTTCTGGTAATTATAATTAAAAAAAAAATACTTCATAAAACAATAATAAACTTATTCTTGTCAATTTATCATTCTTTTATCGTTTTTTTTTATATACAATAATTGATTTGTTCAACAACATATAATTTAAGAATGATGAATAAGATTATTAAGCTTACAAACATATAATTGTACATTTGATATGGCTATTATTGTAGTTTCTTATATTTAAATTGTAATACTATTTGATAAATCATATTTTTTTTTCATATTTGATTATTAGTAGTTAATTACCAACTAAATGATGATGTAAATTTTGAATTACATATAAAATTTATGTGTTATATTGACGTATTAGAATATTAATATTAAAATTATAGATCGTTTTATTTTTCATTATCTTGATCATTAGAAAAAAACGATTAGTGTAGAAACGACGATATTAAAAATTCAATCGAACGTTCCAGAGATGCAGTTGATATTAAATACATTTTTTCAGAAGACATTCGACAACACAACTTAGCTTACATCGTTCTGAATAATCTCTATAAACATGGAAAATTTTCAAAATTAGAATTGTTTATTCATAAGTATAATTACGAAAAGTAATTATAACATCAAAAACAATTATTTGGATAATTTTGTCAATTATACATTTTACTTCCTTTTATTTGAATGGAAACTAAACGGAAATTGCAGTTAATTTAAGATCTAAACGATAGAGGGAAATACGGATATTATGACCTTAGAAAAACCATACATCATACATATATCTAGTAAATGATCTATCGCGCATGCGCATACATTTGAAAATGACTTGAGTGAATTTACAGTAAAATTATCAACAATGAGTATACTAAAAACTCAATCATTTTATATTTTTTTTGCATGTTTTAAAAGTAGTGCATTATTAAAATATCAAATGTGATGAAGAGAAAAAAATTATATTGATAAAAATAATTAATTAAAATGGGTATTACATTGAATTATTGCTGCTGTTGTTATGATTTAAAATCTGGGACATTAGTAATTGGAATTTTAGTTCTCGTGAGTTATAATAAATATATAAATATTTAATATAGAAATTATTTATCATATTGATAAACTGATTAATTTTCTTAAACAGATTGTTGATATTTTTACTATTATTTATGCAAGTATCTACTATTGTATTGATAAAGGAATTCTTGAAACTTATTATCCAATTGCGAACAAAAATATAAGTGATTCAAAAATAGTATTAATATTTTTCATTGGTATAGTAGTGATTTTTCTTACATTACTGATGATCTTTGGATCATGTAAGGTAGAAAAAATTTTACTTGAATTACATAAAGTTTTCAAAGTAATTAGTTCATTATACATAAATATGGAAATATTATTTTCAATCCTTTAGAACAAAAGTAAATTTATGCTGCCTTACCTTATTATAAAATGTGTTTGCCTGGTGATGGGTTTCATATTTTCTTGGTATGTCATAGTAATCAACTTTATCAGTGGTATTATTTATGGATGTTTTTATCTTTTTTCATTGAATGCTGTAACAGGTAAAAAAATTAATTTAGCAATTTTTATTGTTAAATAATTTAATTATTAACATAAATAATTTTTTAGCTCTTATTCTTTATTCTTGGCTTGTAGTGTATAGTCGAGGTGAAGAAATTTTGCTAGAAAAAATAATGGAAAGAGATAAAATTGAAATCTCAAGAGAAATTATAGTTATACCTAAATAAGAACTGTTAAAATATTATTTTATAGTAAATTGATTTGACTGTTTATAACTTTTGTAGACCACTTTTAAATGAATAAAATCTATGCAAAAACTTAATCAATATTATTAATCACTGCATAATCCTATAATAATTTATACACATATTATCTAAGTTAATTATTTGTTTTTGTTATTTTAATCATTCTAAAACTATCAAAATTGTAGTGAGTTTTTTTTATTTAACTATTTCACTTGACTATGAACCCACACATATACATATGAACAGCAAGAATAACATTGTTATCAATAATATAATCTTTAACTACTTCACCGGTAGATATTAAATAATTAATTATTAAAATAGAGTTTCAGAACTTTGTTCGCTTATTTACATTAATTAGCTTATTAAAACTAATGATGTAAGATATCTTATTGGAGATTGTTATGGTCAGTATTGTAAAATTAAACAAAAGTAAATAATAAATTGCAAGTAAAATTTAAGCAGAATTCGTTCATAAAAAGCACATATATATTATAATAAATATTATGCCCTAGTATATGCATAATGAAGTGGTACAATAATTGGAAAAAATTATTATTGCGTGTATTCTTATACCAATGAATAATATGTGATTCAAACACGTCATTCTTCTATTAATTGTATAACAGTAAATTCACTTTCGTAATAAATGAAAGAAGTGACATTGTAATTGACTGAATAATCAGAAATCAATTTATTAGCATCAAAAATGATACATCTGGATCGGTGTTTTAAATGTTTTGATTTGAAATATGCAGCTATTCTCATTGGAACTTGTTATTTAGTGAGTAATTGTATCTAATCAGTTTTTTTATTAGCACAATTAGTTTATCCATTTTTTCAAAATTTAGACAGGAGAAGTATCATCAATTATTGCATTGGTTTTATGGTATATAAATAGTGCTGATTACGCCTATACAAATTTCAGTAAAAATCCGTTGAAAGTAGTTGATAATCCATGGATACTAATCATGCCAGTACTTACTTGTGTTTGTGCAATTGTAATAACAATCTTGATGATATATGGATCGTTGATGGTAATTTATTAAAATACTTAATAATAATACACGATCTAATAATTTTTTTTAAGAAAGTGTTTATGAACTTATGTAGTCAATGCTTTTATAAATCAAGAATTATTGAAGAAATATCATTCAATTTATACTTTACCTTTTATTTCAGAACAAATTTAAAGTCATGATTCCTTTTTTACTTTTAAATTCCGTTGCGATTGTTTTTGGATTTCTTATATCTTGGGCTTACATCATTTTTTCTTTTATGGAAGAAGGAGCCAAAAGTTGTATCTGGCTGTTTGTTCTTAATGGCTCTATAAGTATTAACAAACAAAAATAAATAAATAATTGGTAATATTGAAAAAATATCATTCAATAATTTATTCATTTATAATTTTTTTAGTACTTTCCGTCTATTTTTGGATCGTAATTTATAATCGTTTAGAAGAAATTATCATCGAAAACGGATTATATGAAAAACAAATTGTAGAAAATACTCATCCTAAACATCCTGAACAAAATTTACAAAGCTGGGCAATAAGAAGAAATTCTACCCGTATCAAAGCTAATGATCGCCACAGTGCGTTGGAATCTTCTGAATCATTTGAGGAACCATTTAGAAAATCGACTAATTAATTCGATAATATTGTTGTCCAATTTACTATCACAATATTCTTTTTGTCTTCAATGTAAATTAACAATTTGTGTGTGTGTTCTTATTGCGTTAAAAAAATGTATATTCATTTACTAAGAAGTTGATGTTCATCCGATTTTTCAAAAGTAAATTAAATAATTGTTTTGTAATACACTTGGTAAATATTTATATGTAATGATGATAAATGTATATGCATAATTTAATAAAATCTTTATGTATTCCAAACTTTATTGGCACAGTAATTAAAATTTGACAAGTTAGACGTCAACTAACCTGAGACAAAAGAGCGCGAATGGAAAATTGTGCAATATTATCTCGAGAGTAAATTATCTTTTATTGGTAAATTACAAATTTTTTATCATACCATGGTAAAAAGACATAACTCATTCGCACGTTAGTTTAAAATAAAAATGGCACTGTTCATGCGTGCGACTAGCAACAAATATTCATTATTTATAAATAATTGTTACAACAAGTTGACAATTACTAATTTAAAGTTGAAACCATGCACGGATTTATTACGACATTCTGTTATATTAAATTTTTGTTCTCAACGTAATTCTCCAGAAAATAATGGTAAACTAACCTCAATATTATGATTCCCAATCTATCACATGATTGTAACCGTATGAAAATTCCTTTCTTTAAATATATAATTCGTTTTTTATCATTTTACAGATCATACAGAAGATCAAGAAGAAATATTAAACCCTTTTTATAAATTTATTGCATACAGAAAAAGAGAAGCAAAGCGATCAGTTATTATTCAAGTTCAATCACCAGATTCATACCAGGATTTATACTCTTATTGTGCTGCTTTTGGAGCTATAAATCAAATGAAATTTTATAGCGCATCAAATCGTGGGGTAATAATTCGTTAGTTATATATATTAATAATTTTCAAAATTTATTTTTAATAGGAAAACTGTTAATATTTCTAGCATTTTTTTCTAATTGAATTCCAAGATATATCAAGTCAAATATCACTGATAAATTCAGCTACACATATTAATCACAATGAAATACTTCCAGTGAAATCTTCAATGCTATGGTTTAGGAATGTATATAAAAAATCGGGGAAAATATCTAAGAATAATATTCCACCAATGCCAGAAAATGATATTATAACTGAAAATCGAATAACTGACAGTATAAGATCACAGAAATCTATAAATGATCAGATAAATTGTTTATATAGATTATCAAAATTAGAAGATATTGGAATTCGATTACGATTTTTTACAGCATTACAATTAGAAGCCACATTAATTGGATTATTTCCAAATGTCACTGCGTTACCTTTTGGATCATCCGTTAATGGATTTGGTAAAAGAAATTGTGACTTGGATTTAATTTTAAATTTTGAGCCTATAAAAGAAGAAAAAGAATCGAGCAGACTTGTATTTCATACAAAATCAGCAATGCCTGTTGAAAGAGCACAAACAAAACGTTCAATGGAGACGATAGCGACATTAATGCAACATTTTATGCCAGGAGTATATGATGTAAGGAGAATTTTGCATGCACGAGTGCCAATAATAAAATACCACAATTCGTTGACGGATGTGGAATGTGATTTAAGTATGACAAATATGATTGCTTTATATATGTCTGAATTACTATACCTTTATGGAGAAAGTGACGAAAGAGTAAGACCTCTAGTTTTTACGATAAGGAAATGGGCTTTGGATGTAGGAATCACGAATCCTTCTGCTGGTCCTTGGATAACCAATTTTTCATTGACATTAATGATATTATTTTTTCTACAACATGAAGGCATTTTACCATCATTAAAAACTCTCCAGAAATTAGCTAGTAAGTTATAATTATTCTCTTATTTTCATATCCATTATTCATTAATTAATTAATTTAAAAAATAATTATTTTTTCAGGAAAGAATGATATAAGAATAACAGAAAACTGCGCAAACTGTACATTTTTAAGAGATTTAAGTAAATGGCCCAAAGAATCACATAATATCTCATTAGAGCGATTGTTAATCCGATTTTTCCATTTCTATGCAAATTTTGATTTTTCTTCGCGTGCAATTTCATTAAATGAGTCAACAAATATTGCGAAAACCGATGAATCTGCTCTTTATATAGTAAATCCATTAGAAAAGACGTTAAATGTTAGCAAGAATGTCAATGATCTAGAAATAAGGCGGTTTGTTAATGCAACAAGGAATGCTGCATTATTACTAGATGATAAAAAAAGTTGTAAACGAGGTTTAATTGATCTTTTTGCAGAAAAACAATCTAGTACAAAACATTTCATCTTGCGTGAAAACGAAAACAAAATAAATATTGCAGATTTATTTGAAAAAACTCATATTGAACAAAGTAAAGATGGGAAAAAAACCAGTAATGTTGATAATAGTAATAAAGATAATGTAGAAAAATCAAGTGATGAATCAAATTTAGCGAAGAAAGGTGTTAAAATAAAACAAGTGAGAAGATAGAATTTTTTAAATAATTTAAGAATTTCCACAATTGGAAATTTGTATGTATAAAGTATTAGACATTAAAATGAAACATTTTGTATATAATTGATTTTATTGTTGTTATTATAATTATTAATAGATCATATCATTATAATTAATGTTAATATTAATCTTTTAATTCATTTTTTACAATCATCATGGATGATTGATTAAGTGTACACTGTTTCATTTGTTTATATATAATTTTTTTCCATACTTTATATATTTTTTATAATTGTAAATTTTATTTATCTCATTTTTAATACTTTTCCTATGAATAAGTTAATAACATACATAATAATTCCATTATTTCATGAGCATTCGAGGGTTCTGTAATCGATAGAACCTAAAAAATTAATTCAAAGGTATGTTTTATTGTTTTATTTTCAATTACTTTAATTATTAAAATTGTCCACAATGGAATGTAGATTAATTCATTTAAAAACGTTTCTTTAAGTAGTTTATATTTTAACACAGTCATCATTTGATACTTGAATTTGATCATTTATTCATTTTATCTCTTGGTGTTTTTTTTATTTAATTTTTTTATTAGACTATTCTTAACTCTTGTGACTCGATAATATTTTTATTCGACATTTAATCAACATTTTTTACGTTTATCTTTTTTTTTTTTATTATCTATTTATTAATTATATTTTGGAGCAATAACATGTCGAGCTCATATTAAATTCGTATCGTGACGGTTGGCAGTGTCGTTTATTGATTTTTTATTTTTTTAATCTATCAATTGATTATTTCAATATTAATCATTCTAATTATTTCATTTATCTTCCAATTTGCCACATATGTATTCATGAGTTTAACAGTTTAATAATAGTTTATTTAACATAAATTGGAAGATAAATAGAATATTGAGAATTTTTTATTTTTCACCTATGTTAATATTTATTTATTTTTATCTACGTATTACCTAGTAAAGGCTCTAAGTTTCACTGTTATTAAGTATTTATTCGCCGGCACAATTAGTACAATTATATAATTAACATTAAATAACTAACAATTCACTTATTAGTTGGCAGCATCATTCATGCGTTCATTTTGCATTACCTTTTTCATTTGAAATAATGTAAATTGTGATTTAAAAAATCCCTTATTGTAATTAAAAAATTTACGGGATAGTAAAAAGTAATAAAAAAAAATTTAATTCGTTTTACTTTTACGATGATGGCGATGGTGATGAGCATGGTGATGTCTTTGAACTCGTGTTTCTTGCACAGCAGCAACAAGAGTTCTAACAGCCTCTTCATGGCCCTCGAAGCTATCGGCTTTCTTCAAAGGACCAAGACCTGTAACAGAAGCTTCAGTAGCTGCAGTACTTACTGGAGATCTTTTGCTTTTAGGCCGCGGAAAAGTTTCCCATGAGCGTTGTTTTTGCACTAGACTTGGAGTAGATTTAGACGAGGAAGTTCCAATCAATACTAGAACAGTTTTTCTTGGATCTTGACCTTGACCTCCAGTGCCATCAACAATACTTGATCTTCGACTACCGGATCCTGTAGTACTGATGCTATCACAGCTTGCTCGTCTTCTTCTTCTTACATCAGCATTCTTTTCAGTTGAGTAAAAAACATCTTCTGAATCACTTGCTGGATAAACTTTAACAGTTTTTTGTCTTTCAGAAATAGGATTGGGATCTTCTGATGGAGCAGCATGAATTTGTGCTTGAACTCGTGATTTTTTGGCTTCTCCAAGAGTTGATGCATCAGATATCCTCTGATACTCACTGTCTTCAGTAGTTCCTGGAAGTGGAAATTAGGAAGAGGAGAAAACTAAAGACTAACTTTTTAAAACAGATAAGATAGCCTTACCAGAAACCTGTTGCTGTTGTTGTTGTTGTTGTTGACTTTCAGGAACTTTTTCTTGCTCGATGTTATCTCCTGTATCTCCCCCAGTTCCACCTTTTAACGAACGATAGAGTGAGCGAACTTTACTAGTAGACGAATGGCCTGGTGGAGTTTTAGGTTTTTGACCATCAGGGGATTTTCGAGATCTTCGACTTTGACTTCGATCTCTACTTTCTTCTCGTCCGGGTGATTTTTTTCTATCTTCTCTTGGTCTTGCTTTTTCAAGTAATTGACTTAGAACTCCTCGCTTAGCTTCTGAAGACTTAGCAGTTCCATAAACAATAATGTTTCCTGCAGAATCAAGAAGAGCCCCCACACCACCAGACGGTGTCCTACTTCTTGGAGCATCTTTCGACTCTGCCAAATTACAAGCACGTAAAGTAAATTTATCATCAGATTACTTTAACTTTCCTTTGAAATTTAATAATTGCCTCACCTTTCATATAGAGAATGTTATCAGTTACACTAGAAGCTTTAGCATGTCTACAATCTTTAGAAGAGGCTTGTTGTTGAGGTTCTTGCATTTGTAGTCTTGTGAAATGATCTAAAAGTGCTTGCAAATGTTGATGGCCTGCAGCGTCAGCAGCAGCAGCACTCATTTCTCCGGCAGCCACTCCAGCCGAAAAGGATTTAACAAAAGGCTCCAACTGTTGCGTCAACGTCTGCAGTTGTTTAACTTCACCTCTCAACATCAAGATGTCATTCATTTGTGAATGGAAGATTTCTTTTTCAATGTGAATTTTACACAACTGCTCTTCCCAAAGAGCATCAAAGATGTCTCTCAGTCGTTCCAATTCAATTTGATGCTGTTCTAACTGTTGTTCTAATAATCTACAGTCTCGAGCAACATGATCATATCTTGATCCAAGTGGCGGAGTATTAGCACGTCTCAAAAGTGTTACATCTCGATGCAATTCATTGAGCCTCTCCTTCACAGTCATTAGTTGTTGACTCAATTCCTTTAGTTGTGAATCAAAAGTTCGGCAATGGCTTGAAAATGGTCCAGCATCTACTGTAGACTTAGGTAGTCTTGTGCTCGCTTTTGTGCTCTGCAAAATAGCCAACATTAAACTTGAAACCTAAAATACAATATACTCTAAAGAATCAACAATAGAATAAAAGGGTAAGTAGGTAAAAGACTAGAAAAAAGTTGAAAAACTCAAGATAATTCTTGACCAACTTTAGTACAATAGTCTGTTAGCATGAAAAAAAGGATTCTTGCCTGAAGAAGTTGGGGCTCTGTTGAGATTTGATGAGTGTGGTCATATAAATCCTTGTGCCCAGTATTTAATTGTCCAATAAACGGCTGAAGCACACGGACAAATTTATTTCGATAATTGATTTTAAAGTGACCAGTTAGTACAGGTGGTCTGGACGGGTATACCAGTTGAGCGACATGACCAAGTCGTTCAAGCATAGGATGAGCGAGCTCGAGAAATTGATATTTGGTAGCTCCACTAGTAAATACAGTACAAAGCATTAAATGCATCTGTAAAACTGGAAGAGCTGACCCCAGACTTAGCAATTGAGATCGAACCATTCTTTCTTTTATTTCAAATTGTCTTTGTAATTCAGCTGAAACCGATTGGTGAGTTTTCGTAATAGCATCTTGCATCCCTTGGCAATACGAATTAAGAGTGCGCTTTTCGGAATCTAAATTATGTCGCAATTCATCAAGTTGGCTTTTTAGAGCTAATAAACCATCACGCACCCCAGCCTGCAGTTCACAAATCGAATTGGCTGCTCTTTCCATTTTTTTTGATGCTTGTTGCCACGCCGTATCAATATCAACACAATGGATCCTAGCGTCATTTGGTGTATCTCGAAGGCAGGTTGCACATAACATAGACTTAGTACTTTGGCTGTACATAATAAATAAATCGCCATGAGTTGGACAACGTTTTTGAGTTTCTTTCGAGCATTTGCTCATATGCACAACTTCATGTGATGAGAACATTTTCGCACGATGAGTATGTTCTCGACAGTGGGTACATAAAGCTTGACCTGTTGATAAGTAAATATTATAGTTATGCCAAGTAAATATGCATAAATTACTCAAGCTATCAACATACCACATGTTGTGCAAAAAAACATAGTTGATTTGTCACGTTTGTCGCAATTGGCACAAGCTGGATTTTCTGAATTCGCGATCTCTACTAGTTGACATATCAATTGATCTACCGGAGGCATTTGTGCACCTTCTTCGAGTTGAGTAATTTGTCTGTAAAACCGATGGATTGATGAAAGAAATTGAAACAACTGAAATACAAATAAAGTATGGGTTACCCGCAAATTGGACAGACGACTTTTCCATCCAGGTGCGGTCCTCGTATGCATCTTGCGCATACCGTGTGGAAGCAGGAGAGAAGACACGGCTCTGAATAGTAATCTTGGCAGACACCACAAGTGAGAGGATTTCTTGGGGCGCCAGCCAGACTAGCATCAGCTTCAACCCCATCAGTTGTTGCTGAACTTGCCATTCTTTTCAGCTTTTTTCAATCCAATCACTGTCCACAGATGCCTTTCCCTACACTTCCTACACCCTTCGTTGAATATCTACCCCTGCATCAGACACTCCCATCACTGATCGATTCTTTCCGACGAATAAATGAAGAAAAATAATTAACGTGATATGTTTACCCTCCCTTGAGACGCATCTCCACTCGTGACGTGATTCCACAATCCGGCGCTGTTTTATCCCTCCGTCATTCTGACGTATGTACCTTATTCTACCTCTGCTGCTAGATGAGCTTGCAGAGCTTTCATCCCCATTTCATCCCGGAGCTTGCGCAACGTTTGACTACGTCATACCATCGCAAATCTCCTCAACCAATCCCACTGCGTCATTATTGTTTTTTAGTCGTGTGCGAGTTGCTTTCACAAACATATACACTAGAGATGTATTGTGCCAACATCCTCAACAAACCCTTGAACAGGTCAACGGGCGTGAAAACTTTAGACCCAGGACCTAGATCTAGACATTTATTCTATTGTTAGCAACAGACCGAAGGGAGCACTGGGTTCAATAGAAAACAGAAAAATTGTCACTAGCCTTTTATAAAATGCCAATTAGCTGAACTATCGATCAAGACATACCATTGATTTTTATATAACCTCGAAAAATATACTATATCATTTTTTTGCTCGATGACATTTATTTATTCCTATTCAATTCTTTTTTAGTTACGGAAAATATTTTTTAGTATGCCAAGAGATGAATTCACGCTCAATTTTCTATGCCTCGGTGGTCGTTGAACTCTTTTATACATCACAAAGACTTTAGATGTGTTATTTCTTTTTTGTTTTTCGATGCTATTCAATTTTTCTTCTGTAAATTATTTTTTACATTTTAATTATACCAATTAGTCATACTTTTATTTATTTATTTATTATTTTTTTCATTGAAAAAGGTATTGACTGAAAGCATACCGAAAAAAATAAAATTATTCAAAAAATTCTACAGTTAATTTTTTTGTATCAAATAACATAATTATTCAAATTTCGCGCTTTTATTTATTACAAATCACCTGCTCAAGTTTAAAAGGAAAAGAAACTAAACAATCAGATGGCGCTGAATGTATGTGCTGAAAAATGGAGGATCAATCATAGCGACGCCAAAGACGCCAGTTGACATTGTTTCAGGTGTTCGACCTTTTTTAGAAAATTATTATTGTTAATTTTTAACAATACTGCAATCAATTATTATTCACAATGCCTTCAAGAAGTGAAGATATTCTCAAAGGCTTTCAAGTGTATCCTTTTTTTAAAAAAAATTGTATTTATAATAAAAATTATGAACATAATAAATGTACACAAAAACATAACCTAATAACCTAACCTTATTAGGTTATGTTTTTGATGTTTGGTCACAAAATGAATAATTATTACTCAAAATTTTTAATTATATTTTTTTAATGCATGTAAAATTATAACTGATATTTTTTCCTTAATTGAAAACTTATAATCATATAGTAATTGGATGAATTTAAGAGACGCAGATAGTGGAAAAATTTTATGGCAAGGAAATGAAGATTTGTAAGTATTTATACAAATAATGATTTTTTATCATCAAATTTATTAATAATTACGACTTTAACTTTAGTAGATTTGTTTTATTATAATTCTGATATATTTCGTTTTATCTTAATTTTAGCAAATGATTTTACTTTCGATTCAATAATTGCATTTTAATTCATGTTAAAAGAATTGAAATTAATTTCGTATGTTGTAGGTCAGTTCCTGATGTCGAACATGAAGCTAGAGTACCCAAGAAAATTCTCAAATGCCGTGCCATCTCACGAGAAATAAATTTCAGCTCCGCTGAACCCTTAGAGAGATTTAGACTTGAACAAAAAGTCTTATTCAAAGGAAGATGTTTAGAAGAATGGTTCTTTGAGTTTGGGTTCGTCATTCCTAATAGTACAAATACTTGGCAAAGTCTTATTCAGGCTGCTCCTGAAAGTCAAATGATGCCAGCCAATGTTCTAAAGTGAGTAATTTATTGATAATTCTTATCTTTTATTTATTTGTTTTAGTTATTTGTAATTTATTTTAACATAATTATAAATCTATTGTTTTACATTTAACTTTTTTTTTTTTTTAGTGGAAACGTAGTAATAGAAACCAAATTTTTCGACGATGATTTACTGGTCTCCACGAGTCGAGTTCGACTTTTCTACGTTTAATGAAAAATACAAATTTGTATCAAAACTTCGTAAAAAAATTACGACTAAGAAAACGGAGATGTTATTAGACTAATAATTTATTTATTTTAATAAGCACAACTCGGCTGGTGTGATTGCATTTATAAATATAAGCACTTATTAATTTTATTTATAAGTATTAAGAATGTATAATATAAATTGCTATTGATGAGAAGATAATTGTAAGAATAATGTTAGTTAGTTCAAATGATTGTTCACCGATAACAGTCTTTGTTAATGTAATACAAACTATTTTTTTGTAAATATAATTTTTATTTCACTTAAAATAATTCTGATTTCTTTATTTATACCCACCCATTATCACTCTAATTTTAAGACAAAATTGAAACGATTGAATTTCTTCAAATTATTTTCAATACATATCAATGATATAAGAAGTTGTCATGAGAAAGAGCAAAAACAAAGATATATATCTGGAATTTATATCATAAAACAATTTCATTTAACAATGTAAGAATAAATGAATGATAAAATATCACAGTCATATCGATTGTCAGCATTAAAAAGGTTTCGGAGCAGCCCCTGGAGACAGGGAAGCCCATTCGAAAGTAACACACTCTTGTCACCCCTAAAACACCTTTATTCTCTTTCTCGCTCAGTTCTCTCAATCACACAGGTGAGTGTGAGGTAAAAAAGAAAGAAAGAAAAAAAATGTTGAAGAACAAAGACAAAAATAAGAGCGAGAGGTTGCAAAATGTATGAAGAAAAGAGAAAAAGACCTGACAGTGGACAACGTCCACAAGTACGTGGTCTAGTGTATAACCGACTCGTGATTCAATTACAGCAACGACTCTTCGTCATTTTTTTAATTTATTATTTTATTGTTGTATTTTAGTTGAATTAATTATATTTAAATACCACTTTACTTTTTAATTAAATCACTGAGTATTTATTTATAAAAAACGGAGTCAGAAGTAAATCAAGGGCCCGTGGGTCCAATTTCACCATCAAAAACGGACAATCCAGAGCACGAAAGCTTTGGAGAAGATTTCTTCCACTCGGGCATGGATTTAAAAGCTGAGGATGATGATAATGTTGAAAATCGTGAACTTTATCTTGTAAATACACCACGGGATTCTTTGCCTGATGTGATAGTTGCGGGTTCAGAAGCCGTCAATGAAGAAATAAATGCAGATCTTCAGTCAAATACAATTGCTGGCTTGATGGCAGGTCAATCTTCAGTTTGTTTCCCAGCTAAATTCAGTAAGTGACTAAGACTAAAAGTTTATTCGTTGTGCTTTAAGCTTACTTGTTACTCGTATTATTTTATCTAATTAACTAACTATCTCTTCTCCTATTGAAACATGTCATACCCCAACCAAGTGGCTCAACCCCACTAGTCCTAACGTAATTTAGGGCCTTCAATTTAATTATTTTTAAATACATTAACTATACTAAAGGCTGAGCATTGCCAGTTTATTCAATTTTATTAATTGCTTTATTTTACTTGTATTTTTTTTTTCTTTTTAAAGTTTACAATTTTTTTTTATTGATAGAAGCAATAGTGTCAACGTTCTTCTTCATCATTATTGAGGTTCATCTTTTGACAGTGAATTGAATTCAGAAACTAGAACTTTTTTTTTTAAATATTCACTAAAACTGTAATTTTTTTTCTTTTTTACATAAATACATAAATACAATTTATTTATTTATTAAAATTTTTGTATCAACAGCTTATTAAAATATAATCTTTTTTTTTATTTGACATATAGATTTTTTTATCATCTATATCTGATTCAATTTCCTTAAAGCGTACGACTTTTCACCTAGTCCTGGAAGCGATGACCGTCACCAAATTTCCGTCGGCGTAGGCAAAAGAAAACAACGAAGGTATCGCACGACTTTTACAAACTTTCAATTAGAAGAACTAGAACGTGCTTTTCAGAAAACTCATTATCCCGACGTTTTTTTTCGTGAAGAACTTGCTCTAAGAATTCAATTAACCGAAGCTAGAGTTCAGGTATATTTTCCATAATATTAGTGACAACCAAAAAAGAAAGAATAATTATTAAAAAAACGGCCAAATGATCTATTTACAATTTCTAAATGTTATATTAAGTTTTCATAATTAAATTTATAAACATTTTAAGGTGTGGTTTCAAAATAGACGGGCAAAGTGGCGAAAACAAGAAAAACAATGTAAAGTTGGCATGACGTCACATCTATCACCAGACATTTGTCAAGAAGTACAACACCATCAACAGCAACCTATGCAACACCAACACCATCACCAACAACAAAACACTGAACAATTACTTTTAGAAGCACCATTAGGAAGTCCGCCGCCAATTTATCTAGGAATGGAGTGGGCTGGTTTTTCTCCATTCACAAATGTTGCAACTACCTCGCCTTTGATCATCAATACCTTAAATAAACCAGCTGAGCATGATGATAATCCACTTTTAGATCCAGATCTTTTGCAACTAAAAACTCCGCGATCATAATTTAAAATTTAATCTAATAAATAATTTACTTCTTCAATTTATTTTTAATTAAAAGTTATTTAATTTATTGTTTATAAATTTCAAAATTGATTAACAATTTAACAAAAAAAATCTATCACTTTCTTATAAATATTATCAATTTTATTTTAAATCAAAGAAAAAATTTTTATTAAAATTATAAATAATATATCTCAAATTGCCTATTCACAAAATGATGAAAATAATAATTATTAACTGATAAGTCAAATAAAATAGTAACGTCTTTATTTAATGTGAATATATTACATTTTTCCGTTAATGGTTTTCTTTTTTTTTAGAGCAATTAAGCGATTACAATACTTTATTAACAACTTTTAATTAGTTTTATTGAAATTTATTTTTCATTAAAATTTGTAAATATTTGTTTGCCCTGATGTCATTATCTTTACTATTGTTATTATCACTATTCTTAAACTTATTATTTATTTTTATTATTATTACTACTACTATTATTATTGTTTTATACTTATGAATATTAGCATCATTATTCAAGTAAATACAATGATATTTACACTTAGCAATCCGAGAGATGAACTATCAGTTACAATTTGTATATTCGATTTTTTTTATGTAAATCATGGCAGGAGTATAATTCTACAAGCAAGAAAATAAATTATTTATTTGATTGCTTATCAGTTAAGTATTATAAAATACCAATTAAGTAATATTAATAATAGTAATGTTAATAATAATAAAAATTAGATCAATTATCATTATCTTAGTGATTACGCGACATAAGAGTATTCATCAGCACCATTAAGCGTTCGTTCAATATATTGTTTATCGATAAGTGCCTCAATACATTTTTTGATCATACCAATTGACGGAGCAAATGTTACTTTGGATTGTTCAAGTACCTGTTGAATAATTAAACGTAAAATTGAAATTAAAAATCTTATCGTTATTTTTAATATTTAATGATTGTTTCAAAAAATCTTATCTATCCAATTATCAAACGATTAAAACGTGTATATTTATATATTATGAATCCAAAATGTAGATAAATTGAGATAACATTTACTCACCTCTTGAACTAACTGATTATGTCTTAACAGTTTCCTGCTTTTCATAATTCTCACAATAGCTGCTTGAAGATAAAGTTTTCTGTCGTCATCAACACTGCGATGTGTGGCTTCAGCATCATGTGGTGCATCCTTTTGCAATGCTCCAGTAACACGAAACTTAGTACGTTTATTATGATAATCAAGATTTAGCGAAAGAATAGTATCTTCTTTAATTTCTCCTTCAGTATTTTTTTTCAAAATTTTACAATCAATAAGACTAGCAGCATGTTTGACCAATTGATCATGATGCAGTCGCAATGAAACCGCTGCTTCATTAAAGGTCATAGAATCACATTGTTCAAATAATAATAACAAAGCCATTTGATAAGTCTGAACGGTTACAAGGTACGGTTTTTTTAAATAATTGAGCTTTAATTCTCCTTGCGATAAATGATGAAGCCAAGTAAGCTTTCTTCCACTAAACTGTTCATGATAAAAGCTTTCAAATGCTTGAATTGATTTTTCTAATTGTTGAGGAACATGAAATTGCCCTGGAAATGTTGGTAAACTTAACGGCCAAGCACCAGCCTGAAGCACATAAATAACAAAACCAATGCCAAGTTGATTTTCGGCATCACGTTCACGAAGACTATTAGTAAACTTTGCATTCAAATCAACAGAAACCGACATGTCAGTAAACATACGATGAAGTTTATTGGTAAACTCATAACCACACATTTGCTTCAGTCTATCAATCATCGTTTCTTCAGCATCCATAGATTGAGATTGCTGATGGATCAACCTTTTAGCCAACATTCTGGCATAAAATTTCTGAAAAACGTCTTTATCATCAACATATTTAAACACAGTAATTGACTTGGCAAGTTTTTTATCAATTTCCGACTCCGAAATTCCTTTTGTGGATTTTTTCAACAATGAATCACAATATTTAGCTAATAATTCTGGTGCCCGAGCTGGTTGCCTAGGGGGTCGATGATTCACAGCTGCCGAACAGGCTTTATCTAAAGCAGCCATAAACGCTTGATCTCCTCTAAATACAACTCCAATCATTTGTGAGTATTTCGAATGAACATTAAGCATATTTTCCACAAATTGTATATGCACATTTTCACCTTGAAGATCGCCTATGGCATTTAAACCTTGTTGAGTTATATGCTGAGTTAATTTTGTTATCAAAGGTGATAAAGCACCAGGAATAGAACGTAATAAAGGATAAAGTAGTGATAGGTCTCGTTTACGTTCTTCTTCAATCATCGTTGCTGACTCTGCATGAAGCCAACGAATAGGACCAGCTATCATTTTTTCTTCACAACACTGACGTACCTTAGGCACTGATGTATGATGTAAAAAATTATGAGCTCTCATGTCTTCTTGTATTAATCTCCAAGTCACTCGTTCCATATATTTTGTAACATCAGATTGTTGTAAAAGTTCTGAAGCTTCTCGAGAATAAAATTCTCCACTGGTTTCTAAAAATGGTGTTTCAAAGATTTCTTGATATAATTCTAATTCTCCTTTTACTTTATAGGCTTCTACTGCTACAAAGCTCTCTATTACTCCACAAATTACGTCTGTTTTTGTTGTTTGAGCTTCACCCATACGATCCGCATGAATTCCTTCAAGTAATAAAGATACTAAAGACTTCTTTAAAGGCTCTATCATTTTCTTTTTCCATATATCTAAACCTAATTCTCCAATCTCCATTTGTTCTAGGCAATCTGCATTATTTTGCGTTGACGACCCATAAATTAATTCGGCGTCTTTTATTTTCTGTTTTTTTATGTGTTGTTGATTTAAATACAAATATAAACGATGTAAATAAATTATTCCTTGTGAATATTCCGTCCAGTAGCGATGATAAGTTTGTAATAATGCCGATTCTCCTTGAGATTGGACTTTTGATAGCAATTGAGTTACATGATTGTCCAGAAATCTTTTTGTTTCATTATACAAACGATCTGCCAAGGGTTCTGGGTATGCAACGCATAAGGAATAAACGTCACTGAAAGAGCATGATAAATACAGATTAATTAAAAAAAAATTGATTATATATTAAATAACATTATTTTAACTACATTCTCTGCATACCTAAATCTATCATTCCACGTCGATCGAGGGACATCAGCTAGTGTAATAACGCTTTTGACAGTTTCTTGCAAAACACCCCAAGTTTGTCCAAAATCAACTTTTTTCGGTTTCAATGACATATTTGTAGTATTGGTCAATGTTTTGTTCATCGAGTGTAAACCCCGAAATTTTGTATTTTTTGTTGTAACTACAAAAACTGAAAAATAATTTAAAAAATAGATATTATTTAAAAATTATTGATGACTTTGCTGATCTTATGAACTAATTTATGAATGAAATATAGTTGTTGATACGAAATGGACTGTTTATTGTTGAAACGATTAAAAATTTCTTTCTTCTTGTCGTGAAATAATCTGGCGTTGATCCAAGCCCTCAATTTTCAACGATTCATCGTACGTATTTTATCATTTAAATGAGGTTAGAATTATATAAAAATACGTCCATGTGTGTAAAAATAGAAAATTATATTTTAAACATTTTTCTTCAGTCTTTCTTTTGTATTTACATGAATTCATTTCAGGTTAACAAAACCGAAATCCAACAATAAAAACATCTGAAAGCAACTGGAATAGTTTTCGACTAAGTCAATAAACTGAAGCATTAAGTATATTGTAAATGTATTAATAATTCAAGAGAATCCTTGTTTCAAAGCATTAATATTTGAATTTTTAGATTAACCCTGAAATTTGTAAATCAAGCGACAGAGAAGGACAAAAGCATGGGATCCAGATGTTTCCATGTGCGTCACAAACACTTTAGATGTGAATGAAAGTTTAGTGATCAAATATCTTCTATTATGAGATATTTACTTACCTTGACTATTAATCAAATTCTGTTATGATAAAAATAACTTAATTTCAGTTTCAAATTCTATAATGGTTTAACAAATAAATTACGTTTTGTTTTATATTTCATGACATTTGCAGATTTTCGCATGTAGGCAAACATTTCACATAAACTATTTTTTTACTCGATTTTACACGATTGTCTCCTCATTTATAAATGGTGTATATATTTTTCAGTATTTTTAATAATAAAATAGATTACATTAATTTGTTAAATGTTTTTATTGATAAAAACACTGAGAAAACAACTACAACTTTAACAGTTCTTAATAACATTCAGCCATATTTTTTTGGTGGGGATAAAATGATTGCAACATTTTCCGCGAATAATTCCCACTTTATCTGCTAATAATAAGGTTGATAATCAATTTATTGTTTTCAACCAGTATGAACATACACTGCTCTTTGTTATACGCGTGCGCCGACGTTTTCGTTGTATCAAATTGATCACGGTCCTAGTGTTGGTACATCATTCACTAATATTTGAGTGATTATTTATTGAAAACATCAACAAAAATGGTAAATACCTATCTAAATATAACTGTCAAAAAATATTATTAATAAATTTTTGAAATAAAATAAAAATTAGATCAAAGTATCAAATAAAAACAATGAATCGTTTTTGAAGGTTAGGATAATGTTGTAGGTTCAATGACAAAGCAGGTTTGATCGAAATTTTGCAAAGAAATTAAAGAACACTTTATTTTTAATTAGATTTATTTGAAAAATCATTAAAATAATCATTTCAACAACTTATGACTTAATTTATTCAAAATATCTAATAGCTATGTGAATGTAACTAAATTATTAGTAATGACACTATGATTTGTTTCAAAAATTGTTTCAATTTTCAAATGTTAATATCATTAAATTTTTTAAAACGAGACTAATAAATTTATATTTTTTTGTAGAGTATTTTAGCTTATAATGGTGGTGCGTTAATCGCAATGAAAGGAAAAAATTGTGTAGCAATTGCTGCTGATCGTAGATTTGGTATTCAAGCACAGACAATAACTTGTGACTTTCAAAAAATATTCGAAATGGGACCACATTTGTATTTAGGATTGCCAGGACTAGCTACTGATGTACAAACAGTCATGGAGAGATTGAGATTCAGATTGAATCTTTATGAGCTTAAAGAAAACAGACGCATGCATCCAAAAACTTTTGCTTCAGTTGTTTCTAATTTATTGTATGAGAAGAGATTTGGCTCTTATTTTGTTGAACCAATAATTGTGGGACTTGATCCTGTAACCTATGAGCCCTACATTTGCAATATGGATTTAATCGGTTGTATCAATGAACCCGATGATTTTGTTGTCGGTGGCACATGTGAAGAGCAGCTTTATGGTATGTGTGAAACAGTTTATGAGCCCAATTTGGAGCCTGAAGATTTGTTTGAAACAATCAGTCAAGCACTTGTTAATGCTTGTGACCGTGATGCTATTTCTGGTTGGGGAGCCATTGTCCATATAATGTAAGTGTTTTTTTTGTAATTGTAATTTATTCTAATTATTTTACAAATGTTTAATCATTTTTAAATTTTTTTTCAGTGAAAAAGACAAAGTAACCATCAGAACAATTAAAACTCGTATGGATTAAATATCGATAATTTTTTATAATTAAGTAAATTTATGCATTTTTGATCAGATAAAATTAATTATTAAAGATCTAATTTTGATCCAAACTTGACTCAATTATTTTAACCTTCAATTTTCATAATAATTATATTGAAAAACGACATCAAAAAGAAATCATTGAATAGAATTTTCTCTTGTACGAAGAAAAAACATTAATTCATTTCTTGGCGCTCTGAACTCAATCGGTGTGGAATATGTATATTATCGGTCGAGCAACAATATCTCCGGTATTATTGTCGTTTTATTGGGAGTACGTTGTAATGTGAATTCTAAGTCCTGTTATTTGCTCCAATTTTGCAAATAATAATGGCTAACGTGTTACGTCGATCATTTCAATATTTGAACATAGCAAAAACTAGTAAGTTTACTATGTGAAATTATGAATTTATTATTTAATGATAATTATATGGAGCATACAATACTTAAACGTTCTAACCTATTTGAAATACTACTGCTGTATTCATTAATTGCTATAAACAATCTTAATTATGTTTATTAATTATTATAGGTTTATTAATATCAAAATATTCTACTGCATTTAATCAAGATTTAAATAAAAATTACTTTCCACCATTTCTTCATGAGTCATCAATAACTTCAAAGTCTAATTATGAACCTAATTTGCGTGTATCGGCAGTTCCATCTTCCAATATCGTTGATTTGGGTTTACCACAAGGAATATATCGAAAAATCATTGATACTCCAATAATGAAAATACCGCGAACAATTATTGATCCATTAACAATATCCATATTACCAAAAGAAGATAAAATTTCGGACAAATCCTTTAATTTACCTACTCCAGAAGGACAAATAGAGAAGAAAGCACATCGAATGATTAGGATCAGGCGTAGAAAAATGAAAAACCACAAACTAAAGAAATGGAGAAGGAAATATAAAACTTTGTATTTTAATAAACTTCAACGAAAGTGGTTGAGAAAAGAAAAAGAATTTCGAGCAGAAATATTAGCTAAAATTAAAGCAGCTGATGAATATGATGCAAAAGCATACGTTGCTTCACGCCTGGCAATATTGGATAATGTTAGATTCCCTCATACTTATAAGGGGTATTTATTACCTGAAGCTCAAATAAGGCAATTGATGAAGGAAGATGAAGAGAAGTATAATGCAAAACATAATCCACCCAAACTCACTTTATAAAATATGTTTTTTAAAATAATTAATAAATTGATTTATAGAAATTATGAATATAAATAATAAATTGGATAAAAAACATTACTCTTGATCACTTTTATGGGGCTGAATAATAATTTCATTTAATTCATGTCATAAAATAAATAAGTTCATTATTATTGAGATTATTTACAATTAGAAACTTATAATTAATATAGTAATTGGCACGTTAGTTAGCAACTTTAATTATTGAAAAAGAGATTACGTACGCATTGTGCACAATTTGAGGCATTTATGAATAATAAGGCATAACAAAAATTATGCCTTTCAAGTACTTATATATACAGAAAAAAGCGACTTTGTAAGTGATATCATTAATATTTACAATTTCGTTTTTTTCGTGTACGTACAATCTTAATTTACCATTGTTTTGTGTAAAAAATAATTACTGATTTAACTTATTTTATATTACATCTAACAATAATATTACAATCTTTAAATACCTATTAAAAACTTGGAAGAACACATTTTTTAACAACAAATTTTTACTATGTTCTAGAAACATGATAATATGATAACAATATTTATTTGTTTTAAATGGTTCAAATCATTCTTCATGATATCTCTTTTACCTTTAACAAAATTACTTACAAAGAATATGAGGAGATATTTATCAAGGAAGAAAATTAATTTATTGTACCATTTTTTTTTCTTTTTTAAGTCTACATTTTTTATATTAAAATACTCAATGTATATTTAAAAAAAAGTCTTAAAAGTAGCACCGCAAAAGTCTTCGTCAGCACACTTATATCACAATAATCTTTGATATAAAATTTATTTAGGTAATGTTTCTGCTTTTTTATTTTCTAAATTTTGAGTTTTCCCAATACAAAACAATTTTCCTGTTTTTAAAGATGAATTTCTACCCGAAAAATAATCCTCAATTTCTTGAAGAGTTCTATTCTTCGTTTCAGGCAGACAAATATAAAAATAAAATGTTCCAAAGAATGAAATAAATCCATACAGTAAAAATGTTCCATGTTCAGTCAGTGTAGCTCTTAAAAATGGGAAGGTCTTGACTACCATAAATATAAAACCATGTGCTGACATCGTGGTAAGACCACCAATAATTCCACGCACTTGAACTGGATACACTTCACCAATCATAACCCAGGGGATTACAAGAAAACCAATAGTACATGCAATTGTGTAGGAAAAGATACAGAGAACTGGAATCCATGTCCAGGACGGTAGAATATTATTGGCTTTCCAGTAAACATTCATCCACATGTAACCGCCTAATCCTAACATGGAAAGTCCACATCCAAGTGAGGAAATCATTGTAAGTGGCCTTCTACCACATTTTCTGCATAAAACACAAGCTAAAATAGTTGATAACAGTCTAACTATGCCTAAAATTGTTGTTGCTAAGTATTTATTCATTGTGGCACCGGATTGTTGGAAAATATCCACAGCATAGAACGTAACAGCATTCGTTCCTGACCACTGGTAGATGAGGAAGTAGAAAAATAGCAATGTAAATGGTTTTAGTGCATTTGGCTGAAGTAATGCAATTATGATTTCGCGAGGTTTCGTCAGTCTCTTGAGGTTATTTTTATTTGAAAAATTTATGAGGGTATCCATTTCTTTATCAAGGTTATATGAGCTTCCTCGAAAGTGTTCCAAAGCTTTTCGAGCTTTTTCTGGCTTATTTCTAGATATTAAATAAGATGGAGTTTCTGGAAAAATGAACATTAAAATCAAAGCCGTAAAAGGTATCAGCCCACTTATTGCTGCACATATTTTCCAAGAGACTATGCTTCCTAATGCATATTCTAGTAAAACACCTGTGCTTACTCCTACACTCGATAATGCTGTCAGCATACCGCGGAGATGAGGTTGCGTCACTTCGCTAGTATAAACACGAGCTGGTGCACCAACCATACCTGATGCCAAGCCCACGAAAAATCGTCCCGCATAAAGCATATCAACATTTAATGCAAATGTTATCAAAAGCCATCCTAGTAATCCTGGGATTTCAGTTATTATAAGAGATCGCTTTCTCCCAAGTTGATCCATCATGTAGCCAGATAATAAACAACCTATTGGTGTTCCAATTGATGACATGCTGGCAATCCATGATTCTTGTACTTCATCAATACTTATTGTACTGTTAGCATCCCTGAGTTGTGGAATAGCAATGGCAGAAAATCCAAATGTCATTCCAGTATTTATCGTTCCTAGTTGGGCTACAAACGCAGCTAATACTTGTCTCACGGCACTTCCATGAGATAAATGTGGATTTTCAGGGTCTATTACATGGCCGTTTGAAGCTAAATTTGGTTTTTCAAACGATATAGATGTAGAAAACTGTTGAACTTTTGGCTTGAGTAAGCTGTCATTGACCAAGGCTTCTTTTTCCTTTTCATCAGTAGTCTTGTTTCTGAAAACATTAATTTTTTTTAAATTAATATATTATTTTAAAATTATCAGTATATAGGATTCAATACATTTAATTGGATTACAAATCACTTAATAATTAGATAAGATTTTAATTAATCTCAGAGACTTCTGAGGATAATTCAATTATAAGTAAACATTTTAAATAATAATATTACTTCTCAATTACATAATTAATCCATATTTTTTATATTTTCTAAAAAAATAAGTCATTAAAAATATTCCATAGTACAGCTATAGAATTGAAAAAACTTATCAAATTTTTTCAACTAAAATATTTTATCGTCCTCTCACGAGTTAGGTAATTATATAAATGCTATTGTTTAAATAGTTGACAGAGCCAACAACTTATTGTCATAAATGGAACACTGTTTTACTTATTAACTAATAGAATAGTGATTGAAAAAAAAAATAAATTCTTTGAATTAATTGACACATTACAAATAAAACATCAATTTAAACAATTGAAGTGATTCAATACTTTTTTTTTGTCTACACATCTATGTGTATGAGGTAGCGTTCCATCTAAATGATTATAATCATTCTAAGCAGTTAGATAATGTCAATTATTATTCAAGAATATACTGCTTCGATTAAACCAATTAGCGTTTAGCAGTTTTATTGACAAAGATATGTTCCTAGCAAACAAAATAATTCGTTTGTTCCAATTGATGCGAAGGTCATAATATCTCTGATAGATATTTCAACATGTTGACTAATTTAAAAAACCTAGTTATGTTGAATTCAAAATATATTCAATCAAATTTTTTATTTTTTTGCCTTCGACATTCTAAATGGACAGTGTCTAATATGAATTGTAAATTTGCTTGTAAATCATTTGTATTCTCAAAGACGCGAACTTGAATCTTCTTTAGTTTAGAGTTGAAGACGTGCCCAATGGCCTATATTTTATTTATAACTCTATTCTATCATCTAATGTCTTGTTCATTGAGTTTTTTCCTAGCAAAATTTTTTGTATATCACTATTTTTTTGCATTTATTTTTTCCAGATCATAAGAAGTAATTATCCTTTATTATAATACTTTGTTCGCTTATTTACGTCTGTAATTAAGTTCAAACAAAAGAGATAATGAAGAAAATGACAGAACTTAAGCGAAAGGAAGGAGTTTAATTTATATATCATATGGAAAATATTCCATTTTTAATGTAATTTACGGTGTGATGATTCATAATCTTATTATCAACTCATACGGAAGCATTTTTTTTTATTCATTTAAGTGCTTTCCAACATCTTTGCTTTTTGCTAAAAAGAAATATTTCCACTGTGTTTTAAGTAATTAATAATATGTAATACATTTGTTTAGTTGATTAATTCAATAAGCAAGAATTGCTTATCATACTTTGACATTAAACTTTATATTATGAGATCGTGCAGTTTATATTAATTACTAATATAAACGTAGCAATTTTTATGTTAATATGTATTGAGTAAATTTTCTTGGTACGTGATTGACTTCATTTGCAAGGATTAAATTATTAGCATTTATTAGGATCAAAATAGATAAATGAAATGACTGATAATAATTATTTTTTTCCACATGAAAGTACATACATTTACGAATAAACTATTTATGTTAATTTAGTAAAATATTTTATCATTTGATAAGCAATCGTGAATTTTTATAATTGTTAACACACTTGTGTAGATAATATTTTTTTGAACAAAACATTTGTTACTTGAATATTTTATTTACACAGACAGCAGATTTAGTGCCATTATTTTTAAGTCTGATTATATATTTTATCTAACAGTTAAATGAATTATGATAATACCAAAAGTTTGTAACTTGTTTGAAATTTGCAGAAAAAAATTGAAATGTCAATTGACAGTATAAATGATTAATTAGTGAGTCAATACTTACAATTCCATTTTGTTAATCTATGAATCAAACGCAATAAATTTGTAAACGTTTTTTTTTATTTAATAAATAATTTATTATTATAATTTAATTACACTATAAAAATGATTCTTATTGTTATCATTATTTTATTATTGTCATTAAAAAATAAATAATAACAAATAATTTTTAAAAACTTGAACAAACAATTTCTTCCTTTTGCCACGATTCATTTGTAAATACGTTCACTTTATTTTGAAATACAAGACAAAAACTTAAGTAATGATATATATATTTTTTTTTTATTACGTCAATGTTTTTAAATTTAATAAAAAGTGATATTTTTTGTTGAATTTGACGTTGAAAGATACGTTTGCACGTTACGATACGAATGTTTCGTGTCTTGGCAACTCATGAGTTTTATACATAAACGCACGTATTTTGCCTCTAGCAAGAAGAAAGATGATAAAAGTCCTAGAGTAGAGGGGGAATTTCAACTGTTTCGGCGTTGCCAACTTCAAGCTTTCACCTTTAGATAGCGCACTTATTGAACATCCATCGAATAATTCATTTAAATTTAACCACTTTATTTATTATTTATTCTCATAACAATCATAACACACTTAACACTGTAATCTCCTTATCAGCACAGTATTATTAGATTTATATTCATTTGATTCGAGGGAAAAAAATTTTCCGAAGATTAAAATAAGATTCTATGAAATTTGTATTCATCATGAGAAGTATAAAATGGACTTATCATTATCTAATAGCAGATTTAATTTTTAACACGATTTTAATAGCTGATAACTCATATAATCAGAGATAATAAACAAGGATTAATTAATAAAAAATAATTAGAAAATTTATCGACAGGTATTACGTCTGATTAGATTCTTTTTAAGTACATTGTGATAATAAACTTCATAGACAACTGGTAACTGATGCTCCAATCTTCGAACTCATGTCATAATTTTGCTCTGAATATCATCATCCTCCTAGTTTCCTAAGGTGGTGTAATCTTATTTATTTTTTATTGATCAAGTAATTATTTAAAGATAAAAAATTAATGTGTAAAATATTTCTTTTTTTGCAGTTAAATCAAAAAGTATTGGAAAATATAAAAACAAAAGCTGAAGATTGGCTGTGAGATATTAAGTTGAGTGAATAAATTGTCATTTATTGGGAATAAACATCTTTCCAGTAGCATTTTAAATAATAAAGAATTATTCTAATTCATAAATGATATAATAGTTGCGTTGTAGGTAAATAAAAGTTGTTTACGCATACACTCATCACGCAGTATAGACGTGAATGCAACGTGATGGATTTTACGCCAATGCCGGGTGACAAGGATATTATTTATTAGACTGTTTATTATGACTAATGCAATAATAAATTATTATTTGCCAATAATCCATCAAAGGAAATAACGCAGCTCCCTCTGTAAATTTTACTTTTGATATGTTGCAGAATATGTCTTATTGAATTAAAAATAATCATTGAATAATTTTGATACTTGAACATCGGTTACTTACGGTAATTTGTTATTTTCACTGAACGTACTGTAATTTCGATTGTAATTAACCAACATAGTATATTAATTATCGTAATACTGAACTCTGATGTAAATGCACGCGTATCTCTTATATGTTCACCACGAGGCACGACCATTAAATAGTTCCCCTATCATGTATTTTTTATACTGAAAGTTTTTTTTCTAATCACATCTCTTTCTTTCTTCCTTCGCTGATATCAACATGTTTATTTTTGGCCATTTATATTTAATAGCACATTTTTATTAATCGATATTGTGACAATACTACTGATAACAACAAAACAGTGATAACAATTATTCATTTACATTAAGAATTTATTTTTTTTTGTTAATAAAAAGATAAAGTAATTTTCAAGAAGTGTCTATTTATTATTGATATGGTTTTTTATCGTGAATATGTAGCTGAAATTATTCAATTATTATGTTATCTAAAAAAGAAAAAAAATTGTTTTTTTTTTTTAAACAGAAATATTAAATTCTAAATTAAATAATGTTATAATTATTAATTAAATGATTATTATGAGTTTAATTGCTTTAAATGAATAAATTTTCTACTCAGTTAATTAAATATTCAACTGTATGACTTGTTTTATTGTTATTGTTTAATTAATTGTCGTAATTTCTATTGCTAAATAAATTATTGTAATTTATAGAAATAAATTATCTTTATTTTTCAACGACCAATTGCAACATCTTGAATAAATTGATTATGATGAATAGCAATGTCTTAATAATATTCAAATGACAATTTATCCGCAAAATTTCTCTTCTCAGGATCTCATAAAAATGATCATTTTATCTAATAAAGAATCTCAATTGAAATATTTATTTTTTCTATGCTATTTTCTTTAAAAGCATTTATTGCATCACTGTCAACCACGTGTTGTATTGCTTACAACACTTTCACGAGGTGTCTCGTGACTATTGCGTGTTCCAGGATCGAAGGATTTGTTTAAAAAAGCATAACACGTGTGCAACATATATATTTATATTCATGTGATTTTAAAAAAAAATAAAAAAACTACCAACATCACAGTAATAAAGTAAAATAGAAAATGACTTATTAGGGATGGAATTTAATTGGATGTAATTAATTAAAATTTTTGTCGGTGGGAAATAGTTTCAAATGATGAGTCATGTTAGATCACATTCTAGAATAGGCCACAGATGGAAAGGATAATTTGTAAAAGGTCACAATACCAAGCTCTGATGATAGTAATTACGTAAGATGAGGAGATTATTAATCAATTAGATAAAATACATACGATGAGAGAAGGTTTCGAACAGTCGCGTGCCAATCATTTTTATTAGAATTAATGAAATTTATACCTACACTTAGTTCCCCTCCAATGTTGTTAAATATTTCAAGAAATATTTTCGCATCTATGCATCGTTATCTCATTCATAAATTGCAATATTGAATAATAACTTGAGTAATAGATTGAAATTGATTGGCTGTATTGAGGGCTAGACTGCGCGGCGACAGTTTATTTATGATGGTTTTCCTTTACTTATTATTTTACTAATACTCTGACATGTAGATGACTTAATCATTTTCTGTAATCAAGAAATTCTGTGTTAGTAAGTTATATATTTCACTTTGATAATAGAAAATATGTTGGGAAAATATTGATAACTTTTAATTGATATCGATTGAAATATCAACATTTTTGAGGTTATATTATCAAAAAATCATATGAAATTGATTTTAGATAAACTTATCTATTTGATGATCATCAATAATTCGCAGAAAAAGCTTTGAAACTGTAAGAAAATTGGAAATCGTAATCAATTGTCATTCTTAATCTTTAACAGCTTTCACCTGGAATAATACACAAGATTAGAATAATTGTACTTTCAATGACAATTTCTAAAGCACGTGCCAAATAAATCAGCTCAAATTATTGTTATGTAAAAAAACATGTTAAAATATTTATAACTTGCAAATGAATTGTGGCCAAAACACTTTTTGCATAAAGAAATAGATTTTCAATGTTTAAAAATAAACTTTTTTCATTGGATTTTCCTTATTGTTGCAAAAACTTGTTAAAAAATATATCAATTAGTGTAATTCTCATTTTAGTATTAGTTATTGATGACTTATTTTTCTTCATGAATAAAATATGACCAACTAAAAAGGTCAAAGTTCGATTAGAGAAGAAAAATATCGTTATCAGACTCCGATGAGTCCTCACGTGCTTTTGTCAGTCACAACAGGCATGTGACTCGTCATGTGATTCTTTTAATCTGTAATCTCTTTTGGTCACTCAATCGTTACTATATTACACACTTATTTTTTTAATATTTTTTTTTACTGTTATTATGCTTAATGAATATTGATAACGAATTTCAAATAAATTCATAATTGTACTAAGTATACGACCTTTAGTATAGCTATTCATCAAAGTTTATATAAGCAAGATTTAATTTTTTATCAATCATGGAGATAAAAACATTTATTAATAATTTTTTACTTAATAAAAAAATGTGTTTAGTCTAATCATCGTGTAATGAAAATCAATTACGACAAATGTTATTTATTAAAAATATGCTTGATAGCATATGATAGCAATGAATTACATCAAATTGTTGTTATTTTTTAAAATACTCCTAATAATTGAAAAAAAACTAATAGTTTTTTAATATTGATTTATATTTTCAACTTTAATTTTTATATCCACATCTATTTTTTACCACAACTTAGATATTTGGATTTAAAAAATAGATTCACATATACGTTTTAATATTTTAAATAAATTAATCTTCAAGTGCGACTTACAAATACAGTTCGACTACAATTATGAACCATAATCACATATTTACTCAACTGGTTTCTATTGATTGGAAAAATTCACAAAAATAGTTAAAAATAAATTTATTTCAACAATATCTAAATAAGTGTAAATTATTTTATTTCAGAGTATTGCTATTTAGCATTAAGATTTTTGAATAGTTAGAATGAAATTGAAATGTAAAAACATTCAGCAAATTATTCAACATTCTACTATCACGGAAATAAAATAATGCTGACAGAATAAAAAGCACCAGTTAACCGCTGTCTAGTTAAATATAATGTAACAAAACGTCTGGTAAATATTTTATTTACCACTTATCATATACATGTTTGGCTCGATAGAGTTTTTCTTACGAAAATAAATCAGATGGGATTTAAACAACTGCAAATAAATTTGTAATTCAATAACAAGAGAAAATAATAGTAGAAAAACGTAAGCTATAAGTTAATTTTTCCTGTGATGTTCAAAATAGAGATACAAGAAAAAATAGAGGAAAATATTTACTTTTACCACTAGAAGAAAATGATAGCTTGAGAAAGTAAGTGTAATGCTGAGCTTTAAATAAATAAGTATTCCTTGTACGCAAGTCCTTAGCAGACATGAAAGGTTCAACCCCTCCAATACATCGTAGAACTATGGATGTAAAGATCTATGGACTCCGGTAAAATACAAAGAGTTTATTTTTAACAAGATTTAAAGAATTTTTATATTTTAAAAATTCAATAAAATTGAAAATAATAATGAATGAATGTTAAAAAATTTTGTTTTGATTGCAGATTATTTGGTTTATGGAATGAAAAGTCAAAATACGTGCAGCTCCTTTTTCATGTTGGAGTTTTTGTCAACATTGTTCTGCTTTTTGTATATCTCGCAACTGTAATAGTTGAGATCTTTCTGACGGATAGTAATGTTATTATATTTGATTGTACTTTACATGTTGTTACGGCGATTGCATTACTTTGCAAATTTTATAAATTTTTTTTTGATCATGATCGGATTGATAAACTGATTGAAAAGATCTATAAACCACTGGATATTCTCATATTATCACCAGGTAAATATTAAATCAATGAATTGTTTTTTTGTTAACAATATTTCTTCTTTAAATACATATTTTCCAGATACTCAAATTCAGGATATAATTCAACGGAATCTCCATCAAGAAAAAATACTAGATATTTTTTTTGGATGTTGTTTTCTTATTTTTGACATTTCTGTAGCCTGTGTAATATTTACAGAAGGAAAGAATCTGCCTTTGCCAGGAAGGTTCCCATTTAATACATCAATTTCACCTCTTTATGAAATTATATTTAGCTACCACATGTGGGTGACAAGTCTTCATTTAGGAGTTGTACTTCTGGTAGATGAATTGATTTTTTCGTCCATAAGATGGATTACCGTTCAGTTCATTATTTTAAACATCAACTACCAGAATTGCTGTAATACCAGTTACAGTAAAAGTGAAAAAAATAGTGACGATTCTTTAGTTATTGTCAGTGTGCACAACTTTACTGATTTATTAAAAATCCATTTTCAAAACCATCAATATTTAATTGAACTAGTTGCAGAGTGGAATGCTATTTTCAATATGACCATGTTTTGTGAAATTGCAACCAATTGTTTTATGATTTGTCTTGGTTCATTTCAAGTCACAATGGTAAGACCATACTTTGAACACATTTACTTTAGAATCTTTAAACATTTTATTAGATAATTAAAATTAAATTAAAAGAATTATAATGCATTTATATTTTATGTTGCGAGGGAACAAGTAACTTAGCATATACAGCCAAATTTATGTTTTTCTTTGGAGCTGCGTCTTGTCAGTTATTTATTTGGTGTTGGTTAGGCAGTGAACTTACTTCACAGGTATAATTGTAAATCCATTCTCATTTTTATATTTTCGTATTATGCATTTCATTATTTAATGAAACTATTAAGAAGCCAGGTAATCTATTATTATGTAACAACTTGGTCCAAATTTACTAAATATTTTTTGAATAAATCTTTAAATGAATATCACGCTTACGCTAGAAAAATAATATTATTAATAATTATTTTTCAGAGTGAATTAATGGCTTCGGGCTTATGGTCATGTGGTTGGGAATCATGTCTTAATTCAGACATCAAGTCAATGATGATTATGTCCATGATCCACACCAAAACTATATTACAACTCAAGGCTGGAAAATTTTTTGTTATGACCATGCAGACATTCGTTTCAGTAATACCAAATTCTATGAATTTAATTCATTTCGTTTCATCAGATTAATGACTTTTTTTATAATCATTCATAATTATTAACAGGTTCTACGCAGTGCATATTCATTCCTTGCCTTACTTTCAGCATCAAACGACTAGAGTTTTTCACTTTTAAAACATCATGAATATCTATTTGTTTTTTTATCATCTATTCAGTTGTTTAGAGAGACGCTTCAAGAATATTTAATTTACTACTTATTACCCATACGTATTCAACATTACATTTTTTTTCTAAAGTAATAAATTGAATGAGGATTTGAGCCAATGTAAATAAATTTATACTTCAGTTGAAAAGAAGAGAGAATAGTAGACAAAATGCCATACGAAATTTAATTTTGGCACACATAGAAAATAAAAAATGATGTACCTCAACACAGTAAGTTGAAGTGAAATTTTTCTTCATATCATCATATTGTAATATTTACAAATACTTTTGAGGATACATTCTTTGACGGTGTGATGAATTTTAGTATTCAGGCTTTGAGATATATTTTAGACAATACACTCAATATGAATGATCACAATTATGGTGTACAAAGTGTTACTTGGTAGTTACTAGATACAATGTAGTAGAAATTGTTCACAGTACAAAAGTCAGCAAGTAACTAAAGTTAGACTCAATGCGTTGCAAGGAAGTACTTTATGCATATTTTATGAAACCCCTACCACTGATGCACTAAGTACGAAAGGGTTTTTCTGCAAAGTATATGATAAGACTTTCTCACATATATTGATACATATTTTATCTAATAATGATGGATAATTTTTTACAATACCTCAGCTTGCGATTTTTCTTTATTTTCCTCTGTACAGAAATAAATAGAATGAGAGGAAAATTTTTTTGTGTAATGTAGAAAATTACAGTTCACATCGAAACATCCGTAGGAAAGGATCTGAATAAATTATTAACTGCTACACTTTTTCGTATTATAGAGAAATAAATGGAAAAAATAGTACCTTCTTCACACCGTAAAGCCCTGAATACTAAAATCTCTGGACTGAGGTACAACATATCTACTCTTTTTATAAATATTTCTGATAAAATAACAATAACTAATAAGTTATAAAGAACATTTTACTAATCAATTTTTTAAATTATAGATTTTTAGGATTTTGGGCTCCAGAGTCATCAACACCACTGTGTACTAGATTCCTCTATACTATTAATCATATTTTAGCTGTATTTTTTTTTTCTTTTTATGTAGCAACTTTGATTGGTGATATAGTCATTAATAGAAGAAATATCCCAGTTACTTTGGAAATTATTTTATATCTTTCTTCAACATTGATGGTAGGGTTTAAGTCATATAAGTTTGCAATAGAACATCTCCGAATTGCTCATCTTACTGAAGCAATTCTCAAACCTCTTGATGCTCTTAGCCAATCAGAAGGTAAGATTTAAAATACTTTTATTAATTTTTCTTATTAATTATCGCCGTTTAACTAGATTCCAACATCAGAGAGTTAATAAAAAAAAATGTTTTACATGAATTTATTGTTGATGTCTCTTTCGGAAGTATGATTACCCTATTCGACATGGGCGTACTCGTGATGATTTATTTTAATGAAACTGATTTACTTGTGAGAGGCGAATTCCCATTTGACACGACAATTTCCCCCAATCATGAATATGCGATCATTCTTCAAGTTTTTATGATTCATGTCGTTTTTGCATTGATCGTATTGACAGACGAATCTATATTTTCGTTGATTCGATGGATTACTATTCAATTGACTATTCTGAATATGAATTATCAAAAATGTAATGTTTCGAACAAATCAATTATTGATGGATACTCTTCACAAGAACCAATTTATGAAAATGATGATAATTTTTTATTTAAACTTGCAATTTGTTCCAATGACCATCGATATCTTATCAAATTAATGTCAGAATGGAATTCAATCTTCAACACTGTTATGCTTACAGAAATATCTACAAATTGTTTTATGATTTGTCTTACTTCTGTTCAATTAGTGATGGTAAGAATGTATACGGTATGCAAACAATTTTTTTATTGCCATCAATTTATATTCTTTTTGTGTTTTTTAATCTTGTGTTAACGAGAAAGTATAATTATCTTGATAACTTTTCTAATTTTACTTTGTTTATTCAAATCTATTTTTTGATATCTTGTGTAATTACATCATAAAGCATGTAAATTACTTATTTGTCAAACAATTTTTACCGTGGCTTTAAAATATCAATATGTATTCTTCAATGAGCTTACTAGAATAATCATTTTATTAATTTTATCTTGTAAATCATGAGGATCATGAAAATATGGCAGAGACAATAAAATTTATGCTGTTTTTTGGCTCAGCTGCATCACAGCTATTGATATGGTGTTGGCTTGGTAATGAGCTTACTTTTCAGGTGATAATCAATGAGATAAATTTCAAATGTAGTTCAAAATACTAGAGATTAATTGTTTATTTTTAGAGTGAGTGTGTATCTAATGGATTGTGGTCATGTGGTTGGGAGATGTACTTGAAACACCGTCACATTAAATCACTTATGAAGATTTCTTTGGTGCAAGGAATACGTCCGTTCCAAATGAAAGCTGGTAAATTTTTCGTCATGTCTATGGAAACGTATGTCAACGTAAGAATATTTCTTTATACCTTTTTACTCATTGAAAAAATGATATTTATAATTAATTCCCCAATTGAATATTTGTTTCATCATTTAAACAGGTCATAAAAACTGCATACTCATTTTTTGCCGTACTTCGTGCAACTAATGTATAATTTGAATATACATTTGATATTTTTTAATTTGATTATTCATTTCTTAGTAAACTTTGTTAGCAAATTTCGATGTTTAATAAATAAGTAAACATGAATTGTGTTCTTGATTACTAGACTGGTCTCTTAAAAGAATTAAGTAAAAAACTAAAATTGAAAGTTAATATTTCAAAGTTTGTCTTAAAATAATTTTGGACAACATCCAAATACTTACAATTCTTAAGAAATACTCAGTTGTAGATTTACTCGTAGTTTCCTATACTTATCTGCTATTTTATGAAGCTACCATCTCTACTTAGTGAGTAAATATTAATATCTACAATTTCTTTTTCATTTAAAGAAACTTTAAAATACATTTAACAAACTAATGATTCCATAAAACAATAAAATAAAAATAATTATGATCAAATAAAACTGAAAATTTCATCATAGGTTTTATTTTATCCCCCTTTGCTTTTAATAATATTAACCTACTATTATTTTTTTAAAACAATAAATTAATAATTCACGTGTGACATGACCATGTGTATTTTGTTCATGGATGGAATCACGTGGATATATAATTCCCATGATATCAATTGTATGGCTTCCTATATCATTTAAGAGGATTAGCGGCTTCCATTTAAAGGTCAAGCACAAGCATGAAATGCTTTCACTTTACAAACGTATTTACTTGAATAAACATACGATGGATTTAACTCCATCTAATTCAAAAAAACGGATTTTACAAATACTGTCATCTATTTTAAAACCACTTCTTTCTGCTAACGGTGAAAACAGGTTACCTGTCGAAGACGACAGCGATTAAAGTGTTAATAAAGATTGGAGCTATGACACGAAGAAAATTAATTTATTCGCAATCAATAGACAGCTTCAAACCAGTTCGTTCTAATATTATTGATAAATATCTCAATGACAAATTAAATCGTCAGACATCTTTAAAATCTTTTCAAGAAGAAGAGACACCAGATCATGGTAGAGATGTTGATAATTCTACGGATATTAATTATTGGCCCAAGTGTGATTCATCTATTTGGATGAGATCTTGTGAAGAGGAAGTCATTGTACCAATAAAAGGTCAAATTACTGGTGAAATTCCTAAATGGTTAAAAGGAACACTTCTGAGAAATGGCCCAGGAAGTCTTAAAGTTGGAGATTATAAGTTTGATCATTTGTTTGATAGTTCAGCTTTGCTACATAAGTAGGTTCTTTATATTTGTGTTGATGATCTACAGTGCTATCAATTTAAATCTGGTTAATGTTCAAATTATATATAACTGAATTAATAATTGACATTTTCAATTGGAAAATGATAAGCAAAAAGAAATAAGTATTAATAACAAATTTTTAAAAGCACTGTAGATATCAATCATCAAAAAAATTCATATAACAAGTTTTATTGTGAATATTATTAGATTTTATATAAAAAATGGAGAAGTGACTTACCAGAGAAGATTTGTACAAACAGATGTCTATAAAAAAAACCATCGAGCAAAGAGAATTGTTTTAACTGAGTTTGGAACCCGTGCTGCTCCGGATCCATGTCAAACTATTTTTAATAGGTAATAAAAGCATGAATTAATTTCAATATTCAATTAATAATAATTATTTTAAATTACTTATAAGATACTAATAATAACTTACATTATTTCAAGAATCGCTGCTATCTTTAACCCTGCTGATAATGCCTCAGATAATTCCATGATATCCGTTTATCCTTTTGATGATGAATTTTATACTTTTACTGAATATCCTGTGATCCACCGCATCGATCCTGAAACATTAGAAACCAAGTCTAAAGTTAACATCTCCAAGTATGTTGGAATAGTTAATCATACCTCACACCCTCATGTTATGGAAGATGGTTCAGTTTTTAATGTTGGCATGAGCATTACTTCTAAAGGACCTGCTTACAGTGTTGTACAGTTTCCTTGCAAGAAAGGTAATAAAATCAATGAAATTTTTACTAACAAAAATAATTATTGTTCTTACTTATAGAAAGTTTTTTAATTATTATAGATGATCAGCGATCAATGTTTGAACAAGCAAAAATAGTTGCTACTCTTCCTGTGAGATGGATGTTGAATCCTTCATATATGCACACTTTTGGGATAACTGATAACTTTTATATCATTGTTGAACAACCATTAGCTGTTTCATTGGCTACTATGGTTAAAAGTCATTTGAACAATGATCCTTTAAACTCCTGTTTAAAATGGCATGAGAATGAAAGTGTAATATCATAATTATCTATTCTATCGGATATTTATTAATTGATTACTGAATAACTAATTATTAGTTTTAAATTAATTTTAGACTTTAATCCATGTGATATCAAGAAGTAATGGTAAATTATTGAAATCATTTATAGCTGATACATTTTTCTTTCTCCATATTATCAATCAATTCGAGACTCTTGACAAAAATTATGTCGTTATCGACATTTGTTGCTATAGAGATGCAAAGATGCTTAACTGTATGTATGTGGATGAAATGAAAAATATGCACAAAAATCCAGATTATTCTAAATTATTTCGAGGTCGACCACTCAGATTTATTCTACCGATTGGTGACATAAAAGATAATATTTCAGCTGATGAGAATTTAATTCAAATAAATACAGTCCATCAAAGAACTGATATTGAAATAATTAATCATGATAATTATGAAAAAAATATCAAAAATACTATTTTAGAGCCGAAAGCTTCAGCTTACCGTTTAAAATGTGGAAAGATATTTGTTCAACCGGAATTGATTTGTGATTTAGGATGTGAAACACCGAGGTTTAATTATGACAGGTGTCTTGGTAAAGAATATCGATATTTTTATGCGATATCGAGTGATGTAGATCTTGATAATCCAGGAACAGTAAGATATTTTGATGTTTTTGTTTCTGGTTAATTGAAAGAAATTCAATCAAATGACAATCGATTTACTGTTTCAGCTTATCAAAGTTGATACAGCTACAAAAACAAAAACCACGTGGAAACAGGATGGTTTGTATCCAAGTGAACCGATATTCGTACCTCGACCTGGAGCAACAGTAAATATCAATAATTTATTTAATGGTAAAATTATTTAAACATAAATTAATTACCTAACCGTGAATCTTGTAGGATGAAGATGATGGTGTAATTTTAAGTGCAGCAATTTTTGGTGAAAGTAATGAAACTGATATAACATTATTGATAATTGACGCCAAAACGATGAAAGAAATTGGTCGATCAATATTTTCAACACCTGGACCAGTTCCTAAATGTTTACATGGTTGGTTTACTCTTGAAAGAAGTATAAGTTGAATATTATTTATATAAAATAAATTATTTTTAATGTCTTTTTCAGTTTTTGAGTGTTTTTTTTTTCTTTTGAATATAGATTTGTTTTTATGTTTATACATTATTTACAAGCATAGAATAAAATTATCTATTAATATATTACAATTTTCATTACTAATTTTGTACCTCAGTATTACTAATTAGTCATACACTTTTCAATTATTCCACTACCTACTTAGGAAATTATTTCTTTCTAACATTATAAGTAATGATAATAACATCATTATCGAACTTCTTTCATAGTGTTTTGTCGATTATGACAATATATTTCAGTTGGAATGTAAAAATATCGTTTTAATTGATTAAAATATTATCCCTAATATCATAATAATATTTATAATTATTAACATTCATTTGTATTAATAATTTCTATCAATTTCATTGTAAATATCTTATGAAAATATTATTGGCACAACCTTTGTAACAAAATAAAAAATTACGATAATGTAATTTTTATTTAATTATTTATCTTGTTCATAATTATTCTAATGACTTTATTCCTATATTTTTATTATTATTCAAATAATTCGGTATTGCTCAATTCGTATAATTAAAATTATATATAAAATTGATGATGTGATAATAAAATTTCTTCATCAAAAAAAGTCATCATTAATAAAAATAAATATATTATCTACGGATCCTGCCGCATTAACTCTACTTGATTATCTAATTTTTTTTTTCAATAAAAAAATGGGATTAAAATTACAAATTAAAATAACATCAAATTCAAAATTCTGTTACACGTACTTGAGGCCACGTCAGAAGATTGACGAGACTATCACAATTATTGATTCATTCATTAAAACATTCTTTTTTTTTTAATTTTAAAAATTTTTACTCTTTTTTGTAATTTTGCTTCGATTCTTTTCTTTAAACCTTATTATCAACAACCTTCTGCTCATCGTCAGTAATAACATCTATTGAATTTAATTTATCTATTTCTTTGACTTCTGAATCATTATCGCTCTTTGTTGTAAGACTTGAAACGGACGTCGTAGGATTTCCTTCTAAATGTGCGGGTAAAATTCCTGAGTTTGCATCTTCGATAGCTTTTCGTAACTGAAGAGTTGAAAAAATAAATACTGATAAGCATTAAGTATGAATAATAAGAAATATTAATTTAACTAAATTTTTTTACCTCTTTTAGCGCTACTACACCAACTAATCTTCCAATTGCTGTCACATAAGCATGATTAACACCCACCATACTGAATAAACTATGTACTTTAAGCAATGAAGTTCGCTCGACTAATTGAAATGGAGCTGGATCGATATGACAACGTGAAAAATCAACTTCAAGAGCCATTTCACTTTCTTCCCACCTTTTTTGATCTTCTGGTGACATGTCAATAACTCTTTCTCTTGGCTACAAAGTCAAGAATTGTTATTACAAAATAATATTATTATTTTTAAGCTGATAATTAAAATAAAATTTACCAATTGAACTTTCTTGGAAGTTGCAGGGCTAGGTGCTAACATCGGTGTGTGAGCAGTAACATTAGCTTCAGTACTATCATGCCTCGTGTTATTAACAGACCCAACTTCAGGATCAGGATCGACATCTTGAAGAGTTGCAGACTTTTTAAAAATGGCCTCAAATGCCAATCGGATTCTGCTTTCTGCTCCAGTTACTGTTGTATATGGAGTCATAGCAGGACTAACTAGTGGACTAAATCCTTTGAGTGTGAATGAATTAGTTTTTTTGAGAATTGATTTTTTTGGTTGGGTCCCAAAACATGGAGTATGATAAGTATGATGATCAGGTCCATTTCCTGCCATTGTTAAATCACTAGCACTTTGACGTTGCATTTTTAAAATATCTGGCGCTGGAATGACTTCAAATCTTGATGGTCGTCGTGTTCTCTCCTGTTCACGCATTTGACGTTCCATTGCTTCTTTTGCTCGTTCTTCAGCTTCTTTTTGAAGTTTTTGTGCTACCTAAATTATTTATATCATGTAATTCAATTTTACAGAGTGTCAGGTAATTTAATATAATAATAATTGATAAAAATAATTACCTGAAGCCTTCGTTCTCGACCAATTTGTTTCTCAATGAGCTTGATCAGTTCTAATCTCTGGATAGAGCCTAATAGAATCATAGACTCTGGATTATCAACAAGTGGAAAACCACGTAATTTACGATTCTCTTTTAAAGTTTCTTTCAACTTCTGATATGTTATTCCGTGATAAATATATTTAACATCTCGCACCATAAAGTCTTCTACATAAACATTGTACATTCCTAAAATAAGAAAGTAAATATTTTTTAATGAAGAAATAAAACTAAAAAATTTCAGAATCAAACAATATTAAGTTATATTTTAAAAATAAAAAAATTTATTCATACGTTATTTTTGTTAACTGAGATCACATATTTTAATATCTTACCAACAAGATCCTCATTTAAAGTTAAAAATGACAGCTACAGTAACAACACATTAGGTTAACAAGTGAAAAATGAGTGTTAGTGAATAAATTATCATACAAATAAACAATAATTATATTTACCAGAGCTAGACGGTAATAAATCAGGCAGATATGGCAGCTTTTTAATAAGAATAATACTGTCGTAGATGCTGGGTTGAAGTAATGCAGCAATAGCATTACTAATTAGCACAGCAATCATAATGGGAACAATATGAGTGATTTGCCCTGTCATTTCAAAAATTATGACGCTCACGGAAATAGTATGGGTGACACCGGCTGAAAACGCAGCAGCACCAACAGTTGCATAACCCCCTAGAAATTCCAAAATTAAACATTTCAAAATTTTTTTTTCTTGTTTACCACATAAATCATTCTGTTGAGAAATCTTACCTGGAGTGATAGGAGTGATGATTCCACCATAACGAACACCATTTGGAAACCAAAGAGCCATGGCTTCTCCTACAGCTCTTCCAAGAGCTGCACCAATTTTAAAAACTGGAATGAATATTCCCGATGGTACTGGGACAGTAGAACAAATAATAGAAAATATGAATGTAAAAAGAACATAACCAAATAGACCAACAAATACATCGGAATAAGGTGTTGTCCAATGTTTAACGACACTCATCTCTTCAACACTAAGTCGTTGTTTTGTCCAAGTAAAATTGGTAAAAAGACCATGAACTTGATTATGAGTATTTAATTCTCCGGCCATAAATTGACCAAGTCCAAGAGGGAAAGAAACTGATGCTACCAGTAGAGATACAATTCCCGGATAGAGAAAACGGTTTTTTTGTAAGAATAAATTCATGCTTTTATTTTTCCTCATGAATATGACATATTGACGATGAAGCCAAACATAAAAAGCACCTCCAAGTCCACTGCCTACACCAATTAAAGCAAAAATAAAAAGTTCTTGAGGATCAAATGGAAAATCCATTGTAAAATTTGTTGCAAACATTGCTGTAATTGTTTCTTCCCTCTGAAACCAGATAGCTAAAAGTCGGAACATGGTAGCACCACAAACAGCAGCAAAAAATCCTCTCCAATAATTTCGAACTGCGAAATAGACTGTCGTTACTTCAATACTAAATAAAACTCCTCCAATTGGTGCTGCAAAACATGATGCTACTCCAACAGCACAGGCAGCAGCAAGCATTTCACAATTTCTGCTTTCATTTTCGTAAATTCCTTGAAAACTTGTGACTAATTTTGATAAAAGGGTTGCCACAATACTGGCAATATGGACAAATGGACCTTCTTTCCCTAGAGGTAATCCTGATCCTAGTGTTGCTGTTAATCCAATTACTTTGGCTACTAATGTCCGAAATGTTAAATATTCTTTCAGTGCTACTCCACGAAGGATTGTTTTCATTTCAGGAATCCCAGAGCCAATACTTTGCGGTGCCACGATATGGACAAATCCAGCACTGAAGAGAATTAAACATACTGGAAGTGACACCCACGCCAAATATTGAAGAGCCGGATGCGAAGTTAAATCTTGATAAAGCCATATTCTGGCTACGAAAATAGAACGAAAAAATGGTAATTAGCTAGAGTGGTTTTAATTTTTGTAGTGTCCACTATTTTCTTTTTATTAAACTGACCATTATTACACATAGAAATTCCACGATCCATCGCGTAGCTAATCAATGCCATTATGATTCCTAGAAGTGCTAAAAAGACCCAGTCTTCTCCAAGCCTTGCTCCAGTATGTTTCCAAATAAATGCAAGTAATGCTAAAGCTTTTCGACATAATGGACCTCTTCTTGATTTTCGTAATTCTTCGGCACGTACTTTATCCAGTTTCCTTCTAGCCTTATCGTGTACTTTGAGTCTTCGTGCCTCTTCTTTAGCAAATTCACCCAAATCTTTGGTGTAACGACCATACATCTAAGAAATTAATTTCAAAATTAAATTAGAATATTTTTTATGATAACTTGAATATTAATTTTGGTTAATAAATCAAATTCACGGCAGGTTTAAACTCACCTAATAACAATCATTGGATCCAAACTACAGAATTCATTAAGGCAAGGCGGGAAAATACAGGAAGACAAAAAAAAGTCATTTCAAAAGCGAAAAAATGAAAAATAATGACATGACAGCTTAAACTTACAACGTATTCATCATTGCAGACAAAGTAAGCCCTGTTCAGGACACTGGCTGGCATATGAGATAAGAAGTTTGGTCTATCAATTATTCCGTATTTTTAACTCACTAATTAAACGTTCAAGTTACTGAGGAATTCATGGTTTATGAATGAAAATAATTAAAAAACATAAATAATGATGATGATAAAGTAATGAGACAAATTGAGAAACTTTCCAAAGATATATTGAGATGCTTGTGAAGATAGTCAACCGTTAACTGAAACGATTTGGTAGTCTCGACATTCGGATTTGTCGAAATTTGGCAACAGTCAGCAATTATTATTTTTAGATTGTAGCTGCTGCAAAAACTTTATCGGTGTTTCTACCTATTGTTTAGCAAACATGGTCGTTGAACAATCATTCATTGGTTGATTTGAGACACAGGTAAAATTAAATCACATCATTCAATGTATCACATTTTTCAACATGGTATCTTTATGAGTTCTGTTTGATCATTGCCACCAGTAATAATGATATATCGAACAATAAATTGTATTGTTTAGTCACAAAAAATTCATTGACATGAATAATTTCCATTATTTTATTTCTCACCCACTAGACAGATCAAACCGTCTGGGAAGAAATCCCACTTTTAACTGGGTAGAAATGCTGGCTTTTGATCATTTGGCAACCTCGACATTGGAAGCTATAACTTTGTCAAGAAGCTACAGTTATAAATAACTAAAAACCCCAGTAATATTGATTTAATCCGATATAGAATGATTAGCTTTAGCTTTTAAAAATTTATATAAACAATAACAAAAACATTTTACCAATAGTTCAACAATTTTATGTTAAAAAAAAATTCTAATTTCATTCGAGGCAAGTGTCGAGGGTTCTATTGACGTCAATAATGACCACGTCCTACTGGGCAATCGTTCTACTTTAATTTTAGTGATTGGACCTACATAATTAGCTTGCCATTGTCTATTAATAATTATTATACCTATTATAAGTAAAAGAAAAAAAAGAATTTTTAAATCCAACAATTTAATGAACTTGTGAATGATGCGTATGAATGCGTAGGCGAATAACGCCAAGCATACTTCTTCATGCCGGTCACGCATACGAGTCATGTGCATAACAAGACCAAGAGCTATTATCAAATACACATACGCGTCACTCGCATAATCGTTGAGATATCAACCACTGTAACGCTTTTCTTTCATGAAATTTAGCTATTTTCATATTGTATTGTCGTTGATGATAATAGTATCTAATACATCAAGATACAATTACAAAATAAACAAGGCCATCATTTCTACTTGACTTGTAGCTGTACACCCAAGGTCACGTTTGCTGACACATGTGGAGCTTTAGTTACATTTAATTTTTGCTCTTTGTTCAAGTGCGTGACAATGCTAGTGATTTGGCGGTGAATCAAAGAGTCGTCTAGACAATTCGGTCATATAATACAAAACTATAATAACTTTATTCTATTACTATTTCCCGCCAATTTTGTTAATAATAAATTAACATTTTAAATGCAGAAAAATTTTCATGACAACAAAATAATTTTCATATTATTTATTGATTTTAAATAAACATGCATGAATATATTACAGTTGTAAATGTACAATTTAAAAATACCATGCAAAGTATTAATATAAATAGATTTCCTTACAATTGTATTAATGTAGTCAAAAGGATCAAACTCCGGTTGGTCATCTTCTTTAGGTGGTGGGCATGGATAGAAAGCTTGCGATGGTCTATCAGAAATAATTACCATTCATTTAAGGATTCATTCAAATAATCAGACAAATGATAAGTGGATCAGATTATTGGATACCTGTTTGGTCGATTTGATCGACTTTCCCTTAATCTAGCCATCAATCTAGTAAAATCCTCCCATTCTTTATCGACATCCTCTTCATTGGCATCCATATGTGTATCTGGATGATGATGACGATGCCGATGATGGGTATTATCTTCTGATTCTTTTTTCACTACTTGGTTTGCCATAGTTAATTTTTATCTCTTATCCAAGTGTAACTTCATCCACACATCGTTTGAAGACTAATGAAGCAATTGAAGTGATGAAGAAGTTTTTTATTATTCAAATGGGAAATCTGATAAAAACAACAAATAGCCGTTTGACACCATTGTCAATGGTGAACTGTGAGTCACAATACTGAGCTTATGCGAGCCACCACTGCTTCAATTTACAAACTCATTAAACTCACACTAGTATATACGAATAGAGAAGGAGTGAAGAACACATGAAAAGAAAAAATGGCTAATGATAGTGGTACCATACCTGTAACTATGTCATCAATTATCTCCAGAATATTTAATGCCATAATTTTTATCTAATCTTACGGGTGATTTAGATGATATAAGAATCAAAAAATATAAAAACACTAGATAAAACAAAAATGAAATGTTTGAATTGTGCAGACTGTACAAAGTCATACCGTAATGGGTTACTTCCCTCACTAAAAGTAAGGGGAAGGGATCTCGTAGGAAGCTTCTCGGAGCTCAAAGTCACGAGTTATCTTCTTTATCATTGGTCAAAATGACCTCCTCATGATCAAGTCTACACACTTCTCAACTTATATTTAAGAGGGTCTCGCGGAGATTTATTATTTATCTCACTTTTATCCTCATGCTTTCAATTATTTTTTAATATTTTAATAACTTACCTCATCGTTCTTAGAATAAAAACAACAAAATTGTGCCATCGTTTTCCTTATTTCGTCTTAAGTAAAAAAAAAAGATTTTCTTTCGTAGAAGCAACAATTATGACTGACTACTAACTTAACAACTCGGCAGTGCGAAATAATACATTTTTTTACTCTACAACTTGTATATACTTTTGATTATCATCTCTAATATTAGTTTATTGAACATGAAAAAACAACGATAGCGGTGCTAGTCACAGAAGAAAAAGTTAACAATATTATTAGTGTAAATTTAAAAATCAAATTTCGCGCTCGATTATAGCAAATCATGATACTTTCAATGTTAATTTGCTGACTAATTTAAGAAAATCTCTATATAAATAATTGAATTGATTGGAAGACGGAATAAAACGGAAGTCCCACAGGTTCTATGACCCTCTGAAGAAGAGAAAAGGGCAGGATTGGAGATTGAATTAAAGTTGATGTGAGTCACATGACTACATTATTATTTCTTTTCCGCTGACGATAATTGGACTTCCGATCTCTTCAATTTCTCACTTCACACCATCTTCAAAGATTAAAAAATTTCATCTATTTATCTCTGAATCCATTCGTTATTATTCATGCTTTTTAGCATAGTTTATATTTATTGTTGATTAAATTCATATAAATAATTAATTTATTTTTTCTTGATTTTAATTAAAAGAAAATTCTGATCATTCTTTTTATCTTGTTTTTCTACTTCTTGAGTAATATCAAATATGCTCGCAATGTGTTTGGCTTCATTAGTTCTTTTATTATCTTTTGATTTACGTAACCTTGAATTCCAAGTATTCAGATTGATTAATTTGCATAAAATGAGGGCTTCCAAAATAAATAAATAAATGAATAAATATTTTCAATAATTCTTTTTTAATCGTAAAATATATAAGCCAAGTTTCAAGGCCTTTTTTTGTATCATGATTTGAGGATTATTACGTCATAGAAGTTAATGATAAAATAAAAGTTAAGTGGAATTATAAAATCATCAAATTACTTGCAAACATCAAGAACAATTTTTTAATATGCAAGAAATTGATGCAAAAATAAAAATTGCATGATCTAGAGAAAAATAAATTGATCGTTTTATTTATGGCGTCACACAATATTTTATAATAAAAAAAAACTAAATACATACTCAATTATTTTATTCAGACTTTTCTTTTTTTATCTAACTTCAATTTTTGTGTCCCTAAGTGCTCAGCAAGATTATTACAGATTTTTATCTGATTTGGATGATACTCAAGTCCACCTTGTGTATCAACTTTTTTCATTGATTCTCTTTCAAAATCACCAGCAACCATAACTTTCTCTTTACCAGCAGTTGGAAGATTCCGTAATTGGCACAGAAGATGACTTAATCTTTCCTGAGACCCTGGTCCAAAAGCTTGTGGATTAATAGCCATAAAACAATGTCCAATATTGGCAGTTTCGCTGCTTTCATTCCATTTTCTGATATTTGGACCGTAATTACTGCCACTCAAAATACCACACAGTAATTCCACCATAACTCCAAGACCATAGCCTTTGAATCCTGAATGTTCTTCAGCTCCTCCAAGTGGCATGAGTTTAGCAGATTCCAAGGCTTCTTTAGCATTAGTCGTTATTTGTCCATCTTTGCCTAAACCCCATCCTCGTGGAATATCAATTCCCTTATTGTTAGCTACTTCAATTTTTCCTAATGCAACGGCAGTCGTTGCCATGTCAAGTACAAATTGATCATTGGATGTTTTCATACCAATTGAAAGTGGATTAGTTCCTAGAGCTGCTTTAGTAGCTCGTGTTGGTACCATTAATGGACTGGAATTGGTACAGCTGAATCCAATAAGATTTTTTTCCATTGCCATGAACGTATAATATCCACAGATACCATAATGATTAGATCCACGAGTTGAAACCATACCTATTCCAAATTTTTGTGCTTTTTGGATGGCTAATTCCATAGAAAATTTACCAATAACTTGTCCGAGGCCATTTTGACCATCTACTAGAGCTATCGCCTAACGAAAAATGAGTTGATTAGTCAAAAATTGAGGAAACCGATCAAAGATAGAGATAATAAGAAAAATAACCTGGAAATCGGTAATGATGACTGGTTTTGCATGAGGATCTGTTAATTTTTTTTCAATGTCACTGACATACATTGGGAGCCGGTTCATCCCATGGCTGAAATGGCCTCTGTAATCTGCAGTCATCAAATGATGTGCCACCACGTTAGCATCTTCAGCAGTGGCGCCAACTTTGTGCATGCAGTCACCGATAAACCGGATGACCTCTTGCTTTGGTACGACAAGATCATCGACTGCTTGAGATTGTCCAATTATACTTCCACTACTTGTAGGCATTCCATTTGAAATGCTAAATAGTCTTGTAATACTTGTTGATTTTTTAAATAATAATTGACAGCTCATTATCGACGCCATAATATTTTTTTTCAACTTTTCTCTTAAACTTCACACGCGTCCACGGATAACTAAACAAATTTGTAAGAAGAAAATATATTCACTACAGTTAAGTCAACTGTTATCGAACTTCACTAAAGAAATGATGCATAAACCGTTAGAAAATTCTTTGAAGGCTTTTCTATCCAATAAAATACGTTCACTTCTAGTAGAACTCACGAAAATTAATAAAATTAACTAAGTGGGGATTTTCAAGGTCACTGGAAAAACGAGCGGGAAAGAATATGGGATTCCAATAAGAGTAAATGTTATACATGTCCTGTCACACCCAACTACCAACTGATTTTGGTAGACGTAATTATTATCTCGTGTTCTAAATGCAATTATCAACTTAAATATTGTATTACGTCGCATCTTGATTTATACGCAACACCTCTCATGGCCAAGAGTCTATTTGGAGCGCGCGAACTTTAAATATTTGAAATCCCTGAACTTTTTACCGATATCCACTAATTTATCGTGATTTTTTTGACCTTACCGACATATTTGAAAAATTATTTTTGCAATAAACATCACCAAAAATAATTATTGTATCATTGTCCTTTTTTAGTTACTCACAAATTAACGAATACATCATAACTCTTAAAACTAGTTATCCAATGTTTAATGATTGAGCATTAATTTTTTTGATTAAATATTGAAGATGGGCTATTCAAATCGGATGAATAGATGTTAAATCGCTAACACTAATCGATGATAACAGAATTGCGTCATTAGTACACACGTGGCGGAAACGTGTGGTCGATATTGAAGGACTAAAGTCTAGCGTCTTAAACGTAAGTGACAATTTGCCGTGATCAATTAACATGTCTTCTTTACAATCAAATTATGATTCTTTTATGGTCAATAAAAATACAATAATATTTACACTTTCTAACTGGTATTTACGATTATTTCGTTAGATTGTTGTCATCGAATAATAATGAATTATAAATGAAGACATTAATATTTATTAAAAGATAATGAAATATTTTATTAACATTTGTATAGTCTTAGTGAGAAAATTCTAGATGACACCTAAAGCTAACGTAGAATATTATGTCATTCGTATCTTTTTATAAGGATACACAATAACTATATCGTATGATGATAAAAATTTTTTTTTTCAGTTCGTTATCTTATTCTCTCGTTCTTAGCATCCGGCATTAAAAAATATACGTGAGTATTTTATGTGCAAAATTTACTCTTCAATTTTTTGAGATAAGAATTTTAATTTATGATCAAATATTCACAGTCGATATGTCAATTACAGAACTTGATTATTATAATTTATTACTTTTACCTGGATGTTTATTTTATCTTTTTTCTTCAATAAGAATCTTTCTAAAGTGAAAGTGATTCAGATTAATTGAGTAATGAAAATATGGAACATTTTAAAAATTATACAATTTATACATTATTATTGACAATTTTTGAATTTTCACTTTTTACAGAACAATTTTAAACCTGCCGACTAGATTTATTAACAAAAAAAAATTAAATAGCGTTATTTTGTGACTTACCAAAGTATTTTGATACCCCCAACCAAAATTGTTGTGATCCGATTTTTCATAATCCATTGGTGCCATTTTTTTTTTCTTGAATTTACTATTTAATTTTTGGACATTTAAAATGACTTGAAATTCTTAAGAAATTATCTTATAAAAATATCTTTTGACAATTCTCACTGCTTGCGTCTACTATAGTAAATAGTTTGCCGACTACGTTAGCTAAAAATTCATTCATTCATCAATAAGAAAAATCCATGAATTTAATTATTTCATTCATAAAATATTACCAGTTTGATAACAAAAATTTTCAGACCATTCTCTGATTTTAATGAAACAATAATTTTGGTAATTACTCAACAATCAAATAGTGATATTAAAATTATCTGACGACATGTATATTCATTATAATACATATGTAAATGAAACTAAATAAAAAAGAAAAATATTTTTATCAAACACTTATACATGAACACATAAATGAGAAGACTTACGATTAATACTTTATTTTGATTCTTGTATTAATCACTTCGAAATCACTAAATTATCTATCATGTCACACTTATATTACCAATCGCACAATAAACCAAAAAAGTAGGCCGAAGCTATTAATAAAAAATGTCAACTTATCGATATAGAGTTGTAAAATTATTTTATCAAAGCAAAATTTCTTCTACATTTACTAGAAATTATTTCGTTAAAAACATAAAATATTCATTTCAAGATATTTTTTATTTTATTTATTGATACTATATCACAGTTGATTGAAGTATTAATTAATTAACTCGACCAATAATTAATTTATTTTTAAATTTAATAATTAAACTATTAATGATAATAATAAATTGTTTACGACGACGCGCAAAGCGTCGAGACGTACGTCGACGTCTGCTCACTGTAACGGTCGTGAGTCAACTGATAGGTAAACTGTGATTCCTTTAGTAGTTTACTTGAATATTGAAAACTCTTTCAACTACTTGATACTATTCATTTCCTTAATCCTCTTACCCTCCCTTCCCATTATCATCACCATCATCATTATCATCATCATTCTTTACTCCGATCTTATTTTTCCTCATCACCATTATATGTAAATAAAAATACTATTCTAAACTATTTTTACTAGGTCTTTTCATTCAAACATTCTGCACAATCACTCATGTGACTTACATTTTTTTCTTTTTTTTTTTGAAATAATTCAAAACATTCTGAGAATAATGTAACACTGTTCTTCATCACTTCATAAGTATCAAAGGTTATTTCAACAACAATGTGTGAAATAACACATTTTTGTCTTAATTCTTTGTTTTCATTATATGATTCGTTTTTTTTTCCAAATCAATTGGTAATTTGAGATAGCAATAGTTACATAGTTAAATAACAATTCATTTGAATTATTCAAGTATTAAGTAACAATTTTTCATTAACAGAAAAATCTCTGTCAATCATGATTAATTCTATCACCATCAATTAACGTATATGACACTTCTAATTAAATTACTCACTTGATGGACTAAGATGGCTAAGATTTCCAAACAAATGAACAATAAAAAAATTAAGTAAGCACTACTACTATCAACTTATGATGATGATATATAATTTCGGTCACATTTTTTTGTTTATATTGATGTTGACAAATTATCTGATCAGATAATATAACAATTCATATGATAATTGAACTATTATTGTAATGAATAAAAAAAAAAGATAAGAGAAGAATTTTATGAATGTGAATGAAACTGAAAATGACAATTTAATTTTTCAAAAATAGAAAATGTATTAATAGACAATTATAAACATTTGTTAAAATGTATATATATTAATTAATAATATTAATTAATTGGATATTATTATTAGTATTAAATACAATCATTAAATCATTATTAAATGATTGACGTATAACAATAAAATGTAAAAATACCATTAAACACGCTCCATTTTACATTAAATAATTACTTGTGCTTGGACATTTTTATGATCATAATCTTTTAATTCCATGAAATACTCCTTTTTCCCCAATTTACTTCTAGACACTAGTAGATTCATTTCTTGACTTCAAGATAATATTTTTAAATACATATATGCATCACTTTTTATACTCGTTCAATTAAAAATGAATTCGTTTGATTTCTTTTACTTTCTAAATTATAAATGAGATTTGATTGATGAATAAAATAACATTTCCTTCTTAATTTCCTTTGGGTGGTGGTGTTGGAGATGCTTCAGAACTTGGAATTACAGATGCTATAACAGAAATATTTTTTTGTGGTTACAAACTATGCATTACATTTTTTTAATCGATAACAATTCTCACGACTACACGGTAATAGAAATTTGATAAGTGTAAATTAGAAGCATTGCGGTTTTACTGTGATATTAAATTGCTGAATAGAAAAAATTATTCACAATTTTAATAGGTAGAGTTTTCATGCTCAATTTCTTCTAACAATTCTTTTTTGATATTGATTGATTATTCTTATTGTGAATGTGATACGTATTTTTAAAAAAAAATAATCGCTCAATCTTAATACATTAATTTGTCAATAATATAATTACTTTTCTACATAAAACATATCGAAATTAAATAAAATAAAAAAATAAATAAAAACTGTATGTTCTATTAAATTTACTACAAAGTAAAGACAATTTATGTCTAATGTTGTATAAATGAACGAATTTACTAAAAACCTTGAACAATGTATTACATACAATTAAAAATTAATAAAAACTATTATTACTCATTATCAATCAAATTGAATAAAACTTTGAGAATATTATATATAAATATTGTAATAAAAACATCAGTTAAATAATCGTTAGTAACAATGTTAAACATCAACAACGTACTTGTTTTTCACAGTAAAACAGCAACAAAAAAATACTAATAATTATTAAATTATCATTAATAAAAAGTATAAAACCCAGTAATTAGGTTTCAACAAAATTGATTTCTAAGTAATGATACTTGATTTTGATTCTTAGTCATGTTTAACTAGTGTTAGTTAATGTGTGTTAATATTAAAAATAGAAATAAGGTATATTACCTATAATTATGATCAAAATAATAGTACAAATGATCCCAATAATAATCATCATTTTTAAGTTTTTCCACCAATATTTTCTTTTTAATTTTCCAGCTTGTTGCTCAAATTGTGCTGCCCCCTGTTGCAAAGCGTCAGCACGGTTATCAAGTTCTGACAATTTCTGATCTCTTTCTAATACTTTTTCAACATTTACTTTCATAATATCAACAACTTCATTAACTTTTGCTTGAGTTTGTTGTAGCTTTTTTGATGAAATTGTCGGCTGTGATGTTCTACCACCCAAATCATCATCACCAGAGTAACCGCCACCGTCCATAGTCCTGCAAGTTAATTTAAAAACTTGTTTAATTATATGTACACGCCCATAACCTTCTTAACAATTTTACGTAAGTTTTCAAAGTACAATAAGTAATTAGTTTTTTTTAAATGAAATTTTTCTTATTTAAAATAATAGTTTAAAAAACAAAAATTCATTTCTCATGATTAGTTGCATGTGATTCAGCTGCTGACGTTATAATTGACTCACTTTAAAAAAAAAATACTACTTATGGCTCGAACTTATGTTTAAAAATACTGCATCTTTAACCGAAAGAATGTTTACAATACTTACGTAACTAATAAATAAACACAGTTAATTAAATAAAGATATTAATATATGAAATAATAATTGTTTCTTCTCAAACTGTTAAATATTGAAATAGTTGTTCTTTTCATACGACACGTCGCGGTGAGAATAACGGACTGATGATTTAAAGATGGCGAATGACCATGACGTCATAATAAAAAATAGTAGGAGTAAACATCCTGGAAATTTGTTATTTATCGCATGATTGTAAATAAAATTACTCTAACAACATCATCATTGAAAGTAAACAGTTAATTAATGTTTGTATATTTTGATGATGTGTCTTTATTAATAAAGCTTTTGCTATTATAAAGGAAAATAAAGAAATGTTTGTTGTTACTTGTTGAATTTAAATTTCGAGCCATTTCTTTTTTACCGACTAATGAAACTGTTTTATCGTATACCATCTTTTTTATCAAACGTCGGCAGCTTGTAATTTTTTATTTGAATCGATTCAAATTTAAATGACAATAATTTAATTTATATTAATATAATTCCAGTTTTAATTATGATAAATGTAAAATAATAATTAATTATATACAGAAACATTTAATTTCTTTAGAACCAATATTTTAAATGTTAGAAATATTGGATTTTAAAAAATTAAATTGGCGTTTAAATAATTGAATTGAAACATCTATAATTTGTATAAAATAAAACCATGTAAAATAAGACAGATAAAAATGAAAGAAAATATATACAATTAAAATGGAATAAGATTAATTTAAATAAGTAGAAAAAATAATTATAATTATAACTTACTCTTTGAATAAATCATTGTTGATGAAGAATGAATATTTATCGTTAAAACCATTACAAAATAAATGTAATTAACCGTCAACACTTGTCGATTACGAGCACTCCAATTCGAAGCAAAATATTAATCAGAAAAAGATCAAATGTAATAAAATTGAGTGAAAGATTTTCTTCACAAGGGTGTTACAGAATCTAGAATAAAATAATGAGAAAGGGGCGGATCTGTAATTATTGACTGGTTTTAAAACGCAAGCGCAAATAAAAGGCGCAACCGCACTATTAGAGTAAGTCTCTCGATTCTCGAAAATATTCGATTGTTAATAATCTATTCGATTATTGAAACAGAAATTATTATTTATCAGCTTAATTATCAAAATCTGTCACTAATAACTAAATAAATTCAAATAATTAATGAATAATTATTCAATAAAGAACGAAAACTTGGAAAATTCGGTCTTTCAGAAGACTTTGTAAGAGTAGATTTGATATTGTTAAAAATATTCGAGTAATCGTTTGATGTGATATCGCGTTATATAGGATTCGATACTCGACAACAGCCGGAAAATTTATCAATACCGGCCACCAACCCAGTCATCGGCAGTCGCGTCGAATCTTACGTGAGAACGTCAGAAAAGAAAATTAGTGAAAGATTATAACGTTATAATTTACAACAAGTTTTAGCTTCTCACAATTTATCAATAAACATGTAAGTAGAACAACTATTAAATACATCTAACAAATACAATAACTTATTTTCATTAAACTCTCCATGAAAATATTGGAAAAATTTCTAATGTAACTATACGAACGTCCATTTAATTTTTTAAACGTCTGTAAGGAAAGCCTGCGCACCCTTTTAAAAATATTTTGTTTGCTTTATCATAATTTTTGACGGCCATTTATCAATACCATCAAAATAATCATTTTTTCTTTTATATAAATCATAAAAAAGGTAATTTTTAAAAATCAATATATTTAGCTTTCAATGGAATTATTTCATAAAAATGTCCTTTCTGGACGACAATCGATTGTATTGCACACTTTCTTGGCTACTGCAACTTCTCAATAAAAAGTCAATGCGGTATTATATAGATACTGACTCATCGTCTCACTTGAAACGAAAAAAATAATGTAAAGGCAATTAAAAAAAAAAAAACAATTTAAATAATTTATATTATTTGTTTGTGTTATATCTAAAACGATGGAAAAATTTTTACAAATCATTTCCATTTTCTATATTTAAAATCAATCGATATTTATTCGTGTATTTTTATCGTTAATATTTTATTTACATCTGATAAAATCATTTTTGTTCCCAATCGCAATTCATCATAATGTAAATTGCTGTCATGAATTTAAATATAAAAAAAATGATGATTGAGATTTTTTTTTTTATGATTAATTTTTATAATTAAACTAGAAAATATGAAACGGAAGTGAAGACGGTTACGGGAGAAGGAAAGATCAGGAAGAAATAGGAGAAAAGTAAGAAGGTGGAGCTCGGGGTTAACCCGCGCCGTTGACCTTTTACTCATCTTTATCTTTGACCTTTCCTTCTGTACCCCCAAGGCACCCCAGGGAACAATCGATTTTTATCATATCAACTAAAACAACCACGTGTATTTTTGTTCTATGTTATTTTAGAGTTAATAAAACAGTAAGAGCATTAGATTGATATAATTAATAACAAATAAATAACAATTAAAGTACAAGTACATCTAGATGCTTATCATAATTCTTCAATTGGTAACAAAAAATTAGTTGAGTTAAACCATCGAAATAAAAGAAAACTTTCATCAAGGCTTAACTGATAGTTAATCAATCCCAAAGAAAGTCCAAGTCATTTTTAGATACTTCGAGAACTTGGAAATATCAATATCATTCTAGAATATTTAATCATAAACGTAGGTGTATATTAATCCATTTGCTTTTAATAAACAGGAATAAATCAGAAATCATTAAATTGTTACGTCAAAGTTATGACTTTTTTGATCTTTAAATCCTTTTATTACGTCACTCAAGTAATTACGTAAGGTGGGATGGAGAATGAAATGAAAAGATGTCAATAATGATATCTTTATTACAAAACGTTCCCAATTGAAGCTGTCAATTAATAGGAAGATTCATTGTATCAAATAATAATTCATAATTTAACGTTATAAACAAATGAAAATTTTTGATAAAAAAAAATGATACAATTAATTTCATTTTATTTTAAATTTAGAAATTACTATCAAGCTGGTACGAACCTTCAAACCAATAGCTTGGAGTAAATAATTTTTTAATTAATGGAAAATTGATGATCAAATACTGTACACAATGTACTTAATAACGCATTCGCATCAACATATTTCCATAATTATGTTATCATAAAATCAATCATATTCTTGATTAACATCATGAGTTAATAGAAAATGTTAATTCTTCTGAATCGATTAACAAAAAAAAAACACCTTTTTGTTCTTCCATGTTAAAACTTATCATTTTATTACAATACGTGAAGGATCAAATGAACCGATAAATTTCCTATCAATTTGTTCGTATCAATAAACACCAGCAAATAATGGTTCAACCAATTGAAAATTAATGGTCAAATATTTACCAAAAGAGTGTAATACTCAAGAATATTAGTTTATTATTATTAAAAAAATAGTTATTTCAATTAACGTAAGATAAATTGCAGAAAAATAATTCAAGAATAAATCAAATGATATATGAGTAGTGAAATATGATTATTATCAAAAACTTTTTAATTTAATTAGGGCAACTGAAGGCGGTCTCGCGCCAGATGCAGCTGCTCCAGGAGCTGGTACTGATGGAATCGTTGGGGGTCCCAGGACACCTCAACAAATTGCATCACAAAAACGTTTGCAGCAAACACAGGCTCAAGTTGATGAAGTTGTTGATATTATGAAAACAAATGTAGAAAAAGTACTTGAACGTGATGCAAAGTTATCGGAACTCGATGATCGAGCTGGTAAATAGTTTTTTCTTTATTTTAATATTTCTTTTGTCCAAGCTAAAATATTTATTTATAACGTGTGCTTTTTTTTAGATGCACTGCAACAAGGAGCATCACAGTTTGAACAACAGGCGGGCAAACTTAAGAGAAAATTCTGGTTACAAAATTTAAAGGTATGAATATGTGTTCCAACTAAGATTTTTACAGCCAATTATTTTGTTCATTTTGTTAAATGAAATTTTTTTTTTTATCGAACAGATGATGATTATTATGGGAGTAATTGGACTGATAATATTGGCTATCATCGTCGGTAAGTAATGAAAAAAAAAATCATATTTTCAATTAAGAATCATAAAACGAAACAACCATTAAAAACATTTACTTATCAATGTTTTATACATCAGTGGCTATATACAAATGTTCGATGTGATGATTGTATTTCGGTGTATCTACTTTTAATTATTTTCTGAATATAAACACAAGTAACACAAAAAAAAATCAAAATAGAAAAAAAAAATGTCTTCATCTAACGTGCATATTGTCTTTGTTTTTCTTCGTCTAGCGAACTTCATGTAGGCGCGCAGAGATTGGTGGAAGAAAAAATTTATGTATGAGTGAGTCAGGTAGTGCAAAAAAACCCATTAAAGAACAAAAAAAAAACGAAATTCTTTAAAAATGCTTTGAAACATCAACAAAACATTTTTAAACGCGATTTGTGTTTCTCTGTCGTAGGAGTATGAACCCTGTATCGGATGTCTAATGTTTCTGTCTCTCACTCTATATTATTTATTTATTATTTTTTTATTGTAATTTCTCTAATGTTTATATATATAAACCATAAACAATCTATCGGTTATATATATATATACTTATCTATATATGTCAATGTTGTTTTATTGTCTCTTTAGGATTGCTGGTGTACTATTTGCTGTATTTTTTTATAATAACAATTGTAGGGCCCACAATAAACAAATAAATTTTCTTATAAATTTATTTAGTAAATGAAATAATGATATCTATGATAAATCATTATTTATTAAGTCAAGTATCATTATTTGAGATAATGAATGTCTAGCTAATTAGGCCCAAACTGTTGTTATGTGTCTGTCCGTTGTAATTTTTTTTTTCCTTTTTTTTTGAACGATTTTTTTTTGAAGCTAGTCCCAGGTAAACAACAGAAACAACAATTATAACTAACTAACCACTTTTTCACTATATACTTGTATCAGAAATTTTTTTATTATTATTATATACATTTAGACTCTTCAAATGTCGAGGGGTAAGCATAAAATATCTACAGTTATACTATTTTTCACTAATTCTGATGTTTTTTATCTTAATATTTGTCAATTCTACCAACAACATTTATATATATATATATATATTTCTCTTTGAACATATTTATTTTAGCATGATTGCGCAATTAATTAATTCAGCAACAAATATATATTTATAATTTTTCTCATTCAAAATGTACATTTTTATAATCTTGAAAACACATCAAATAAATAATATAAATACAAATAAACAATTAACAATTATTAACAGTATACATATCTTCAATCTGGGACGGTCTTCAGTTTGGAAAATGGCTTCTTTTAACTTCAAATTGATTAAGTTGAAAGCTTTTTTGCAATGCATGTTTTTTTTTTTTATAATAATATATATTTTATTTCAAAGTATCTATTTCTCATTTTTTCTGTAAAAAAATTAAGGGAAAAAGCATGATTGATGTCGTTATGCTTTGACAGAATGAGATTAACATTCACGTGATTTTATAAAAAATAATTGTATTTAAAGCTGCGCACAATCGATTCACGCATGGCAGAATGACCTATTTAAGTGGGGATAAATGACTATCACTGGCCTAGTTGCATGCTATTGGTCCGCAATATTATTATTATTATTATTATCGAACTGTTGAACGCACGCGGACTAGTGTATTCACACTTACTTGTGTGTTATAATCTATCTAGCCCTAGTGTCCTACACTTCCGTTTCCGATTTTTTTTTGTTCCATTTCTATTTTTGATTCTCATCATTTTTCTTTTTTTACGATTCTAATCTCATTTCTGATTGAATTTTTTTATATTGTTGATTTTAATTATTTTCCCTTTAACTTCAATAGTAATTTTAAATTTAAAATAGATTTTCTTTCACTTTTTTTTTTTCATTTAATTAATCAATCATTATGTCATTTTTATTGCTTAAGGAGATCTAAGCTTCTCATAAATAACAATGGAATTTATTTTGAAATATTATTTTTTTTTTATCTCAATCATAATATATTTTTTGGATAATTAATGTTCATATAAAAAAACATTCCAACTTTTATCGATTTAGAAAATTAAGGATAATTTAAGAATTACGTTCTATTTTACGATTAACATTATTTTTGAAAGAAATTTAAGGGAATTAAATTGAAGATTTTAATTTTGATTTTATTTTAAATTAAAATTCAACTAAAAACGTAAAAAAAATTCCAAGCTTGAGCTTAATTATAAGATTTTTAAGTAAATATTTAACAAAGTAAAAAATGAGCTTCAACAATATTCTTTTTTTTAATAAGAAAAACATATTACTTAAAGCTTGATATTCATTCTAATAATAATAAAAATATTCACTTTTAATTTCGTATTCAAGAGCTTTTGAAAATAACTCATAAGAATAAGATATTTTTAAAATTTCTTTGCCAGAAGTTAGCTCGTTTGAATAATAATTATTCAAATTCTGAAGAAAGTTCTACTGACTAAAAGTAACTCTATATCTCTTTAAGTAAATATATTATAATCAATATTTTTATGTGCTCATAATTATTTCTGATTTTTCTTTGTTCTTTTAACTTTTATCTTTATTATATTATTATATTCATATTGTTTACATTTATGTTCTTATTATTTTTTATATTTATTTATGTCTTATCAATGAGATATCAACATTTGATTTTTTATTATTTTTTACTTGGTTAATAAAACCTAGTATCTTGTTTATGACAATACTCTTGCTGATTATTTATGTCAACATGATTGATCAATTGGCCAATTATTAAGAAAAAAATTTGGGTTATTTTCAGGATTAATCCTCAGCGGAAGCAACACGAAAGAATGAATTAATGATTGAATTTAATGAACAAATAAAAAAAAGGATTTATGAATAAATAAAATATAAAAAGTTAACAAAAAAAAAAAATATAAATATAAATTATAGATATAAATAAATAATATATGTATAAATATGAAAAAAATGATGTTGCGACTCTTCCAAACTAATTGATAAAGGGAAAAAGGAGCGAAGAAAAATAGAAATCTTAAATTAATTAACTAAAAAATTAACTAATTCACAAAAGAACATAAAAAAAAATTCTTAAATTATTAGCTCCCGCTCTGTGTCTTCATAATTAACAATAAATATTGAATTATCTAGCAAATCCTCGCGTGGTCGTATAATGTGTAAATATAATTGTATTTCTTCGAGCATTTAGTCTACAGAATTGTCATTAATTCGATGCAAAAAAAAACAAAGCATAATCGTGTTCCTCGTAATATTAATTAAGATTTAAAGATTATCAGAAAAAGTGATAAAAATATGACAAGAAAAATTTTGAATAATTAAATACCATGTTGAAATATCAATTGATTCATAATTTTCTCATTCTGTCTGTTTCATTCTCACGAAAATAAAAAAAAAAAAAGACATCATCAACAGTAAACTAACGAATGAACACCGAAAAAAACGTATAATCAGTAAAAACCCATATGCAACCATGAGAAACAAGTAAAACTAAAGAGAAAATTATGACAACAAAAAAATTAAGAAGATATATAAATAAATGAAAATTTATGAGCAATTGATTAGTTATGTTTTAAGGCTTAATAATAAATTCAAAAAAAAAAATTGATAACAAGCATATAACAATAAATAAAATTATTTACCAATGTTATATGTTAATAATTATTAATAAATTCTACGATAATAATAATGATAATAATAACAATAATATTAATTAATATTATTCAATTAACAAAAATACTGATAATAAATAAAATATCAACAATAAAAAATTATTGACGATTTTCGTTGAATTTAGACTATTTTTTTAAAAAATAATCAACAAATACTCCAGATGGTGATCTACAAATAAAATCTCAATAAAAAAGTGGTAATTTTTGATACTTTGCATAGAAGGTGAGAAAGAATTATTTATATACAAAAAAATAATTATATTCAAGCATGTGAAAGCTTTTGCATGAAAATTTACTGCAAATTTCCTCAACAATTTTCTTCTATCATTATGATAATATTAAAACTAACTTTTCACTATAAATAATCATTAATAATATTTCCTCGTTTTCACCATTTTTTATTTTTATTTTCCAAGAACATGAAGCAAAATCATTATCCATTTTCATTAGTTAATGGGAGAAATTTCTGAACTTTAATTCCATTAAAGGTTATTATTATAAATTTATAGACATAAATAATGAGGGAAATATCATGTGATCTATAATTTTGTTTCATGTTCTTCTATAATACTAGATATATATATATATGTAATAAACACTTTTCTAACATTAAAACTACAATAATTAAAAGAAACTAATAAAACTTGACAGACACATAACAATACAAAATTTATTTGTTTATTTTTAGGATACTATTTGTTTAGTTTTCTTAATAAACTTTTTTCATGTAAACAATTACTATTATATATTCAAGAATCTAAAACAGAGGAATATATGATCATCAGAACAATATACTCACAACTATCAACTGTTTAACTGTATAATAATAACTTGTTAAAACCTGCCTGTCGTTTGTTGGAATTTTTCAAAACTAAAATTCATTTTAATATTTGAAATTAATCTATTTTCATTCAATTTCTAGCGAAATTTATGCCAGAATCTGCGCCAGCACAAGCTCCACCTGTTTATCAATATGCTCCACCACCGGGTGCACCAGTTGGACAACCTGGTGCAGCTCCAGCTGGACCTGCTGCTGGAGGTGCACCACAAACAGCACCAGCAGCATTTGTTGGTACGCTCAATCAGGGAATTCTTCGCAGTGTTATGTAAAGAATATCAGTAATCTTTTAAAAGATCAAACTAATTTCGAAAAAAATGATAACCATGACTTCAGTTCAATTATAAGAATAATTCAAATATACAATGAATTTAGTGAAAATTCTTTGCGTTGACCTTTAGATAATGGCAAACATAATTAAATTATTTATATAAAGACATATGTATTTAGATAAAAAAAAAAAATCAATTATAATTAATTAACAAAATCCCACCTAAAGTAAAAATAACTATTATGTGCTAATAAATTATAAATAAATGATAATTAATATTAAATAATAATAAATAAACATAAATAAATTCATGTATTATGTGTATATAATATAAAAATGTTATAGAAAATATTTCAATTGCATGAAAATTTGATTTAAAAAGAAATAAATTATAAAAACCAATTGCATCAAAAGTCGAAAGAACAAGAATTTAATTTGTAATATAACAAATCAATATATTGGAGTGAAATTTAATAAATAGTTATAAAGAATAAAGAAAGTGACTTTGTGGATATAATTATTGTTATCAATAAAATTTTTCCGATTATTTAAATAAATAAAAATTCTTAGATCAAACGATAAATTTATTATTAAATTCAATAATTTTTTAAGAAACACGTCTATTTTCACTTTCTCCTCAATACTTTTTTTAATTTACTCTGTGCAATGATAATAAAAAAAAGAATAATAAATGATAAAAAAAAAATTATAGAGCAAAGTACAGAATGTATACTTATTTGTTTAGGATGCAGTATAAGCTACAATTTCGATGTTAAATAATTTAATAATAAATTAATTGATAAGAAAAATGTAATATTATCACTTATATAAAATATTCACCGCGTGACTATATTCTATTCTCTATTTTAATTAGAACAAAATGATTCATTACTTCACGTAATATATTATTTACTCATTTATCAATTCAATCAATTTAGTTGATAATTTCTCATTGTAAAAAATTTTCAATTATCAATAAAATAGGCCTACATAAAAATTTTAACATCTCCAATTTATTATTTATCAAAATAAGATTATTTAATCCCTAACAAATGGTGAGAAATGATGAAGTAATCTATAAAATTGAGAAAATCATATAAATATAAAAAAAGTAATTTCATTGGATTAAAGAAAAAAATGATATACTCTACTCTATTGAAAAATCGAGAGAATCAATTGAGTGCAATCTAGAGCAACCTCATGGTAAATTGGAACTTGATAGGGATGAAAATCTAACTTTGAAACATTAACATGCCTTATCAAATGTGAATAATCATCCTTTTCGGCCAATGCCATATTGACCTATATGAGTATTTCAATATCCTTGATGACATATGTGTGATTAATATAACACAAGTGTTCAATCGTAAACCTGAAGAATACTGATTCTCTTCAGCCATTTCATCAAGTATATCTTCAAGTTCTTTGAAGTTGAATATTCAATAAAAAAAATTGCTCAATTAGAATCAAAGCTGAAGCTTTTATTAACTCGGTGACTTGATCATATTGTTTGATAAAAATTCTTCATTCTATTCTATTATGGTCTTTATTTTTATTGTTTCTTACTTATCATTTTCTTCCATTTTGGAATTTAGGATATTAATGTAGCCTAAGATGATGAAACTTATTTATGAACAGTATTACTTTGCTAAAATTAATACGCTTTGACGCATATTTATGTTTTTATTTGATAAGAAACAACAATTTACTACGCACATGTTCATCTGTATATCTATTTAGAACGTAACTCAAGCAAGTTTGAGAATTGACAAAAGTTTATATTAACATTTGAACTGATGAAAATTTTCATTAGCTAATTCAATAATATTTAAACTTACCAATTTGACGAATGTAACAGGTTGTAATCATTTATTTCATTGTTGTCATTGTTAAGAAACTTTTTCTCGTGCAAAATAAAAGCGAAATCGGTAGCGTCATTTGTTTTTTGTATTTAACTGCCATTTTATGACGTCATAACTTCAGCCCTCATGTGTTTGGAGATTGAACTACTGTTCAAAAATCAAAAGACGGAAATGTATATTATCAACGATTAATAAATCGTTTATCAGTTGATAAATAAAAACGTTACATTAACATACTTTAGATGGCGTCATATTAAAATTTTTCACGCAATCGCAGTATTCACGGATACTCCCGAGAGATTTGTTCAGAAACATTTCGGCAGAATCCGGTCGCCTTTTCTATTCGACCGGCCATGATGTTGAATGCCGTAACAAAAGCAGCCGCAGGAGCCCTTAGGGCCGTCAAACCTACTTTACTTCAAAATGAAGTCGCCAAAGTATCTGGAGTTATCTCTGTCAACAGTAAGTACAAACATTTAATTAACAATTTAATCTTTCAATCTTTGCAATCCTTCATTCATCACATCATTGCCATTATCATGTATTCCGGCATTTAATCTATCCTAGACATTTTAAACGACTTTGACACCTTCCTGACGATTAACGTTTTAATATTTGATCTCTTCGTTTTAGAAAGTTCATTCAATGAATTGACAACTTGATTTTATGTATTTCTATAACGTTAATCGATTATATAATTCGGATTTTCTCGGTCGTCGACGTCCCATCGTGTGCCAACATGGCCGACACTTTAGGTCACTCAAGACATTTTTCAGGATTTATTTACTTATTTATCATTTAGTTCCGATATTGGCAATGAAATATTCAGTAATGATCACTTTTTATTATTTCATAATTTATTCTTATACTAAATCTGATTTCATTTATCATTTTATGATATTTTCCAATTATTCTGGTCTTTGATTACTTGAACATCTTATTCCCTGAAAATCTCCTATTTTCTATTTTTAATTTCATTTCATCAAATAAAAATTAACTGTCCTACTTGATTAATAAAAAATTTGAAGATATGAAAACAACTCTAATAATCTAAGAGTTTCAGTTATGTAACTATTACCTAATATTTTGATTACATCCCCTTAAAACCTTGAAAAAATGAATAAAAGGCTCATAAGGGTTCATTTTACCATGTGAAGTATATTATGACAATTGATATGCTATTGACAAGCACAGTAATTTTTCTAATTAGTTATGTTTTCATTAATTATTCATGTAAAATTGATAAATTCAAACTGTAGTAATTAAAAAAAAATTGAATGACTGAATAACTTGATTTTTTAGAGCGTGATTATGCGAAAGCGGCAGCGAAAGGAGGTGCTCAGGGCAAAGTTGTCGCCGTAATTGGTGCCGTCGTCGACGTTCAATTTGATGATGCCCTGCCACCAATTTTGAATGCTCTCGAGGTTCAAAACCGAACCCCACGTTTGGTTCTCGAAGTTGCTCAACATCTTGGAGAAAATACAGTACGTACCATTGCTATGGATGGTACTGAAGGTTTGGTACGTGGTCAACCAGTCCTTGACTCTGGATATCCCATCCGAATTCCGGTCGGTGCTGAGACATTAGGACGTATTATCAATGTCATTGGAGAACCAATTGATGAGCGTGGTCCAGTGAACACTGACAAACTTGCACCAATTCACGCAGATGCTCCAGAATTCGTGGACATGTCGGTCGAACAAGAAATTCTAGTAACTGGAATTAAAGTAGTAGATCTTCTAGCTCCCTATGCTAAAGGAGGAAAAATTGGTAAAAAATCAATATTCACATAACTTAAAGAAATGATCGTTGATATAGAGAATTAATATTTTGCTACATGTATTGCTATATGTTTTTAGGTCTTTTCGGTGGTGCTGGAGTAGGAAAGACTGTATTGATTATGGAGCTTATCAACAACGTAGCTAAAGCCCACGGAGGTTACTCAGTATTTGCTGGAGTAGGAGAAAGAACCCGAGAGGGTAATGATTTATATCACGAGATGATTGAATCTGGTGTCATTTCTTTGAAAGACAAAACATCTAAAGTAGCGTTGGTCTACGGTCAAATGAACGAACCTCCCGGCGCTCGTGCTCGAGTAGCCTTGACTGGACTCACTGTCGCTGAATATTTCCGAGATCAAGAAGGTCAAGATGTGTTACTCTTCATTGACAACATTTTCAGGTTTACCCAAGCCGGTTCTGAAGTATCTGCTTTGTTGGGTCGTATTCCATCAGCCGTAGGTTATCAACCAACATTAGCTACTGATATGGGTAGCATGCAGGAACGAATTACTACCACCAAGAAAGGATCAATTACTTCAGTACAAGCTATTTACGTACCAGCTGACGATTTAACTGATCCTGCTCCTGCCACGACTTTCGCTCACTTGGATGCCACCACCGTATTGTCTCGAGCCATTGCTGAGCTTGGAATTTATCCAGCTGTCGACCCTCTTGATTCTACCTCCCGTATTATGGACCCCAACATCATTGGGCCTGAGCATTATAATGTTGCTCGTGGTGTCCAGAAGATTCTCCAAGATTACAAATCCCTGCAAGATATTATTGCCATCTTGGGTATGGATGAATTGTCTGAAGAGGACAAACTTACTGTTGCCCGTGCACGAAAAATTCAAAGATTCTTATCTCAGCCATTCCAGGTAAATTTAGAATTACTTTTTAAATTTTATTTATATTTTTACTCTTAATATCATTAATAGATGTAATTTTTCATAGCTCACTTAAAAAATCCATTAATCAATTAATATTATTTTAATAGGTCGCTGAAGTATTCACAGGTCACGCAGGTAAACTCGTGCCTTTACCAGAAACCATCAAAGGATTCCAAAAAATCTTAGCTGGAGAATACGACCATCTCCCAGAAGTTGCGTTCTACATGGTAGGACCAATTGAAGAGGTTATTGCTAAAGCAGAAACACTTGCCAAGCAGTAAATCATTAATCCTCTTCGCAAGCTTAAGTTTATAGCAAAAAAAAACAAAAACCAATAAATGAAACAAAAAAATTTATTTACGATTCATTTAAATCAGTGATTCTCATATAGGTGAATAAAAGAAAGACCAGAACGATCTTCCAACTTTACTGCCGGGTTATTATAAACCAAAATGTTTTAATTCTGCGAATTAAACTGTAGTACGCAGGTATAATAAATAAATTAATGTAAAAAGTAAACATATTTTTTATTTTTTAATCATTTATTTATGTTTGGAAGATTGTTTTGGCCCCCTAATCGTCGGTTAATGTTAGAAATGCTTTTACACGTCGTAAAAGAATATTAAAAATAATGAAAGATGTTAATCATTGATTAATGTACACTAATTAGTGAAAAAAACAAATATTAATAAAAAGAAAAATATTCTAAAAATTGATTGCCAAAATTTAATTTATTAATCAACGATATTAATATAATAATAATAATCGTAACATGAACTACATCTTTATTTTAAAACGAATACCATCATAATTAATTACGTATATATTATAAAAATAGTAAATGCTCTTCATTATATATTTTAATACTTTGTTTATTTAATGAACGTAAAATTGAAGACTTTTAAAAATTTATCATTGGTTCGGTTAGCCGAAAAGCATCCTTCAGAAACTAAAATAAAGTAATAATAATTTTATTATTTTAAATCGTTTATAATTATTTTTGGTTTCAGTAAATATCAACTGACCTGCCATGTCTTCATGTCTAAATAACTGATATGTTGATATTTATGTGTAACTTGTCGACTTTGAGCATTTTTTCTCTTCTCTTTCGAGGCCGGAATGACCACTAAATTTAAATCATTATCTAAAATGAAATAATCGAATGAGCAATATATAAATATTTAGAAATTATTAATTCAATTAAAATTTATAATTGTTTTTACCAGTAAGGATTTCTATATGTCCATCACGACACAAGAAAGAAACATGAAGCATATTTTCAATTGTTTTTCCAAAATCAGGATCCAAAATTAATTTGTAATAATTGATCGGTTCTCGGGTAGTTTTGTAAGTATTTTTAATCAAATAATCAATTTTAAGGACAGTTTCCTCCACACCTTTTTCATCTTTATCTAATTGCACAACATTTTCAGGCTTTTTCTTTGCTACATTAAGATCTAATCTTGTTCTTTGACTTCTTTGAGAAGCTTGGGCTCTTTGAGCAGCAATTTGTTCGATCTTTAGTTGTTTTTGGCTTTTTTGATTTGTCCGATTAAGGTTGCAAAGTAAGCTCATAAAATTTGCAGTATTTTTAAATGGAGGCAGTTCTCGTTCTAATATCTCCCAATTTGGCTCTGTTAATGTGACATCAGGTAAATTTTGAACATAGCGCAATAATTTCTCTGCAAAATCTTCAGCACTAAAATCTCCTAGCTCTTTTGTCAACTTTTTACCACAGGTTTTAATGACCTTTGAAGATAAAGTCATTACCTCTGAATCCAAAACGACTTCATCTTGATTGATAGCTATAAGAATATTTAAATTAGCACGTAATCTAATGTTATTTTAAATAATAAGTAGTATACCTTTTTCCTTGAGTGAAATGTCATCGTGAATCTTATCAGCTTCTTTAAAAACATCTTCCAATCTATTAAGGGCATCGGAATGATTGTGTTCATCTATAAAAAAATAAAATAAATAGTATATTAGATGAAGTTTTGTAAATTATTATAATAGATTAAAATTTGTTAAAAGTAAACTGTTCAAAAATTAGTAACATACATAAATCCTGAGTAGTATGTAAAAGATTTTTTAAGGCTTTTTTCCTATCTATAGGAGTGCGATAAAAACTGCGACGAGTCATTATACGTGATGGTTGTGAATGTTGAGAGGACGCCATAACAAAATTTTTTTTTTAAAAAAAGAAAAGAACAATTATCCGTTATAAAAATGTTTAAAAAAATTTGTTTCCTGATTAAAAATGAATTTAAAATAATATCAAAACATCATTATGTAATCGTTTATTTACACAAATATTTTAGGTTAGAAATATTGTAGTTTTAGCGCCATGACGCCATTACAGTTATTTCTTACCCCGCGAAACTTGAAAAAACTTGATATTTAAATAAAATAATATCCAATTACTAAATAAGTTATTTACATAAAATAATTGTTCTAAACAAATTGTAACAATCACTTTTAACAGAAAATCTACAGTAAAGTAAAAATAATTAATACAGTAAGAGTAGAACAAATAATCACTTTACGTTAATGTTCATTCATTCACGTCGTTGTCTATTGTTTATTTTTGAAGAGAAAAATTATTAAGAAAACGCTTTTTATAGGAAATATTTAAATTTTTTTTTAGAGAAAAAAGTAACTTGAAATATTGCTTAGCCTATTGGATTCATCTGATATTATTTCCGTAGTTATTATTTATTATTCCAGTGTTCATAAGAATTTGAAACAAGACGTTCATTACATTTACCTAAGAAAAATTTAGTTTTATATTAATTAAGTAATAATATAATTATCTTACCAAGGATTTGAGTCTCTATCAATATATTCCTCAAAGCTTGTTTACGTACATACATAGAAGGAAAAATGCTTTTACGCACATTGTGAGAATTCATCGATGCTGAAGCAGGCATCTTTAAAAATGTATTATTTATTAATACAAGTAGATAAATAATATACCAACTTTATTAGGTATAAACTAATATTATAAAATGAATGAATAGTTATCGCATATAATTAATCAAATTATATAATCAATGTCTCAATTAGTTAGATTCAACTAAAAATGAATCAGGTTTATCTTCAAAACAATCAAAACACGCAAATAATCTCTGTTACCCTCATGGCTTTAAATGCGGTACGCCATCTATGTAGGGATCAGATTAGTGCCATCTATCCCGCCCAAACAGAATATAGTGTTTTTCAGTATTAAAAAAATAAAAAAATAAATTAGAATTGAATTTATTGTAATTGTATTTTTAAATTTAAAATACTGTAATTAAATTATATTTCTTAATTCTAAAGTTAAATTACTTATAAGAAAAACTGTAAAAATATTTATTAAAAACAATAGATTGTTATCAAACAATCAAACAAAGTATCACCATCAGAGACAAGCCATTTATCCAAAATCATAATAATAATAATAATAATAATAATAATAATAAAAATACTTTGGAACTTGATCAACATCTTTTAAAAATATTTTTCAATTATCAATGTTAAATTACAAAAAGTTTGATAAATATTTATTACTTCATTTTTATGTCCACGTGACACGGTGATCATGTGTTATCATCAATATTAATTGTTTCATTGATTGTTAGTGCTTGTGTACAAGAATTTTACATCGGATTTAATTGATTTAGATTTGTTTAATTATTTCGATAATATATTAAATATTTTGAAGAAATTTTATTGGTGTTTCCTAGTCCTATAAAAAATTCATTATGATAAAAGGAGGGTCAATATTATTTTGGCTGTTTACCATATTTGGAATTCCAATAACTTTTCCATGGGTGGGTTGTTACCTCTTCACCAAGATTCAAATGAAAAAGAGAAAAAAGGAATTACGTGAAAAGGTATATTGTAAGATATAATATTTTTATAGTTTTTAAATATCATTATGTATTATCTTCATTACATTTTAGGTTGTAATGATTACAGGAGCAAGTTCAGGTTTGGGAGAAGCTCTTGCTCATGCTTTTTACAGATGTGGGTGTAAATTAATTCTTGTTGCAAGGCGAAAATTGGAACTAGAAAGAGTTAAAAATACTCTACTGCACACTCATTACGTAAGAATCATTTTTAAAGGCATTGACCTCACTTAATGTGAAAAATAATATGCAGCATCATTATTAACTATATTTCATTTTTATAGACTGTTCCAACTCATCCACCTATAATACTTGCTGTAGATCTAACTGAGATTGCCTCACTTCAGACAGAAGTAGACAAAGTTTTATCTATACATGGACAGATTGACATTTTAATAAATAATGCAGGAATGTCATACAGGGGAATGGCTAAAAATACACAAATGAATGTTGATACTAAGGTTATGATGATCAATTATTTTGCACAGATTGCTTTGACAAAAGGTAATTATTAAAAGATTTAAAGTCTCAATTGTGAATTATCTAAATAGAAATAGAGATAACAGTAAAGAAATTCCAGCAATTCTGCCATCAATGATAAAACAACAATCTGGTCATATTGTTTGCATCAGTAGTGTTCAAGGGAAAATGGGAATACCATACAGGTATTTTATGCATAATATTTTAATTAATGAAACAAAAAATTGTTTACAAAAAATTATTTTAATTTTAATTTTTATGAAGATCTGCATATTCAGCATCTAAACATGCTCTCCAAGCTTGGTGTGATTGCTTAAGAGCAGAGTTATTTGATACAAATATTCTGGTATCTGTCATTAGCCCTGGCTATATAAAGACATCATTGTCACTGAACGCTGTAACTGAAACTGGCGAAAATTATGGCCGTAAGTTATTATTTAATTAAGTTAATTTATTTTTTACTTAAGTTTAACTTTTGCAGAAATGGACAAATCTACTCTGGAAGGATACTCATCAGAATACGTTGCAGATAAAGTATTGGAGGCGGTTTTAAAAAGGAGTAAAGAAGTTATGATTGCTCCTTTAACAGCCAAACTAGCGAATTTTATACGTTATATGATTCCATCATTATATTTTAAAATAATGCAAATGCGTGCTAAAAAATACGCGAATTCTAAATTAAATTAGTTAATTTATTAGTAGATCAATTTTTTTCATATTATATTACTAATCGATGAATAGTACAATTTTATTTTAATTAATTCGTACAACGAAGATTTTAATATTGTGTATTGAACACTTTTTTTTTAGTAGTGTAAACATTCACTACATTTATAATGTAAATATTTATATTTATTCTAGATATAATAAAATATTTTCTATTAACTCTAAAAAAAAATCGAATATGAGTTACTCATAAGCTTTATTTGTTTAATTATACATAATCCATTGCGACTAATGCACTGCAATAAGTATATACATATTTAATAACGAAAAACATACAAAAATTAATAAAAAATGATCAATCAAGGATCTTATGAAATTGATAATTTCATTTAAATTTTATGATAGACGGAAAAATTTTTGACATCCGACAAAATTATTTATATTGATCGGAAATCAAAACAAGAATCATGATGAAAAAAAAAATGTCAATCAAAAATTGTAATTTGCTGGATGAATTAACCAACTTGGAATAATGTTCAATTTTTTATTCTATGCATTAATCTGATACTTTTGTTTTATTTAAAGTAAAATAAGATTTTTATTATGCATGATACATTCTACCTATTTTATTTACAGCTTAAAATTACAGTAAGAATAAAATGGTTTTTTTTTTCGTCTATATAAACTTCACATTGTATCTACAGATTTGAAATTGTTCGTGTTTCTTTCAGATGCACCCTCCATCTGATTAAAATATTGTACACGAAAACAAAATTGAGCTTACCTAATTGGAGTGTGCAATAATTATATTATTCGTACAAAATAAATTCAATCAGGAAGCTCATCTTTAGTCATTAAAGTAAAATATTAGCTGCTTTTATGTACTGTACTGCTAAATAATGAATTAAATTTTTCTTCCACCTTTGAGTATCATATAAAATAAGTAAAAAAAGCAAGAGAGCGTGAATTTATAAACTACGAACAATTTCTGTAAGACTGAATGAACGTCGGCAGAGGAAATGTAAATAAAACCGAGCGTCTGTTGAAGTTGCTGCTCATATTTATAGTGAAAATCTAGGAAAGTTAACACCTGAGTTTTGTACGTTGCACTTCATTTAAATGCCTGATATAATCTCCATGCACAAATGCTAACAGCTGCAATTGTAATAGTTCCATGGAGTATTCTTCTTCGTCGGTCATCTTTTCGAACGAGAAATGTAGGTGAAGATGGTCCTAGAACTGCTAATAATTCTACATGAGGTAATTTACTCGTATCTGGCTCAACCTGATACTGACAACAAGGATCAAACTGCCATGAGACAGTATAAAGTCCACACGTGATCATGGCAGTGATACCAAATGTTCCACAAATGTAAGGTCTATCTTTCCAGATTAGACCTGAAAGAATTATAAATTTAATTAAAGCTTATAAAGATGATTATCATGAACAATTTTTACCTGTTATAATAGCAGTTAATCCAGAAATGGAAGCTGTTTTGTGCAGGCAATTTCCTACTGAAATCCATCGAGAAGTTTCATCGCCAAGTTTCGATGGCTCAATTACTATGAGATTACACTCGGCTTCAAGAGCTCTTTCCAGCTCGTACTCGAATGTTTCGTGTGCATTTGCACTATCATAAACTTCACGAATGATGGCAACATTGGCAGTTTCGTCTCTGAATAAAAAATGATTGGAAATTAATAACGTGACTTAAATCAAGGTTAATTTAGTTTAAATGAAAGTGTCTTTATTATTTGCTTCACTTACAATTGTTCATTGTTAAAAGAAATTATGAGATCATTGGTATTGATAGAAATTACTGTGCTCCAATGTACATAACTACTTACTACACATTATAAATAGTTCTTTTATAAAATAGGTATTAATGCACTTATTGATTACAATATAATTATATATTTAAAAAAAAATTATATAAAATATTTTTGTATAAATTTCGTAAATAAAAACTGACACCATAGGCAGATAAATATACGAATAGATGTTTTTTAGGTTAACATTTTAGGCATGAGCTTTTTGATAAATATTTTATGATAAATTTAATGATTTATACATTACACATTGATTTAATATTTGCATACGTTAGGTAATTAAAATTAATCGTCTTACGAACCTGTCGCGACTTTCGTCGATCATCTTTTTTGATGAATTCGTTTTACGGGTCCTCACTGGAAAGATGATTTTTATGAACCGGTCGAAAACATCGAACGGATATTCCAAACAGCTGATGAATGGTGCAAAGTCTTCATTTGACTTCAGTAGTGGTGTTTTCAAACTGAGTTTTGTAACAGTTCAGCTAAAATTATTTCCAAATGATGTAGTTGATAAATACTTTTTCTCCAAATAAACTGTTATAATAATCTTCAAAGTAAATAGTGCAGCTAAATAATTAATTCTTAAACATTTGTACTTATGGACTTGTCTCGATATGAAACGCTGAGAATGCTAACCTATGAGTAGATGTAAGTTAAAAATAATTAACAAAATCCATTGATGTTATAAACATAATGAATTATTATTAACAATAATAAAAATTATTTAATCCATTTAAAATATCATGATTGTTGGATTGATGAAATAACTTGATTAATAGACATTGGCAAAAATCAGGTTATCTGAAAATGAAAAGTATGAGCACTATTTAAATCTACTTTGTAAAACCAAAACAGATTACGGCCAGCTTAAATCAATTGTATCACAAAAATAACTTACAGCGAAATTGAAGTTTTTTTTCATTTTGACATATGATATGCCAAATAACAGATAAGAATATTCATCATGAATATACAATTCTCACAACGTTATCTATTTTTGTTGATTTTTAATTATCATGATTTGCCAATTCTGTCATTTTAAAGATTAAATTCATTGTTTCAATAATAAATCATTCATCAGTCAATTAATAAAATTGCATAAAAATGTTGATGATAAAGCATCACTTAATGCACTTTTTATGAGATTGGATAGACTAAAAAAAAAAGAAAAAGTAATCTGATAAACAATTAAACTTTTCAAATAGTATTGAATATTATTCAAATGGTCTGTAATCCAACTAAAATGATAAAGATAGATAAGATGAAAGTAGGTTAATTTCCGTAGCGATTAACTAACGTTTACTCATCCTGCATCAAAAGTGAAAACTTATCAAACTAAAAGAAAAGTTTAAAATCTAGACATTCAACTCTACTTCTATCCCGATGATAAAACTGTATGTTGAAAGGTTTTCTTTTGTCTTAGGATTTAAGCACATCCCGAAGGAAATTCTATAAACAACCTTCCCATGATGTACATGTTTATGTCTTTTCTCTCTGCTCGTCATTTACTTTTGCTTATCTTATCATACATTTACATATAAACATTCACAGTAACCATAGTTTATAGACATGGTTTGTTTATCTCCTATTATAGTGACAAACAGTCATGCATTTTTATATACTTTTTGTTCTATTCCTTGTTTTTGTGTTATTCCAATCAACTTGGTTGCATTTTTGCTGAAGATATTGGAACTTAACAATAGCAAGTCATCTGAAAATATGTTGGGAAAAATGTTCAATATTTTTCTGTTGTTTTAATATATTACAAAATGGTGTTAACTGCATTTCAGAGATAATTCTTTCTTTATTTAAACATAATTTTAAAGTAGATATAATCCATAACATATTTTTTCATTAATCAATATGACACGTTAACATATTCAATGCCATATCTGACACATGTGTTGGATACAAGTTTGTATCACTTGGATATCGTATGAATATTGGTTCAGCATTCAATGTGTTAATAAATATGAAATTCAACAATTAAAATTGTTATTGGAAAAATAAATTAATCAGAAGTGAGTTTATGATGTACTATGGTACTCAGCTGATCAAGAACAACTTTTTAATTACAAATTCCTTGAAGTTGATGTAAAAACAGCATGTCTCTGCTATCAATCTTAGCATGCATCTAATTATTTATAGTTAGAAAAAGTCGATAGAAGAATTAATTTTGATACGTTTTTGAAATTAAGTTTATCATTAGCAATTTAAGAACTTTATTTTCAATGTTTTTGTTAGTTCAGATTTAATTGTTATAGGATTTTATGCATACAAAATTTTATGATAGCCTCTATCAGTTGATATTGGATTGGAAGCAGTAAAAAACATAGTTTTCGAAATAGAATAAAATAAAGGATTGTAGAATTCAGTTTTTTTGTTAATATTAGTTTATTGTGATAATATTAAAAAAGAATTGTTTAACATTTTAAACAAAAAAAAAAATTTCTCAGGAATTCACATTTTTAATATTTGCTTATAAAAAAGACTGATAAGCTAATTAAAAAGCGAAATATTAATTATAAAATTTTGTTTACTGTTTGAGTTATTTTTTAATACATGAGAAAAAACTCCTACGCTTCTTGTTAATAATATAATACCAGGATAAAGACATCCTGATGATTAGAAAATGCTTTGATGTTTTTTAGTAAACTTTAATATGTTTAAAGTTATCTTTTTTTGAATTGTCTTGAGAAAAAAAAAAAATATTTTTTTAGAATTATTTCAATTTGCTATAACAATAGTTAAATTTTATTTTTACTGAAGGAAGATAAATAACTGTTTAAAAAAAAAAACTTTTTTATCGATATGTAGTGATATAGTGGATTAGTTTTCTCAGTGATTAGTTTTTTTCAATCACCAGCAGCTCCAATAAAACTTGATTAATCGATATTTATTAAAAATGAAGCAAACTCATATGATTCATTTGGTTAATTGAACTAATAAAAAAGAATATTTTTTAACACCGACATAGCACAGTGTTTTATTCATTGTTTCATTTGCGTTTAATTACTATTTTTTTCTATTTTTTTACACATATAATTGTATTCCCAGTTCATTTGCATTTATCGATCCACTGAGTCGTATATAAAGTATCGAGGGAAATTAATGGAAAGCAAATAACAATTAAAATATCAACATTTAGCACATTATTTGATGAATAATATAATTCTATGTGGAAATCTCTTAATGTATGTGTATTCCATGATGATGATGATGATAATTTTGAATTGAAAAAAATATATAAAATAGGGTTTAATTAAATGTTTATTATCTGGACATTTTACGTATGTTACTGTCAGTGTTGATAATCATTGATGTGAGATAATGTTGAAAACATGAGATATATCTAATGATTACGAGATTATCCCTGGTCATTCAACTGATAGGATGGACAGTAACTTTTAGATAGTTTCATTTTTTTAGGTTGAGTCTTAAGTTCAAAGTAATTTAAGATAAATAAATGATTATTTAATTTGATCGAAAGATGAAAATAATTTCAAAAAGGATCAATTAAATAACAAATTGAATTTGAGTGATAAATAATTCATACATATTTATTTTATTTCATAAATTATATACATTCTTAAATTTATGTAACATTTAAATATCTTTACCCTATTTGATAATAACTAAATATTTTTATATTTAATATACATTTATATATACATACATAGAAAATTATAATCTCATTGTTAATCTTATTTATTTATAATCTTACTCGCTTCATTTTTTATTCATAATAATTATAATTGGATTAATTACTAAAAATTTCATTAGGACGTGTAGATTTTTCTTAATTAATTTAAGCGCCGTTAGTCGTTTTTATACATAAAACATCAAAACAAATTGTTCAATGAAAAAAAAATTTTTAATATTATTAAAAAATCAAGTACACTTGGATAAATTAATTCTTGCATCGATGTTTTGAAATTATTTTTGAATTATTCAACAAATAATCTGAAAATATTTGTTAACAACGAGATAATATATTTAATAATTTAATATCGAAATTAAATTCAACATTTTAAATAATCGTTATTTAATTTGACCTTTAAATATTTTCCACGTACAAATTACTTTTAACTGTTCAAAATTAAAAATTAAACTATTATTATTATTCTATTTGGCTCGACACCAGCTTTAAGGACATCACAGTAATTACATTTATAGAGGAATCGATTATTTGTCGATAGGTTTTTACTATTTTCTTTAACTTGATAGTATTTTTTTTTTATTAAAAAAAAACAAATAATTAATTTAAATTATTTTTTTTTTGTAATGATGGCATAAAAACTTTTTGTTCCTAGAGAGAAATGCATTTGTTAAATTAAAAATTCTTTATGAATATTTCATTCGATTATTTTACTCATTATTGTATTTGCCGTAGGCGTTAATTGATTACGCAAACAATTTATGCTTCATATAGTAGTATTTAATGTTGATCACCAGGTTTAATGTTCATTTTTTTACCAATTGATATTTTAGTAATTATCAATAATACATCGCACCTCATAAATCAATATTTAGTGACAATATTTAAAACAATACTTTTTTATATAACTCCACTAATTAATATCAACTTTAGTTATCTCTTTACATTTATTTTTTGAACTGCTTGTAAAATTATTATTTTCAATACTCCGTAAACTTTAAATATATTTAAAACTTTTATAAAATCAAAACATGGCTAAAAAATGGAAAAATTTCCTTAAAATGACGTTAACTAGAACAACAAATCTCCACAATGGCTTTACTCACTGCAAATCTGAGAGTTTAGGAACTAGTTAAAGAAGATTTGAAATAAAATAAAAACTATGTTTCCGATTCAACAAATTTCAATTAAACCTATAAATACTTTTACCAAAATTCTAAAGTTAGTCTATGGCGTTCAACACTATAAACACTTATAAGAGTTTAATTCGTGTTTTATTACTAAACAATAAAATTTTCCCAGATTTGCAGTGCTAATAATTGATTTAGATTCGATATTAAAAATATTGTTTCAATCAATTAATTTGTGACATAAATTTTATTTAACATTTTTTTCCATAAAAATACTTTTTTTCAAGTTGCAATAATAGTTAATTACTGTATATAACTATAAATCCTCTACTTTTCACACAAATATTTTCTTACAAATTCCATTCAGTAAGAACTATTTTTCTTAATTAATAAATAAAAAAAAATTATTTCTTAAAGTAAACGAATATTTTTTATAGATTAAAACCCCATATAAAACAAACTAGCTACAACTTTTATTTACAATATCAAGAGAACAATCCAAACTATCACAAAGGTGTGGATCATTTTCTCAATACTCATGTGTATTTTATTTATAATAGCAATAATAATATTAATTTATTTCTAATTATATATATCATCACGTATACAATAATTGTTAAGTACATACACTGTTGTCTTAAAATATTTATTGTGGCACACACATGGATCATTAATTCGATGAAGATGGAAAATGACTATCAATCATCCATATTTTTAATTTTCGACATTGATTAATCATTATTTTACCCTAATTATTTAAATATGATACGACTTATAATAAAATTAACAAAAATACATGTAAAGTAATTAATATTATACAAACAATTTTTTTAAAGTTATTTTGTATGAAGAGGAGCAACAAGAGTTAATTAAGATAAAACTACATATAATTTAAGTAACAAAATCTTGGCTGTGGGAAAGATGACAATTTACGCAAGTGAAGAAACAAAATATACAATAAAAAGTCAAGGAATCTAAACTGCCAGTGTTGAACTATTTACCATCGTATTGATATTGACTTTTAGAATTCCAGAAGAAGAGTTGAGTGCAATATGAACAGACTAGACTGAACAATGTCTTTATTATATGTCTTTTTATTTGATTCCTTGCTCACTTTTATGTTTTCACATATAGTCACCAAATATATTATTTTCAAGTACATACATTTTTCATTTCCCTCAAACTGGTAACAAAAATTTATTTGAGGCTTTCAATACCACTGACTATCAATTTATATTAAATAAATATTTGAACTAAACAAAAGATTAAATTGTATCACTTTTATGAATTTTCAGAATATTCATTATCTTTACTATTTCATTTTTTCAATTTTATTCTTAAAAAATATTGAAGATTAAATGTAAATATTAAATTTAATATTCAAGTAGTATTTAAGTAGTGTCTTTGAAGTATCTAGCCTCTTATTTTTTAATTTAATGAAATCGTTCAAGTGACTGAAATGAATTTTTTTCGAGACAATAAAAATGATTCCAATGACAAAATAAAATAGTAAAATTAATAGAAACTCAAGATTGTTTATAAGAATAAAAAAAAAGAATTATTATTCATTTATTTAAATTTAGCAATAATAATAAAGTAAAATTCAATTCTAAACACAAATACACTATTATTTATGACAATGTTAAGCACCATTTAATTATTATACGCTAGAAGAAATTCTCCAATAGTTAAAATTCCACATGATATAACTCTTTGGTAAGTAGACTAGAATGGCATAGCATCGGAATCCATGAACGTACTCATGCTCGAGTAAACTAGAAGGCAATAATCCAAAGGATCTCGATTGTAGATCATATACGCACTTGCCACACTACATTCAGAGTTTGACTTATAAGGCATACTTAATATGTCACTCATATAAAATACTTCTAGCAGTAACATTCTTCTATATAATGGTAATTTTTATCAATATCATGTTTACAATTCAAATTATGTTAACTAGTATTTAGAACAGTTATCCAAGAGATATTAAATGACAAAGCATACTCAAAATATAAATTGACATGACATTGAATATTTAATTAATTATTTACAATTTATTCAAAACTTTAATCTGTACTTGAAAAATACCTATCACTAATAATGCTCATTTAGGAATATAATATGTAAATAATAGGCGACCAGACTTTGTTGCAAATAACAAAATACAAAATTGTTTAATTAATTTACAGAGTTAGCTTATTCAGTTGATGATAATCCTAGTTGCCTTACTGCGTCGTGGCTTATATGTACACAAGTATATCTAACATACAGAAAGTTCTTGTGATAAACTTCACCGAGTAATGGGGTAATAGGTTGGAGATGAAGGAGGCCGGAGGAGATATGAAAGACAAGAAATAAGGAGAAATGAGGGAGATGGATAACGCTGGATAATATATCTTAAGCATATCCTGCAGTTCATGAAAATGATTATAATAACAATAAGCCAAGGTGTCATATTTCTGATGCAATGTACAAGTTATAATTGATATGCTTTAAAGTTGAGTGAGATGAGTGAGTTGTGTTCCATTTTTTTTACTGTTTTCGTTACTTTCTCGTTGTATTAATTCATGTTCTTTCGAATCGCTTACAACTGCTGTTATATTTGTTCTAGATGTCATGGTAACTGTTGTAGTAGAGGTTTTACTGATGAGCAGACCACGTTCACCCTCTTCATCTATTTCCAATTCTATTCGAGAATTTGTGGAATTGGCAACTGGCCGATTCTTAGATTTTAGACGTTCCGTATTGGTTTTTTTCCTCTTTGGAAATACACTATTTTCAAGATGGAGTGTGGTATTGACGTCTTTGCCGGCTGCACATGTACACGCTTTGAGGAAACTTTTCTTGAAGTTATCGCTTAGGAAAGCATAGAGTATTGGATTCATAGCACTGTTAGAGTAACTCAGAAATCCAGCAAGTAGAAATGCTGTTATGCTTATTGGAGATTGGCACTGTTTTGGTGGTGTATAAATTAGTGCTACCTGGGTGATCCAATATGGAAGCCAACAAAGAACATATACCGTTATCACTGTTAGGACAAGTTTAGTTACTTTTTTATGTGATTTCTTTTTCTCTTTGGATTTATTTTTTGGTCCAACTGTTTGTAGCTTTCTTATCACTAAGAAATAGAAGATTAAAATAAAAGTAAGTGGGATTGCAAAACCTAATATAAGTGAATAAAGAGTAAAAGTTGTTTGGCCTCCATGATTATCTGGCCAATAGATATTGCAATTGACTCCACTTTCAACTTCCTCGATATTAGCATAAAGAATTATTGGTATCATGAAGAGAGCACTTGTAAGCCACGCTGTTGCTGAGACTACCTTGGAGATGAATGGTGTACGCATTTTTGGTGCTGATATTGGATGACAAACTGCTATATAACGATCAGCACTCATGATAAATAAAAAAATGCTACTTGTAAATTGATTGATGCTCGTAGTTGTCATATAGGCTTTACACATAATTTTACCAAAAGGCCAATATCTAAGACTCATTGTGGTCACTAAGAATGGAATACCAATGAGAAAACATTCATCAGCAATTGCCAAGTTAACTATGTACATATTTGTTACTGTCTGCATTTTGGAATATCGTAATACCACATAAATTACTAATGTATTACCTAGTAAACCCATGATACAAACTATCGAAAATAGAATTTGATTAACTACTGTAACTACTGGTAAATCAGTGCCACAATATGGGTTGAGTGAAGTCTGATTAGTTATATTGAACATTGCTTGTTGAAACCAATCTACACTTGTGAAATTCATTGTGATGTTTCAGTTTTAAGTGGTTTAATTTGTTACGTCGATTGGTTTTTTCTTTCAATACTGATGATAATCTTGGAGGAAATCAACTACCACCACCCATCCAACAATGTTGAACCAACTGTTGACTCATTTGGATATTTTTCCTGAAACAACAAGTTTCGAAAATTTTTATTTTCTATTATAAAACATAGATTTTTAGTAATACAATAAAATTATTATTTCTAATCTCAAAATGATTAGATTCATTATATGTTTTATTTCGTCTATAAATAAATATGAAATATTGCAAAACAATAAATTTTGGAAAACGACAAAAACTATAATTCCCAAAGGTTAACACAAGAATACGAGAGATCATTTACAAGATTTAATGTAAAACTGCAAAGCGCTCTCGTGGGTATGAATGTAAACGTTTGGGAAAACGGGAGAAATATTTATTTTATAAAAGCACAATAACGTGGTAAAGTATCCTCTTGGGATATTCTTAAGACAATATTTATAATGTTCTTTCAAACTTTCGTATCAATTTGAAATCAAGTTACAAGTGTTTGTTTTCTTTTTTATTTCAGGCTTGCGAAATATTCAGATTAGGGCAATTACCAATCTGATTGTTTACACGTGTAAGTGACTGTTGGATAAATCTAGGAAATTTAACTCTATCAGGTAACTAAGTCATTTATGTATTTAAATATTTTAACTGGTACCATTCCCTCGCAGTATCAAATCTACTGAATATCTTGCTAATAAATTAGTTATTAGAAATTAATTGACTGCATGTGAGTATCACAATGCAAAAGAATCAATTCTTTTGTACATTATTGTGACTTTTTATATAAGTATATAATAGCACTACCTCTACGAATAATAATGGTAATCCTACTTTTCTCAACGACTAAATAAAACAAGTGGAAAAAAATAAAAAGAATGAAACAGTGTTGTTACGAAGCATATCACTATCAATTCATGTTCACTCATCCGATTAGTACTTTCTTTTTTTACAAATAAAATAACCCATGATTGTTTTAAAAATGCTCAGTTTTTTGTAGTGAATTTTTGTTTAGAAATGCATATTTTAATTCTAAAAATGAAATATATTGAAAAAAATACAATAAGTTCGATATGAAAGCCATACAACGAATCATATAAAATATTATCCGATTATAAATCAGAAAATAATCGTTATGTATATTATATTTTTATCTTGATTATTTTTAGTATAGTGGATTAGACTATATTAATTATAAAAAATAAATATAAAATTTATTTTCAAATATACGATTACCATTCGAGTTGCATTCTCATCATAAATGTCAGTTAATATGTTTGATTAATTTAAAAATTGTTTTCTTTTATTATCATGGATGATTTTTTGAATGAAGTGTTATTCTTAAGTAAGCTAAATAGACAAACGTGTAGGCGAACGTAGAAACGAAATATCGTAATAAATTAAATTAAGTTATATAGTAGGAAAAAGGGGAAAAGCTGATGAAATAAAGTCAAAAAAGGCAAATAATTAAAGAAAGAGTCGATAAAATAAATGATATTATAATAAAAAATTATATGTAATTGATATGACGAAAAAAAAGAGTAAATATAAATTTATTTTAAAGTTTTGTTTATGAAAATTCGAGTTCTTTGGTTGAATAAAGAAAATTTAATAATATTATGAAAAGTTTTTGAAAGGATTCTTTAATCATTGAAGATATTCTACAATAATTTGATTTGGTTGTATTTCAACCATTTATTTTGAAGTGATTTTCAATTTTTCATTTTATTGTTACAGAAGTTTATAGAGCAATTTAAAAATAGAAAACAAAGGGAACAAAGCTTTATAAGTAATACAAAAAATTTTACAAACTAGAATTATTCTTTTAAAGAATAAAAATAATATTCCATCTAGATGGTTATAATCGAGCAACTACCATCTCATATCACTACTTTAGAGTTAATATTCTTCGTAGATACTATTTTTACTTGAAAATTTATTACAATACATCTTTCCAGCAAAGTAGAGTTGAGTCCAATTAAATTTATGAATATACTCGTTAAAAGATACAATTTCCTGAACAGCTTTATTTCATAAAACTCTTTACATTGAATTTAAGATAAATTAAATATTGATATATGAGCAGTAATATTAATACTTTTAAGATATACTTAAAATAGGAATGAATAGAAATCCATGATGTTATATTGGTTGAATTCATAAAGTCAACAGAGCAAAGATGTCATTAGTATGTGATATGCCAAGCTTATAATTTATGTCAATTGTGATTAGAAATGAGGTATAGATGTATATAAAGGAAACTTTGTTGGTGTAAATAAACTAATTTGATCGTCTAAAGGAATTTGTATATGAGAGATGTAGAAAATAGAAATGAAGTTCGAAATTGGAAGTGTTGTCATCAAAGGTAATGCTATATAACATCCGTTACATTCAGAAAGCTTGAAATTGCAAGTTTCAACATTGACATCCATTCGACCGAGATATCCGCTCGATTTACCACTAGTTTTCGTCTACAGTTGCTTTATATTTCTGAATATATGCAATATCAAGCAATATTACATTGCTTGAGACTTTTTAATATATTTGAAATTTTCTTATTACCTCCACACCTGAGGTAATTTAATCATTTCTTTCATCAAATGGATGATTATTGTGACATAGATGAAAGAAATGTGTCTTTGATTATTGAGTTAATAGTTGTTCAGGTATTGATGATAAAATCGAATTGATGAATTTATAAATGCTAAAAAATGGAGTGCAATCAAATTTGATTTTGATTGAATGGTTTTAAAAACCAATCACGAATATTTTTCTCGAATTAGAATTTAATAAATATTTGATACGTGAAACGAATATTTAGAATGTCATGAAAATATTGTGAATCATTCAGTAGATATGAAACAATTTATTGAAGAAATTTCATAAAAATTAAAAAGAGTCATATTACTTGTTGTTGAATATTAGAAAAACTGAATGTAAATGAATTTGGTAGTGCTTCAACGAAAACTTTCGTGTCGTGATGGTTTATGAAAAAAATCAATAAACAATATGACTGTGACAATCAAGTTGTTGAGATAATCCTCAGATGACAGGAATTTTTTTTCTATTTTATTGACAATTTTTGTTGAGCATTCACCATGAAACTAAAAATAAGACAAATTGTAGGGTGAACTGTAGGGTAGATCATGATATTCTATTATTAACATTTCCAAAAGTAAGGCTGATATGTTAATTTTTTTTGCTCTCTGACTAATGTCAAAAGTTAACACAGATTCTGATTTTTAAAGTAAAATTTGTCTCTGTTTTATAAAACATTGATACAAAATTATCAAATATTAGAAAATCTCTTTCCACTATTTTCAGTCAGAAATTAATATAATGATTTTCTGATTTGTAATTAATACAATATTCATCATAGAACAATAAATGAGTATGGATACGAGTTTGTAAACTCACATGATCGACTTTCTGTTTCGTACCTTCACGAGATTTCTAATCAATACATATTTTTAATATCATCATCTGTTCTAAAATATATGTAAAAGATATTTATTTTTAGCTCGATAAAATTTTCTTTCAGTAAATTAAGGAGAATAAAAAATCAACAACATATTAATAAATCAATCTTTTTATAACATGACATTGAATTTTTTTTCGAAAGCTAAAATCATACAAAAGAATGAAAGAATGAAAAAGAGATCTTGTTGAATTGCAGATTGCATATGTTCGAATATCTGTAGCATTGATTTATTGTAACGTATTGCAGCAAAAGATAACTGGATAAATTCTGTAGGAATTATGTTTAAAAATAGTCGATTTTTATGGGTAAAATGATCCATAAGTTCAATGAAATTTTTTTCTGAATTTCTAACAGTTCTAATCTAATGTCCACACTCATGAACAGGAAAGAAGATTGTTCTGAGACAAATAAAAACGATGTATTTATTTCAACATGCATGTAATAGATACTTGGGAGGAATTTATTCAAGCTTAAAACAATGTAATATAATGTAAAGTCTCTTGAATAGGCATACTTTCTCAGATATTAAACAAAGAAGAGCTGAACAGAATAACTGAAGTAAAATGAAAAAAAATTACAGAAAGGGTAAAACAAGGGTAAAAAAAAAGATGAGCACATGAACGAAATGTTTTTAATTAAAGTCTTTTTCTGTGAAGCAGATTACGAGCATCAGCTTGCTTGACACTCAGTTATGAACGTTTGTTCAAATGCACGTGACACATCAAACCCCTTCAGGTAAAAAATGAAATAAAATACCGTTATGCTAAAACTTATTCTTATATTATGAAAGAAATAATTTATTTTATTTTTCATATAAAAGTTTTATACAATAGCTGAGTATATTTTTCACTTCAGTTTGTTACTTTGAGCGAGAAGTTTTTATAATTATAATAAACCCACGTGGCTAATTAAATAATCATGTTGTAAAGTGGGTCTTGAGAGGAAACGAGAATTCAACAGATGGAAAATAAATTTAAGAATAGGTTTTTAATATTAAATATGAAATTTTTCGTGATACCATTCTCATTATCTTCAATTATTTCGTAGTTGAACCTTTTTCAAGTTACCAGTCAGTAGAAGTTTTTTTTCCAACGGGAAATACATAATTGGAAAATGAGTAATCAATGTCGGACTAAAATCTAATTACTTCCCTTACTGTAATTTTTCTTTTTATGGGCGGTTAAAAAATGTACCTTTTTGAAATTGGAATGAAATTAGTGGGTAAAAGATTATTTATCATTTATCTATTAAATAAATCTGCTTCATAAAATGTGCCATCGCAGTAGATTCGGTTAGGATCACTACAGTTCAGATGTTCGATACTCAGATTTGTAAGATTCACTATATCTTAGATATTCCTGAATTCGTTCTTTCTCGTATTATACGATCATTGCTGTAGTGATTTATATCTTGAAAAAAGTTTCTTACAAAAAAAGGTAGTCTATCTTCCTTGATAAAATACTTTAGTAAAATATTTTTAGAATATTTATTATCACTAAACATTATTTATTATGAACAGAAAAAAATAAATACCTTGAGTCTCAATAAATTATGTTTAATCAAGAAATTTATATTCTATGTACAACATAACTCATATTTTCCTGCGTGTAATAAAT